TCTGTTCATATAAGCAAAAGAAAAAAGTTTTGTATGTAACGGCCCCCCTCCCTTCTTTGTTTAGTCAGGTTTACCTCCGTCCTGGACCTAGATAGCATTTTAACAGCTTTCTTTTATACCCTTTTTTCTTTTTCAATTCATAGACATCTTTCTTTCTCTGCCATTCGATCATAGAAAAATTAAGTCAGTGTACTAGTTGTAATAATTAATAAGAAAAAAAAGAAGAAGAAAAGTAATGCTATACATAAAGAGAAAAAAAAACTGGATTCTTACGATTACTTATAGATGCCAGAACAGATGTTTCCCATTTGGGCAATTGTACTTATTGCTCTTCTTGCCAGTGTTTTCATCACAACACTTTTCCTCTATATCAAAATGCGAAAAAGAAGCAAAACCTCTGTTCATTTTGATGATGAAGAAATGAATAATGAAAAAGAGACATTGTCTAGAGTAGAGTCCCTTCAAACATTGGTCACACAAAAGCACAAATCATCTTTAACAATTCAAAAACCCTCTATGGATTTTTCAGCAGTACTACCACCTATGCCACCATTAACTAAGACATTGACCCAATATAACAATGACAGTATAATTGACAATGAATCATTGGCAAAGGAGCTTGATACTTCCTTACTCGCGCCTTCTCAATCAAACTTGAACTTTTCTGACAAAATAGAGCTCAATGAACTATATGACAGTACAAGACAACAGGAAGAATTTATCAGTATTGATCTTGATGCACCCATATCACCTGTGCCAAAATCACATTCGCCAAAAGTATTTGATAAGGTTTTTGAGCATCAAGTATCACTCTCTAAAGCACAAAATGTATCATCGTCATCGGCCAAGACAATAGCAGATAAACCAGAAATCAAGGAAAAGACAGATCAATTAGCTCAAGACTCTCCTGTTCCTCTTAAGTCTCTTGAACCTGTTTCTAAAGTTGTTATTCGTTCGACTTCTTCTAGAAAAAATCGGTCATTCATTACACTGAACGACAATGAAAAGCGCAAATCGAAATTTGGTTCAGTTCGTTTCAATAGTGTCCGTGCACCCAAGAGCAGCGAACATCTCACTATCACATCAGGATCCATGAGACGTCTTGTCAGAGAAAGTATCCTAGTGGAAGATGATCATGCTTTGCCTTTACCTTCAGCAGCTACCATTGCATCCAATACAAACGCGTCTAGAAAGCCTATGACAAATACCAGTGTACTTGAAATTGCTGGTTGGTGGGATACTCCTAAGAGCTCTAGTACAAGTTTTCAAGTTGAAAAACAACCCCTGAAAACTATCATATCTGGTGGAGATAGTACATCAAGTAGTAGTACACCTCCTCAATATCGCGCTTCCCTTTCAACTTCTGTTTTTAGTCATGGTACATTATCCAAGTCATCTATGTTAGAAGCGGCTTCTGCTATGTCTCGGCATAGCTCCTTTAAAAAGACAAGCGCGGGTACACTTGGCAGAAACACGTTAAGAAATATTGCAGCACAAAATGTTAATCGCTCATTAAAATCATTATTTGATGCTGCTTCAAACACAGTAGTTCCTGACGACAGTCTAAAAATGGAAATCGATGATGATTCTTATGTAGACAGCAGTAACGACAGTATTGTATCCAGCACTCAACAAGCTCATTCTCGCATTCAAAGAAAAGACACTTATTCATCGAAACGCTCCTACCTTCATCAAGAAACACAGTTAGTTTCTTCAGAATCATCTACAAAGTATGCATTATCAGACGAAGAAAGTGAAGTCATGTCAAATGAATTGTTGAATGATCATCTACAGCATATAGATGCTACTGTTCAAGAAGCTGCCTCAGACACAGTTATTTCTACTGGCAAAGTGAATGTGGTTCGACGTATGTTACAAGAAACTTGGAATAACAATATCAAGGATAGCGGGTCTACCTATAGCATGTTATCAGAAATTGAGCTATCATCACCCTTACCGTTGAATACAAAGCTACCATCTCGACTAGCACAGTATTCCTCTCAACATCCTCAAGTTCCTTTAGAGGATAGTGTTGCTATAAGCGGTCCTAAACCATCTGCTTCTTTCTCTTCTTCTACTGTACGCACAGTTATACCTGCTGTAGACACATCAGATCTTGCTAATACACGTCAAAATGCCATTACGATTAAACATGGAAGCAACAAAATTCAACAAGACCATGATTCGTTTCGATTCTCATCAACATCTTCTGCCGTTATGAATGATAGCAATATCTTATTCTCTTCACCACGCCACAGTAGTATCGGGAGTAGTACTCGAAATCATAGCCGAAAGAGCAGTGGGGGCAACAGTGCAGCAACAGCATTGCGCCTTAGTAATGGTCATACGAATAAGACATGGAATGGAAGAGCCAATAAGGCTACAAGACCCTCTGTGGTACAACAGTTTGGCAACAACCAAGTCGATGAGCGAGCCTTTTTCAGTACTATGCGAAAGGGTCAAAAGACAAGAGCGCATATTCCTTGGTCTACATTAGAACAAGAAAAGACACCAGCTCAAATTGAACGTGATAAATATTTACAAGCAAGACAATAAAGCTGTAAAAGTATGTTTTTTATTCTATTTTCTCTTACTCTGTGTCAATGCTTCACCATCATCAAAATCGGCAAAATCATCGAAATCATCGTCTGAGTCATCTTCATTATTAATAGCAAAATGCTGGTTATTTCCTGTACGATGAGTTGGTCTATGATCATGATCATCGTCTGAATGCTCGGCTTCAAACAAAGTGGGCGTTTCAATCACCAATTCATCCCTATATAAGGTCAACAAAATACCCATGAATCTAAAAGCTTACAGTTCATTTGTCTCATCACGATCTCCTAAGCGAAATTTCTTATTCTGCTTGAATCTTCCACTCAACACTTGTTGTATCCAAGCAACGAACTTGTTGGGTCGCTTGAGATCTTCACGCTGACGTTGAGGTGCACCACCAAATTCATCGGCAGCAGAAGCAGACATGGTTCGGCCGCCCTTTAACCAACAATAACATAATCCAATACCAAGCAAGATTACCACAATCAAAGTAGTAGTTCCCCAACCATAATACTTGTGATAGGGATCCTGCAATTCTTCTTCATAATCTTTTCCAACAGAAGATGATGGCGATGATGTGCTTTGACTTGGACTAGGTGAAGTTGAAAGTGAAGGTGTGGGCTTTAAAGGAGGTGCAGAAGGTATTACCGGATCACCAATGACTTGACTTTGTTTGCCCTTGACAATGTTGTTGCCTACATGTATAAATCGGTTGATCATGTCTAAGCATTCAAGAGGTCGATCATAAGGCACCATATGACTACCATCTAGAATAAGTACATAGGTCAAGTTGCGATCTTGGGTATAATAACCAGCAAGTTTGTTGTCAATCCTCCATTCTTGTTTTCGTGTCTTTTTACTGAATCCTCGGGCACCATTCCAAGTCATGTTTCCAATTAGGTATTCTGTGCCAACATAATTACAGATCAAGTCCTGCTCACCGCTGAACAATAAGACTGGAATTTCTTTCAAAATATCAGGCAAAAGCTATCATAGAAAAAAGCATAAATAAAAAAAAACATCAAAATAGTACGTACATAGTAAGGAGGCGTACTTTGATCATCATGTAATTCAAGCGAGACAAGTGAGGTACACTCTTTCCAGCCTAAAATCTGCTTTTCTGCATGAATAGCCGTCTTGACTTCACTTTGCTAATCAAAAATAAGTTTTTAAACAAAAAAATACAAGTAATCTTTATTATACTTACTCTTAAATATCTTGTCACATCGTCTAATTCATAAGGCCAAGAGAGGCCACATTCAGGATGACTTTCTTCTTTAAGTCGAATATCATACATGTTGATACATCTTAGTTTTCCTTCTTTATCTCTACAATTGAAATAAGCAACTTTTTCTTTTGCATTGTATTCTTGCTTACTCATGAGTACTGGCATCTACAATATCAGACATAATGCCTTCGCATGATCTGATATGAATACTTTCTTTTTGCTTGATATCATCTTGGCAAGTCTTCAAATGCGCAGAAACCATAGCCTATATTCAAGGTCAACCATGATGTCTCTTCTCTATATATTACCATTCGATCTTGAGGTATCAAGTTTTCCTGCACACTGAAATCATAATAAGCATTATATTGATGTTTAGGAGAAATCCAGCCATTACCAATAGCAATACCTTGTAAATTATACTAAGCATAGATGAATTCTTCATTCTTCCTTTTCCTGTCTTACCTTGTTTTTTTGCTCTAAAAGACGAGAAGCAAAATAAGGTACAAACACACCTGCATAACTTTCACCAGCTATATACATGTCTTGTTGATTTAGATGAGGAAATATGGTGAACAGTTGATCAATAAAAGCAACAAAGTTGGTTGTTACTTCATCCATATTGTGTGTATAACTATCTGTGTTTGCAAAACTAAAACCAGTGCCTACAGGTTGATCCACTACAGTAGAAGAAAAGGGCATAAGCGAAATACATCAATCGATATCAATACAAACAGTAGACATTGGTAGCATAGTTTTGCCATCCGCCTTCATTAATACTTAATGAAAGATCCTTGTTGACGCGATAAGGACCGTTTTCTAAAAACAAACCATCCATACTATGTATTTGCTTAGTTCTTTTATCTCTTTCTCTCTTTTTATACCTAGAACAACCGGGCCCACCATTGACCCAAATTATCTATTGAGTGCGAGTTACTATTAAAGAAAAAAAAAAGTCAAGCCATACCAGTTTTTCAGGTTCGGTTTTTTGTTCTCTTTCAATCATCCAAAAGAACATGTTGGCATTGGTCTTTTTATTAATCTCAATGTGTCTACCATGCTCAAGTTAGTCTTGTGGTTTTTTGATCACTTAGTCTCACCCCGCATATTGGTCAAAGTTTAAAGCGTTTAGATCAATACCAGGTAACGAAGTAACTTTATAGTCTTGGGCTTTATTATAAAATGTTAACTTAATTCTTAAATGGCTTGAAATATACCAGTTTGTGCAGAAACATAAAGAAAAGAGCTGCCAATAGCTAGTAACCTATAAAAGATTGCTCGCATTTTCTTGCTCAAGTAACGAAAAGAGAAAGGGAGGAGATAAATAAAAGAAAAAATCACTGGTCTTTTCTGTAGACATAAATTTAGAGATACGCCAATCATTGGCTGTTTTTTTCCAACAGATTTAAGCATATCATGCAAAGCATCTATGTACGATACAATACGATATAACATACATGAAACAAGTTGTTGTTTGTAAACATTGCAGATCATTAAAGCATAGCATAAGTATTACTAAATCTTAACTTTCTTTTTATTTCTCTTTCTTTTTTATAATGTAAACAGTATCATGCATGTTACAAATTATTCACTGATATCTACCTTAGAATCATAGACACTCGTCTCTATTAGCACATCAGTTATTTGAAGAGAACTAGCTCGAAATATCTCACTGAAGCTTGCTTAGGCCAAAAATTTCTCAGCCAGCGCCTTCAGCGGATTAACAGCCCGCCTTACATGCTTTTATGCACACTTTCAAATTAGCTTGACAAATATTCAGTTCAACAGACTCACTAGACTCACCAGTTCAATAGATCAATTGAATTCAAAAACAATATTTTATCTGAACGGACAGTTCGGTAGCACGTAACTTACTTATGTAACAGATACACCAGGCAAATAGATTCTTCAACAGTGAGAGACAACAATTCATGCAGATCATCATTTTTTTCTCAAGCATATGAAGATGTCATAAAACCTTTTTATATATGCACAAGTACTCTAAATGCCTATAAGCCATGTTTACTAATATATAGGATATTTTTGGTGTTGATTTGAGCAAAAAAAAAAAAAAAAGCGACTTGCGAAAAATGGCCAAAATATGCCTTCTGACCAAAGGGTACTATTCATGAAAATCATCATTTTGAAAACTCTTGATCTTATTTTTGACGCTACGAGACGAAAAATAAAGATACCAACGCTACTAGATACACAGAATGTGCGCTAAAGGCTCTAGTTTTTTGATGAATGTATTTGTTTGCCTATTATACTATGAAAAAGATGAGATATGTACGAAAAACCTCATAAACACTTTTGTCTATTTGCCCAATATTTTAGCAGCAAAGTGGTTGTGTTATCTAGATCAGTAGACTCAGAAGACATAAATCTACAGCTTTTGTTATTGTACTAGAACCAAATAACTGCATAAAGATGCAATTCTAAGCAAAGACTCCAAGTCAAAAGCAAGTCAAAAGCAAGTTAAACCTGCCAGGAATTTCATTCGGAGATAATATCGTACATGTTTCGTCACTCGTCTGAATCTGAAAATTGTGATATGCGCATAAAATAGAAGGGGGTATACACGCCTCTTGTTTTTTCCTTTTTTTTTTTTCTAAGTTTGTTTGCTCTGGTGTTTTGGTGTGCTTCTTTCTAAGTACTATCTACAACGGTGTTTCTGGTGTTGCTCTTGGTGTTCTTGTTGTTGTAGCTAGTTCTCATACCCTTGGGTATCTATTCATCCTCTTTTTGTTTTTATTATCCTTTTCTGGCGCTTCGACTGGCCTCGCCCAGTAAGTGTTTAAGAACTTGTTTCTCCTATTCCCTAGATAAGTAAGACTTGATGAGTTCCATATTGCCTTGATGTGGTGGTCCCTGTTACCAAGAGCTTGCTTTACCATTTCATACGGCCGGGTTCCTTAGGGTACCAGGGCTATATTACTAACAGTTTTTTTGGTGTTCTCAACTTGTTGTATCATCAAAGACACTTACATACGTTGGTTTTAAATCAACAGTGTTTGTGTATCGCGATGAGAAGCAAAGAGTGCACTTTTTTTTGTTTCCTTTTTTTTATAGGTTTTTTTCTTTTTCTTTTTTTTTTTTTTTTTTTTTTTTTTTTTAAAAAAAATAAAGTCTATATATAAAACAAAAAAAAAAGCTTACAGTTTGTTTGTCATAGTTTAAAAATTAGTAAAAAGTAATGACCTTGATGAGACAGGTTTTGTATATCTGTTTTGTTAGCCCTCTTTCAAAGCCAGTTTTATTCGATGCGTAATCGTTATTTTGCTTATTAGCTTCAGCAAAAGTAATGTAACATCTACTGAATTATCTTCACTGTGTGAGTAAAGTGAAATCCTTTTGATAAAGTTTGTTCTGCATGCTCATATTTCTGATGAAGAAAGGCAAAACATATTACCATCTATGGGCAGATGTTTGATAACTAATGATTTGCATTAAATGTGAGCAAAAAACCTTGTAAACATCCTTGTCCATTTGCTCAATATTTTAGCATCAAAGCTACTATCAATAGATTCAGCAAGCAACGATCTTTATTTTGTCACTACACCAAAGTCCAATGACCGCGCCTTTATGCAGTTCTCAGTAAAAGCTCTATTTTTATTGCGGTGGGAAGAAGAATTGCCTTCTGTTCCAATCTTCGCGACATAACCATCTGGTATTACTTTGTTCATCTGCCCTACATTTACATTATAAAATACCTATTTTTCTATCTCTCCATGTTTTCTAGCACTTAAAATAGCATGAGATGTCTTATAGAGATCAATTGAGAGCGTACTTTATATCCCATTTAGAGCAAAAATGCGAAACACGGCTTAAATGCACTATTCTTTGATGAACCATTACTCGACAACCAGACTATCAAAACAGTCCGCTTTTTCATTTGAAACATGTTCTTTCGAGCCAAGGAATCGAATGGTACCATTGGTTTGGCACTTGAGTAAAAACGACTTTACTAAGATGAAAAAGGCGACTCAATTTGAGCATTAGCTTCAAATGTGCATTCAAAGTTCATTGTGCACTATAATCAGTACAAAAAAAGTTCTTTTCAGTAGATACTGTTTTGTAAATGCGTGCTTTTCTTAGCAGAGAAACAAATTGTATTATAACATTTGACGCTTTTGAGGTCAAAAAGAACAGTTGAATATCACAAACAATAAAAGTCTGATAACAAGAATTTTTCGTTTTCTTCAAAAATGTAGAGAAATGATTTTTTAAGATTCACTATAAAATTGCTTGTTGTGCATCGAATCACATCAAGAGAGCTAAGTTTATGTCTAAGTTGATAGATCAAGCTGTCCAGACTCACTTATTGCTTTCGTCTTACGAGAATAATGAGTAAACTAAGGCAAGTGCAAACGAAATGAAGCGAGGAATTTCTGATAAGTAACGAAAGCGTGTTCAGATAGATAACGAACAAGTTCAAAATCGAAATCCGGGTTTGCAAATATCTTAATGGGCACAACGGAAACATATAAAGGAAGAGAGAAAGAAAAAGGAATCTCAAAGCATAAAGAAATAGTTAGGTCTCAATGGATACAATCATCAAAAGGAGTGTCAGTCAAAGAAAAAGTATTCCAAAAAAGAATGGATCCATAAGAAAAGATGGCCTTCATGAGGTATATATATTAATGGCAAAAGCTATTGTACTTTTTTAAGTGGACGATCTTTATTGTCGAATGATGAGAAAACCCCCTTGGTGTACTGTTGAAATCTAGAATACGATAACGTTGATTAGGTAAACAAGGTATAGTCTTTCTAGAATAAATTGTATTACTAATTTCTTACGAAACTACAACTTATTTTTAGAAGAGCATTAAATTGTGGCTTTTATTGTGAAAGGTAATTTACATTTTGATAAGAAGTCTTCCCGTGGTCTTTCCGCTCAAGATATCATCAAGAGCTTGTGGAGTTTCTTCTAAGGAATAAATCTTGTGAACACCCATTTCATATTTGGGGATTGTTTCAATAAGACGCTTAAATAAAGCTTTGGTTAGTTCCTTCTCATGATAATAATGCCAAAGCGAATCTGTATGCAATCGAAGCGATTTATCGAAAAGATAAGACATACTAACCTACATATATATAAAAAAAGAAATGAGTAAAAATGCTTTTCATCCAAGGTACTTACAGGCTTAGGCATAGTATCAGCAATACCAAAGGCAATCAAATGTCCAAGGCGACGGGTGGCCTTAAGACCCGTTTCAAAAGTGGTACCACCTACGCTATCATAGAAAGCATCAACACCTCGACCTTGAGTAATCTCCATGATTCTTTCTAAAATGTCTTCTTCTTTGTATTGAATAACATGTTTAGCACCCAATGCTTTTATGCGCTCAGCCTTTTCAGGAGTAGAGACAGATCCTATAACAATACCGCCGCTTTGGTTGATTATTTGAACCAACAAAGAGCCTACGCCACCAGCAGCAGCAGTAACAAACACATAATCTATTGTATGACATTTAATAACAATACGGAACACGAGTTCTCCTTACCTCCTTTCTTGATCTGATATGAATATTCAGCTAGAGTAATTGCTGTAGCATGCGCCAATCCAAACTTGATGGCATCTTCATAAGAGATATCATCAGGGATTTTGACGACTCTGACACTGGATGCGTCAAACACAGAGTATTCTGCATGAGCTCCACCTTCAGCTTGGAAAATACGATCACCGATTTTATAGTCAGTGACGCCTTCGCCAACCTCAATCACCTCACCAACACTTTTTTTTCGTGTTAGTCATATCTCTTTAGAGATATGTCATACAACTTACCTTTCAAATCCAATTGTGTTTGCACCAGGCTTTTTCAATTCAAAAGAATCAGAATAATTGATAGCACTGTAGTAATTCTTGATGACAACTGTGTTTTCAGTAGCAACAGGACGAGGAATTTCTTTGACAGTAGGTTTGCTGTCTTTAGCAACAACAGCTTTCATTGTGGCATTTAAGGGAGCCATTTTGAGTTGGTGAATCAAGGCTCTCAAATTCACATCCTTTATATATATATGCGCTGGATAGTTTTTTCCTGCAAATACCTGTTTTGGTTTATTGTGTAAGCGTATGTGTATTCGTGTGATGATATACTGTTGCACAACAACTGCGCTAAGTACAATATCCATTAGTAATATTCGGTATATATTCAATTCAAACTCAAAATGATCACTTTCCGCAAATTTCTGCTTTTATACAGTATTTAACAATTTCGCCCAGCCCAATTTAGACGTGTGATGTTATTTCAGATGCATTTACTAATTAAATGTTGGAGACAAGTACTCTATTGCTTCAGCTATTTCAACACAACTTCTCTTTGTATAAATCGATCCCAGTAACTTTCAGCATGTCATATCCAGCCTTGACAATCGGCAACAGTAACTTGTTTACAAGCCTCAGCAATACGAGGTGTAAGCATGTTTGATTTATCGAGTGGATTCCTTCTTATGTTTTTCTTAATCTTGGACCAGCATTCTTCGATAGGGTTCAAAAAGGGTGAGTATTGGGGCATGAATAGTGGTTTGTAGCTACGTTAATTGATCGCATACACGACAAAACGAGAGTGATGGATCTTACAGTTGTCCATGACAATAAACATACCTTTTTTGTTGTGTTTATCTGAAATATACATTACTGATTCCATAAATTTGACAATGTGGTAAGCCGTTGTACCTTTTTTAAGCTGGATTGGCTTCGATTCGCTTTTGCTCTCAGCTTTTCTTTTCTCTGAAAGAGATGATCCAGGAAACTCTTTTTCAGTTAGTGCTGTATCCGATTTCTTCAAAGGTTCAACTTTTGAAAAAAAAAAAACGGTGCCAAAGGGAGATATACTACCAACGATGCTGATATTTACGCCTTTCTGCGTCTGAACTTCTACAACTGCTGAATTTTCTACCTTCCACTAAGCACAACTTCTCATTAATTGTGAGTGAAAGCCAGTCTTATCTGCGGCTTTCCACTGACTGACTATATTGAAGCGAAGTTTAAGAGCTCTTGGAGCATCACGCTCCACAGTGTATTTTGTAGCTTACTTGAGTGATATTAAACACTTCTCTCGGATATGTTTATACAGGCCAGGAATAGATATTCCAAGGCCATTAAAATGCTCACACAACTTTAATTTTGCCTCCGCAAGAACAATTGAAGGGTTGTTACCAAGTAACTCAATCAAGAAGGCTGAATGTTGTGGAAACTGTTTTTTTGGTCCTTGCTTAAGTGCCTTAGGAATATTGCCAGGAAGTACAGAACCGTCTCCAGCGTTAAACCCATCTAGCAGTTTGTAAGCACTGCTGCGGGGTATACCGCATTGCTCTGCTGCCTTCGGTGCTGTTAGTCCCTCCTCTTGGATCATTCGAATGAACCGCTCAATTTGATTCTGACCGCATTTCTTATACTTCGCAGGTGTTTTGATAGTAACTTCTTGAAAAGCTTCAGCAAGATTTTCCATCACTTCCTCCATTTCAGATGACTGAAGCTCAGGATTGGGAATTGTGTCCATGTCGATCAACATCTAAACTTCTCCATACTGAATGGCTAGGTCGCTAAAATCTATTTCATCGGTGCTTTCATCGTCTGCCAAAAGAGGGTACTCAGATGGGTTGTAGTGAATGAAATCCATTGTATTTTATTTAGATATTAAAAGTGAAAGATCCAAATAAAAGTTAAGTTCGTTTAAAAAAGAAACACACTCGTCTAAGGACAGTGTCCTTTTTTTTTCACACTACAGTTATTTGATTCTTTTGAAAATCGTCTCAATTTCAAGTTAAATACTGTAGTAATAAACATTTCTAAACACACTTCCAACACATAATCATCAAAAACATCTTTATTTTACTTTAGAACATACCGATGTCACCTATCATTATACGTGGTCCATATAACAAATCCCATTCATATCTAACTGCGAATCAAACGAGCGACGTTTATTCGATTTTTGAGAAGTTCCGTAAACAAATTTTATGCCCTGTAGGTCATACTACAACCACTTTCTACTGTAGAGGTTATTCGCATCATAATCTCGCTTAACTCATGTGCTCTTGTTCCTACTATGACAAGATCTTTAAGGCTTATGAGATTGATATTCTCTTTAAAAGCTCTCAACAGGCCACCTCATCGACCCAATCTGTGCATATTTCTAATAAGAAATCTGAAGAATTTTCTGGATCTTTCTAACAGTCGCCTGCAACAGAGGTTAACCTCATCCAGCAACTACAGAACACCATCCAAGTCCTCACCACTGAGCTCAACAAAGCCAAAGAGGAAATCAAGCACCTTACAGCAAAAATCAACTCTTTGTAACAACAACATGTGATTCCAACTGTACAAGACATTCAAACAACGACCGACTTCCCTGCTCTTACTCAGGATGCTTCAGTGACAAAGTATTCCTCTGCATCTTGACACCAAACTATCACATCCCAACCGCTTTCTTTTGTTGCTGTCTTGCAGAAACAAGTTTCTGCCGTTTGCCTTTTTCAGTCTCCTTCACAAAACCAGGGATTTCAGTGCCTATACATCTCAAACAAAGCTCGTGTACCTGTAGGCCAACTTCGTTCCCGAATACGTACACTTGAAATCAATAATGCTATTATTCTTGAAACTCACTACCCAGACCAAAACATTGACGCCCTCCTCGCCCAATGATTATGCTAAGGAACTTAGAAGAAAATGCATAAATATATTTCTATTCCTTTAATGGTGAACACTCCGTCTGCTCCAAAAAGAAGCATAAATGTATAGATTTTGACAATATAGCTGGCGTTAGTTTTTTAGTGTTTCTCATTTTATTTTATTATGCAATGTTTTTTTCACATAAATAAACTATTTATCTTTAGGCGTGCTTGATAAATTACTGATTTTTTTATGTGTGATAAACAAACTTGTTTATTGCTGTTGAAGATAGTTTCGAGAAATTATACAAAGGTGGTTGCTTTTTGGAGTGAATAATGTAATGAATGGGGTGCTCTTTAGCCACTCCCTCTTTATCCGGTACTCTGCGAATGTCGGTTTGAACATGTTCGATAGGAGGTGGCACATAAGCAACCCGTTTAGCAATAATAAACTAAAACGTTACTGTTTAAGACCTAGTTTCAAAAATCAAGACGAAGACACGACTGAAGGTTTCATAAAGAATTATTGGTACCGTATTTCTCAACATGTCAAAAAACAATACGACTTAAGTTATACTTTCTAAAATGAATACCGGTCCGCTAAACTTTGAGAACTTTTATAGTTTATTAATGACAAAAATGAAGTTAATTGGCTTAAGATAAATGAAAAAGTTATCAACGTAAGTTTGATAGGACCATAACTCGCCTTGCTTTCAAACCTAATTACACGGAGGACCCAAAGGCATCTAAAAGTTTGGGTTATACAATGTTTTGGAGTGTAATCTTTTAATCGTAGCCATGTGCTCTTGTTTGAATCGCATTGTTTCTCGAACTTAAATATAAAAACATTGGTTCTTCAGTTGACGAGATAATACATTGTGGAAATGACCGCACTACTTGAACGATAATTTAGTGGTAACCGAAAATAGAGACTAAATTGCAATGATAACATTTTTTATTTTTCTCTTTTTTTTTTGTCCTTCACTTTCTATATAATACGAAAGATAGTTCTAATGGGTGTTATGAGATCAGTAGACAAAACCTGTGGCCACAAATTCCGTAACCAATCTTTATTGTAGCACTATTTATTGATCATGAGCAAGTATCTGTTACAAAAAAAAAACAACAATCCTTATTTTGTTGGCTTAAAGACTTTCTGCGTATAACTCTTCTTAATTGTGTACTAATAGTTTTATTGTAGGGTTGTATACAACAGCAGAATCAAAATAGAGAAGTTGCTAAATCTTAGCTCTAGAATGACAGACGCTTGTAACAGATGTCCTCTAAGCAATCTGGATGTTTTTTTTTATACATGAAACACCCTTTCAGTCTGAGCGTTTGTTCTTGTATAATTCAAAGAAATAAACCAAAAGACATGTCTCAGTATAAAGAAATGATTTGGATTACATGCATGGATATGCATTGTTTTTTTTTGGGAGAACCTTTCGTTAGACAACAGACCATTAACTCTTTGAATCGCCCAAATGATATTATGCTCTAAGCTGGATATATCTCTTATTATACAAAAAGTGAGTAACTGAAGTGGAGCTGTGAATATAAGATAGTTTGTATTATGTTTAGTGCATGTTCTAAAAGCTACCTTTCATACATCATGGATCATAAAGTTAAAGTGAGTTTGTCATCACTTTGACATTTTTTTCTCTTTCTTTGATCTAAGGGGAGGGGGTATCAGGTGTCTTTTTAATAAGTTATCTGTATGCGAGTAACCAATCCGGTATTCATTCATGTGGTAGAGACACCAGACAAATACAGGTTTCAACAATCCATACAAATCCTTGTCTTTCTCTTAGGCGTATAAAGATTCTCTAAAGCCTGTTTATACACGCAGAGATGCTCGAAATACCTACAGACTATGTTTACTAACATATAGGGTACATTTGGAGTTGATTTGGGAAAAAAAAGCGACTTGTAAAAAATGGCCAAAATGACCATTCGACCACAGGGTCTACTCACGGAAAAAGCTCACTTTGACAACTTTCACTCTTCTTTTGGACGCTGCAAGACAAAAAATAGAGCTATCGACAAGCTTAAATACTCTAAACGTGCTTTAGAGACTATGTGTTTGCGTAACAGTTGTACTACAAAAATGTTAAGATATGAGCACAAAACCCCATAGACATTTTTGTCTATTTGCTCAATATTCTAACATCAAATATATTATGTTCTTTGTACAAGTAGGCTTAAAAAGCAAAGATCTACAACTTTCTTCACCACACCAAAGTCTAATAACAGCTTCTTTATGTAGTTCTCGGCAAAAGCTTAATTTTTTATGCTTCCTGAAAAAATTGAGACGCTTGATTTCAATTCCCGATCATAGTGCTTTCTGTGAACATGCATGAAGCGCCTTTGTTATAAGAATTAAAATAAAAAACTTCAAGAAGGACCGCATAGTCTCGTATAAACTCATTTGGATTCTATTAGGCACTGTAGGTAGCAGAAAATAAGCTCTTTTCAGTAGATTCGATTATATAATAAATTAGCCCACATTTTTACACCATTAAATACATACCGTCAAAAAGTATAGCAAGTTGCATAAAATATCTTTTGACTTGCGCATTTCAATCTCGCCTTCTATTAGAAGCTTACATTATATCAGCTCTCGATAAGTAGCAGCACATAAACATGCATTTGCATGGTATCAAAAGCGTTAAGTAAGAGAAGAAACAATCGTCTACAAAACCTACTTATGAGCCCCTTCCAAGAATAGAGCGGTAGAGTATCCATATCTTTTAGTACAAATACTTTGATCAGGTACTTTTTCCTTTTGTAATTTACTACAATTGTTTGTTATTCTGAAGCATAACGGGTTAAAACCCTAACAGAGATTAATTTTCTGCACTTCTTTTTCTTTTTCTTCTGTATAATGAGCTCTAATGGAAAACGAGATGTCCTGAGGTCAATAGACTATTTATTGTACTGTCATATAGCCTACACCTACTTTCTTGATGCAAGTGTACTTGTCCTGCTTTTTCGTATATTGTTACAGCTGGTAAAAGAAAACTTACAACAGCAGTAGAAAGAGACTTATAAAGAATAGCAACTATTATCGCCAAGAGCTTTAAACAGATCCTTAAGAACAGCGCTTGCTATAGTGACATCGGGATGGTTAATGTGTTTATTGCTACATGCAATAACTGAACCAGGAGAACCTGGTATCATCATTGACTTTATTGGCAATCGCAAGTATACTTCTCGGAATGAACGCAACTGACTTTTCTTTTAGAACAAAAACCAAGCATATTTCGATTATTTATGTTGGACTGCGTTGTATATATTCTACAGATTATACGTGTATTGATTACATCCAGCCTTTCTTCTCAGTTATTACTTAATGGCACAGTCGTCACTACATTAACTGTACCACCTGCACTCGCAACAGCTTTAGGAGCAGAGACTGTGACGCTCATGTTACCCCCAAGAGAGGGATCAAACAGTGAGGATTCAACCGAAGATTTATTTTATCACCATGATTTGGTAGTGGATATTGGCTTAAGAAGTTCAGTTAGAAATATTATGTATGCGGATATGGAAGATCCAAGCACAGCAAGAGATGGTTCAGAACGTTTGCCAGTTTAAAAAATAAAAGAGAATATGTACAAGATGTTTATTATATATACAATGCAATTATAAAAGATATATATGAATTTAAGCAGTAGGAATGAGTTCAGCAACTAAGCTAGTAACTTTTTCAGGGAATTCACGTTCAAGCATGAGTTTCAAGATATGCTTGGCTTCAGCCATTTTATCGTTGACAACGTAGGCACGGACCATGGCTTCATAAGTACTTGGTTCACGGATAACAGAACAATCGTCTTCACCATTAATCTTGTCATCAGTCATAGCATCAAACATAGCTTTTGCCTTTTCCAAAAGACCCTTTTGTCCATAGCCGCGAATAAAGACATTTTCGATATAAGGAGAAGAACTCTTTTGAATTGAACCTTGCATTTCAGTATACAGTTGCTCAGCACGTTCTAATTGATCATTGCTTACAAGAGTATCTAACATGGCTTGATAGACAACTTCATCCTTGGTAACATGATTAGTTTCCATGTCTTGAAAAACGCGTTCTGCACTCTGAACATCATGTTGAAGAGTACCATAAGAGTAGATCAAAGTAGCATAATGAGTACCTTGAGGACGAATGTGATCACAGCGTTCCATATCGCTCAGCATACAATGAGCAGTAGGCATGTCATAAGGAGCAATCAAAGAATAAGCTTCCATCAAGAGCTTGTAAGTATGAGCAGAGGGCTTGATATGGCGACGACGAAGTTCAGCAAAGTATTCCAAGGCACGTTCACGATCAGGCTGTTGACGAACATAGAATTGAATCATGTTGTTAAAGGGTCCTATGCGAGGTTGAAAGCTAGGAGAAGCCAACATTTCATCAAAGAGCTTATGAGCCAAGGGTTCAGAACCAGCACGAACACAGGCAGAGATAATAGCACCATAGGTAATAGAATTAGGCATAATCTTGAAGCTTTGCATTTCTTCAAACAATTTCATGGCAGCATCCAACTTGCGAGCCTTGGCCAATTTGGAAATCACAACATTATAAAAGAAAGTAGTAGGCTTGACATCACGACGCTTGGCTTCATCATAGATAATCAAAGCATCAGTAGCTTCATCAGTAGCACATTTAGCAGAACCAAGCAAAAGGCTAGCATAACCATTGCCATCAGGATAACGACCCATTAATTTGATTTGTTCATAGTACTTCTTGGCATTGACCATATCACCTTGTTGAGCATAACCAATAAGGATACTGTTGGTCATCATGTAAATAGCACGTTCAACGCGTTGAGAGTCCAAACCAGAGTTCTTGAAGCACTTAACAGAGAGATGGTACATGGTGACAGCAGTATCAAGATGACCTTGCTTGCCTACAAAAGCAATAGCATCACGAAGAGGTTCAGCAACAGGCACCAAACCAGCATCAACAAGACGAGTACGCAAGATATCAAGGGCTTCATCTAATTGAGTATGAATAGCAGCCTTCATAACAGCAGCAGAAGCCTCTTCAGACTCACCCACAAGAGGACTGGGCTGAGTGACAACAGCAGCAAAGCCTTCAATTTTGACATTGAAAAGAGATTCCCACTTTTGAGCGCTCTTCTTGTCACCAGCACGGTTAAAATGAGATAACACACGAGACTTGATGCTAGGGCAAACCTTAAGGCCCTTGGATTCCATTTCAGATTGAATATCAAAGACAAAATGATGCATAGGACAAAGAGAAGTCTTGCGTGCAGAAGGACCAGTAGCAGCAGTCGCAACAGAGATAGAAGCATCAAATAAGATAGTATAGTCAGATTGAGCAAGGCGATCATGGTTAGAATCAAACTCATAGTCTTCAATCAAAATCTTGGCCAACTGTAAAGGCAGACCGTGAGGGCAGTGGGGAGTCATAATACGAGCAATCTCCAAAGTTTGTTCCAAATGGCCCTTAGCGTAAGCAGCAATTTCAACAGCAGCATTCTTGATTTTAGCGATACCCTTACAGAGGGAGCGAGCCTTCATAGCATCTAAAATAGAATCAAGAGCACTAATAGCTTGGCTGATTTGACCAAGCTTGGCAAAGTGAATTACAATACGTTCAGCCAACACAGCATCAGGCTCAAGACCTGCACGACGCATATCATCAATAACTTGAATAACCTTGGCACAGTTGGTCTTATCCTTAAGACACAACAAAGCATAGTTGGCCAAATTACCATAAGACTTGGAAATATCGGTTTGAATGAGGGCATCGTACATTTCAGTAGCTTCCTTGAACAGACCCAATTGACAATATGAAGAGAGGACAGGACCGTAACTGCTTGCATCAGGCTGAGGATAAGATGTCTTCATGGACTCGATAAGTTTCTTGGCTTCGGCCAATTGGTTTTGAATACAGTAGTAGCGGATGATAGAGTTGTAAGGAATAGTTGAGATCTTGACTTCACCAGAATGCATATCCTGACGAACTATTCTGAGAGCACCTTCAAGTTGATGGCACTTGAGATGAGCATCCACAAGAGCATTATAGACATAAGAAGCATCATGAGGACCAACACTATCCTTAAGTTCAGAGTATTTGTCAAAATAAGACAAGGCGGAAGGCAAGTCACCAACACGGCCAAAGAGGTTGATCAGAGCAGCAAAGGTAGCAGAAGTGGGTACAGAGTTCATAACAAGTTGGTTGTACACGTGCAAGGATTGTTCCGTGTTACCATAGTGAGACAGGACACGTAAGATCTGATTATAAAGCTCGGCATCGAAGAATTGCACAAGATTTTCAGACACAGCGGCGTCAAAAATTACAAGAGCCTTTTGGAGATTTTCCTCGGCTTCTAATTCAGCCATATTGTTAGATTTGCCTTGATGGTTGGAAGAACGAGCATTTTGACGCTTCAACATGGCAATCACTTTTTGGACTTCAACATCGCGCTTACACAAGGTGCGAATAAGAATAGTATAAGTAGAACTGCTGGGCTGGATACCAGAGAGGAGCATCTCTTCATACACTAATAAAAAACGGTAAGCATCTGATAAGCAAATATTTCCAAAAACTACTTACTCTTTAACATAGGAGCCAAGGGCGTGCCATCACGACGGAGAGAGGCATATGTATCGAAGATGAGATTATAAGTATGATCCGTGAGAAGAAGACCTTTCTCTTGGAGAGCGGCATATTCAGACATGAGCAATTTGAGCTGACCATGGCGTTTCACAGTCAAGATACGGTCATTAGCCTCGAAAGAAGCAGAAGTAATGCTAGGAACTTGAGGAGAAGACTTGGGTGAAGGAGGTGGAGTAATCATATCACCTGCACTGTACACAATGTCGAACACAGGCTCTTCTTTTTCCTCGTCTGGTGTATGGTGGGATCGTGCTGAGGTCGCCTTAGTAAGCAAGTCATGCTTTTGTTGTTCCCAATTTTGCTGAGCAGGAATGGACAAATATTGAGGATTAAATGTAGCTACCTTAGTGTTTTGAATCTTTTTATTGTCTGAAGAGTTACGACGTGTTTGTTGTTTAGTCTTGTTGGAACGACGAGATGATGTGAGAATAGCAGTGGTAGCTCTAGATGTAGGAGTTGAAGCGATGATTTGCATTTTAAAATGATGTTATTTATACAATGAGAGATGAATGATATGAGTAAAAACTAGTTCAAGTGAAAAGGATGAGAATTATTCGAAAGGAAAAAAAGTTTGTTCTTTTATACAAGAAAATGCGCTCTTGTTTTTTGAAATTGGGCCAATCATCTGACCCACGCATATCTGATCATAATATGTGACTCTAAAGAATTAAGGTTTAAATAACTTGTTTGATTATCTGATTCTAGAGCTCCGCCCCTTTAATCCTTTCCCCCCTGTTCTAGGTTACTTTTCTTTAGTGTTGTTTGATGCTAAACAGAAAAAAAGATAGTCAATCGCTTCTTTTTTTAAAGGCATTTTTTCTCTGTTAAATGCATGGCTTCTCTCTTTTTTTTTGTTGCAAATACACAAAGATCTGATAAAATGAAAACGAGGCGCGTATCATTGCAGATTATTTTCCCAGATTAAAAGTAAGAGGAAAAAATTTTCCATTAAACTCGGAGCAGCCCAAAATATACTAAAATGGGGATAATAAGCAGGTTTGTTTTCATCAGATTCTTCTTGTTACCAAATGATAAGTAGAACAAAAGCCAATTAAGACAAGCCATATGGTTAAATGTAACATGAATGATATATGACGAATCTCCCCGGCAATACAATAATTTATCGGGATACAAACCTTCTTTTATGTCGTATTAATCAGAGAAGATTCCTTTAGATCTGATAAAAAATTTGGGGGCCTTATTTTCGGAGAATGGTTGTGGGACCATATCGATTAAGATTCAGTCGCTTTTTTTATCATAATGACTCAGGACCGTTATCTTCCAAGCTAACAACAAAATAATATCAGTAGATAATTTAATTTAAAAGAGAATGGGTTTTTTTTAGACTTGATTTACAAACTTTAATCCAAAATTTAGTCTAAACAAAGAAGCTTGGCATACAGCGAGAAGAGTGATTAACAATCAATTTAGATGCTTGTATTTTTCTTTTTAAAAACATGGCTGATTTCAAAGAGCACTTGGATAACACAAATTAAGGAGCAAAAAGCTCTCATCACAGGCGATTGCACCACCATCAAAAGATCTGATAAATCCTTTTTTCCGAGACCAGAATCAATTGTCTTGAGATTTAAATCAGAGGTTGTACAACGTAATTCAAGTTGGCTTTTAAGTAAAAAGGTGTTGGACGATAGATAATCTATGATTATTAATAGACTATGATAACGACTCTCTGTTTGTCCCTTATTCTTTAAAATTCACACGGGCATAAGAAACATAGTGCTAAACTTAATTCAGTGCAATTGTCTTTTTGCTTAGTTAAATGAAATTTGAAATAAGAAGAAGACGATTGTGTCTTTATTGTTCAAGATGTTTATGTTTTCCTAGAATTCCGACTAAGTTGCTTATCAGATTTTTTTAGAAATAGTGTAATTAAAGAATGCCCAGACTTTGTTTCAGCGATTGTTTAAACATGCTTATCAGATCTTTTGATCAAAGTAACGCATGGGCTCACATGATAATCATTTATGGCGCAGGATCTGATAATTCTATTTTCCTAACGTTCATATAAAGTTTTGCGCTGTTTTAATGAATAAATAATCCACTAGTGTTTTCCAGACTGACACAAACTTATCAGATCTTTTCTCTCGTTGTTTTTTGACTTCATTTGCATCATCTTCATCAGATTTTTTTTGGTTGTGAGGCTTCGGAAAACATGGTTTTTCTCATTGTTTGTGTCACTTTGATTATCTTTTCGTCTTTCTACATCATTCTTGTAGCCAAGCTTTTCTTTGCAAACTGGAAATGTTGCTTATTCTGAATACATAATCGGTGCAAATATGACAAAACGTTTTTGAACCAGAAAAGCAGCAATGCATATATACCCATTTGAATTGATTTTACTCTTGAGCTAATAAACAAACATGCTTTTTGGTTAAATTTCTTATCAGATCCTTTTGATTCTGAGATGGGAATTAAACGCATGTACCCCCACTTTTTTGTAGCTTGTGTTATTCTGTCTCTAACTCCTTTATCGGATTCTTTTCTGATGATGTTCGATGTAAACCCCGCTTCTTTCGTTTCTGTCTCGCCATCCTTTATCAGGTTTTTTTTATTCGACTTCTAATTTCAGTATTTTGTTTTAGTGTTTAAAAAAGATCAAGGTCAATCTAATGCGGGGAAGATAAAGTTCAGTAGTTTAGTAAATTATTCCAGATTTAATCTAATGTTTATTGTATAATATGTCTAAAGTCGACTATGGCTTTCATGATACGAAGGATAATCAGTATATCCGATAGCGTCGTGTGTATAAAACGTCTTTCTATCATACTTGTTGAATGCATATTGATGCTTGATTCTGTTTGGAAGATCAGGATTAGCAATAAAAGCACGTCCAAAAGCAATCAAATTATCCGTCTTTTCAGCAATTTCGAGAGCATGTTCAACTGTGTTACTATAACCGCCTGCACTAATAAAGGGACCTTTCCAAATGTTTCTGTAAGAATCTAATGTGTCCACAGTATTCATGTTGGAGTCACTGTTAAAGTTTGAACGACTCTCAATAAAATGAAGATAGGCTAAGTCAGGGTAATTGTTTTGAAGCTGAGAAGTCAAGTATCCCCAAGTCTCTACTGGTGTGTCGTCTTTCATACCTTGGAATGAACCATTAGGCGAGAAACGAATAGCCGTACGATCAGCTCCAATGGCGTCTACAATTGCATCTGCAATCTCGAGCGATAAGCGTGTTCTGTTTTGAACATTGCCACCATATTCATCTGTTCTTTTGTTTGTGGATGAATTAATAAACTGATCCAAAAGATACCCATTAGCAGAATGTATTTCTACACCATCAAACCCGGCTTCAATAGCGTTGATAGCAGCTTGACGATAAGTCTTGACCAATTCCTTTACTTCATGCGTTTCCAAAGCACGAGGTGTCTCATATGGCTTACCGTTTGGCCTTTTACCAGGTATAGGAATGGCTGAGGCAGACACGATCTGCTCTCTGTTCGAATTCAGACTGGAAGATCCAGCGCGACCTAAATGCCATAGCTGCAAAAAGATGACACCGCTTTTCTTGTGAACTGACTCTGTCACTTTTTTCCATTGTTCAATTTGATCCCGAGTGTAGATACCAGGAGCTTGACGATAGCCACCTGCATGTCTACTAATAAATGTGGCTTCTGATACTAATAAGCCTCCAGGAGTTGCTCTTTGTGTGTAATAATCAATTAAAAGTTGAGTAGGGACTGCCTCGAGTGTGGCTCTAAAGCGAGTTAAAGGTGCAAGGACAATGCGGTGCTGCAATTGATAGCGGCCTATTTTGGTTGGTAAGAAGGCCTTCTTGGTGGTCATCGCCGAGATCAGTCAATAAAAGAAGAAGAAAAAAGAAATGAAGGCAAAAATAGCCATTTTCTAAACACGCTTAGTAACCCAAAAAAATCGAGGGGAAAAGCTTATGTAAATTTTATTGAGAACTGCCTTCAAGTTCCAACTTGACCCTCTTGCTTGCGTTTGTTATGCAAGTAATTTAAATCTACGCTGAAAGGACTTTTCGAAGCATTCATGTTTTCTAAAAAAAAAAACTCTTTTTCTTCATAGTGTTTTCCCAGTTAGATATTTACTAAAAGAACTTTTTTTTTTTTTTTACACAAAATTATTTTTTTGGTCTATCTTCAGAGAAAAGAATAGATGAGAATTTCACGCCACTTGAAACTGCATCTATCAGAATGCATATGATTTAACACTACTTTCTGTATAGATTTGTTTGATGAATCTGAAACAAGCACATATCATATAGCTGACGATAAAAGATGAGAAAAGCAAGTTGTCTAGACAATGTCTCGAATTTCGCTATGATCTCTTTTGTTTATTGACTATCTTTGGCTTGTCACATGTAGATCAAGTAATACATGTGACTGGTGCGAACAGAATAAAATAGTATATTTGATACAACCATGTTTGTTTTTCCCCTTCTTTTTTTTTATTTTTTTCTTCTGTTATGGCCATATCAACCGAGATTGCGACTTATGCAGCAGGGATGTATAGCAATGCATCTTCAACATTATTGCCCGAGAATATTGCGAATTTCATTACAGCCATTGCCTTGGCAACCCGATTGTCACTCAGATGCTCTTCACTTTTCATAGAAGCATTGATGGAATCAATTAAATACAGTACTTCTTTTTCATTTGGCATTTCAAGACAAGCTATCATAAATGCGCTATCAACAGCCAAAAAGTTACACAAATTGACAGCAACATCCAAATCACTCGTCACTTGCTCGGATACCGAAGTCGATCCTGAAAGGTACTATCAGTTCCTTGTCATTATCATCCATCGCTTATCATTGTATTTTAGGAATGGTTTTTTGCAAGTACTCGATAAATACACTAGCCTTGGTATTTATATTGTGCACCATTCATTTACATTGGCTGAGTTGTTTGCCTTGTCTGGTATACACTTTACTGCACAAACGATTAAATCTGGACTTATGGTATACACGTATACAAAGAGGTAGAAAAAGAAAAAGCTGATTCGTTTTTATAGGCTGCTGAAGAATCTGTTGGTATTATCGATGGTATTTTTGGCTCAAATGAATCTTCTCGAGCTATCGCTTCTATTATTACACTTGTTCATCGCGAGTTAATGAACGATCCCGAATTTGCATTAACTAAAATCGGTAAAGTGGCTATTTTGTCTGGGTTGACAAAAGCAATGACCGCCTTTGCTGTCCTCCAAAATGTCACACATAAACGCACAATGAAGCATATGAACATTACTGTTCTTTGGAAGGGTCTTGTTGTTGAAGAAGAAGAGAACTCACAAGCCTTATTGCAGCTCAAGCAAGAACAGCGCCAGCAAGAGCAGCACACAGACATTATTCATGAACTTGAGGAGATACTTACAAACACAGCATCCAGTCATCCTGGCTCAGGAGATGCCTCCAAAGTCAACAGTTCTTTAATTAGCCTGTCTTCGTCTTCATCTAATCTAAATGGAAAACCCATTGATTTGTCATTAGACGAAAATAGAAACCCCTATCATATGTATGAAATAACGACCACTACCAATCGAACCATTACCAGAACCACTAAGATTAGACCGATTGATGTCAACGGAAGCCGAGAAATTAGTGCAAAACAAGTGATTGAAAGGACAGATGAACAAGAAGAGGAGTCGTTTATTGCTGTTGTAGATCATCAAGTACAAGATCCTCAACCTATCATGAGTAACCAGGCCCCCGAGTATCGTCAAATAACAGCTTATAATGACACTTTTCAAGGTAGCACAGAAGAAAAAAGAACTGGATTCAAAATCATGTTGTCTTCTGTCTCCAAGAAATTGGCTCGTAGAAAAGTAGAGCGACAAACAAGGTATTCGAGCCATCAAGACGATAAAAGCAGTGAAGAAACAATTGAGGGTCCTGTTCGAACAAGAACCAGTACTTCTACCACATATCAACAACACCAATCTTCCACTTCTCAATATTTGAGTAGTCATCATGATGATGATCCTATGGAGGACCCTTCATCGTATTCCGAGCCAGAAATAAGCAAGCCTAAAAGACGATTGTCATGGAGTGGCCTCAAGATCAAGACAATCGCTAAAAAGAAGAGTATGACCAACTTGCTTCAAAAAGGAGGTAATAAGCGTAAAATTCCTAAACCATCTGAGCCCATACCACCTGTACCCACATCAAATGCCTCTGTTTATTTACATAACAACAACAGTAATCAGCGAACTTCCTTATCAAGCATCGCACGTACATTAAAAACGACAACTTATTCCGAAGAAATGCCCTCTGTATCTAGTAATGCTTCTAACCAATCTCTGGTTCGATCACCCTCAGTCCCTTCTCGGCTATGTAAAACTGTATCTCCTTTAGATATGGAGCCCAATCCACAGAACTTTCCTCGGAAGCATATCATTAGTAATATTGCCCATTTTATTCGATATGCAAGTGCTGCCTATGGCGAGTCTTTTATGCGCATCTTGGGTATTGGTGATATACCGAGTGTTTTACCTAACTCACATCATCCAAACCATCATGCTTTTGCTCACCATACAGGTGTAGCAGTAGAAGACATCCTGCTCTCAAGTTACACAGACACACACGTTCTTTCATCGGTTGGTCATTCCAAGCTACACGCGCTCGTTCATTATGTGACTGTAGATCATCATGCAGAAGCAATTGTGCTCACTTGTCGAGGTACGCTTGGACTAAGCGATGTCTTGACCGACTTGACATGTGACTACAAGGAGTTCACGTTACCTACAGACCAAGTACCTCATGGAGATGAAGCGAATGGAGGCCAAAAAAGACAGTATATTGCACATGGTGGCATGTTAGAAGCAGCTCAATTGCTTGCCACACAAAAAGGAAAAGTGTTTGAAGCTATAAAATTGGGTTTAGAACGGTATCCTACTTATGGTCTTGTGCTCTGTGGCCACTCACTGGGTGCAGGTGTCGCTAGTTTACTCAGTGTTCTATGGAGTGAAGAAAAGCTTCATTTCCTATCAAGGCGTATGATGACCATGCATGATGGCGACCACCACATTCAAAGCCGTTTTCTAGACTCGTTTGCAGCTGCTTCCATCAAGCGAGTCAGTTGTCCTTTTGTTACTTCTGAATTATCAGGTTTACCAGCTGGCCGTCCCATTCATTGTTACACATATGGATCTCCTTGTGTTATGTCTTTGGCGCTTAGCGAGTACTGTGGACAAGGTTTGGTAACGAGTGTAGTACATGCATTCGATATTGTTAGCAGTTTAAGTTTAGGGCTTCTGAAAGACTTTAAGAACATTGCCGTGAGTTTGCACGAAGAAAGACATGTGGCAGATGAGATTCTAAGCAGAGTGATTGGTTATTACCATAAGCACAAAAACGACCAAGAACAGCAAGAAATTCCAGAAGAAGAAAACGAACAATGGTTTTGGGCATTGATTAAAACAATGCGGGCAGATATGCGAGCAGAGAAATTATTTCCTCCGAGCAAAATGTATTTGATTGAGTCTGTTCCTCAACTGGCTCAACATACAGTATCGTCTGGAGCAGACAGACGAGCATCGAAACATAAAATGGCTCATATGGTACGACTTAGTCAATGTGATGATGTGCAGGCACGATTTTCAGAAATTGTTTTTTCTAGAACTATGTTTATGGATCACTCGCCCAACATGTATGAAAAAGCCATTAAATTGTTAAATAAAGGATATTTTGGACAATACTATTATCTAAGCAACTGTCCAGATTCAGTAAGCCTCAATGGCAACACGTGTGATTTCAACCGAGACTTGATATAGGCACAGACAAATTTTGAGCATTGTCCAATAATAGTACAAGAAGAAGAAAAAATTTTTATAGTTTCAACACGGCTAATTCAAAGGCATTGTAACACACACACGCATATATATATATATATATATAAATGTGCTTATGGAATGACAAACATGGGTTTAATAGTCTATCTGATTTCCCGGCAGACATGCGTATTTAAAAACCAGTTACCAAAGTAATCTTATCGTGAGAAAAACTAGGAAGGATAATTTCCTTTCTGGCGGAGTGAATAAGGGTCCTTTTTCTACTCAGTTCTACTGCATTATACATATTGGCAAAAAATAACCTGTTTTGCTCAAACGGGATTCCAGAACGCATTGTTGCAATTGTTGTAACATACGAAATATGAGATGATTTTCTGAGCAACATGATAAATTTTTTTTTCTTGGTAGAAATAGATCTTATCACTCCGATCAGAAACCATTGGATCTTCCTATATTTTGTACATGTCTTTTACTAGTGTAACCCAATGCTAAAAAATTACTAACAGCAAAGTACCTAAACACAAAATTTACGTTTTGCCGAATCTACGGCCAAAAACGAGTCAATCAGAAGCTAGCAAAGTAGAGCAGCTCAGTGTTGATTGGCTATGACCGTGAGAACTAGTGGCGGGGTCCAGAGTGTAAATTAAAAAGAGTCACTACTTTGCGATGGGCACATGTTTGTTTTCAGCAGAAATTCCAAAATAATAAAAAGTGAATCATGTGAAATAAATCATTTTTCTTCTCTTCTTTAGATTTATCATGGTTTGCGCCACCAATAGCGCCATTCTACAAATGACCCCCACCGTAAATTCTGAAAATCAAAAGCCTTATGATTTTATGGAAGAAGACACTGACTCAGAAGAAGATTCTTCTCAAGATGGCTCCACCCCAACAACGCCTGCCACCCAACCAAAGCGTCCTATCACTCAAGCCCTTTTCCTCAATTTTACTTCGGACCTTTCTCCTCAAAAAATGAGTAAAAAGAAATCAAAGCCAAAGAAACAAACAGCTTATCGTGTCAATGGTGTCAACATATTGAACAGGTAAAAAAAAAAAAAAAAAAAAAAAAAAAAAAAAAAAAAAAAAAAAAAAAAAAAAAAAAAAAAAAGAATACACAGCTGAGACAGCATGGTCCTAAATAAATTCTGTAGAAATAATCTTGACAGTAAGACAGCTATTGAGCGTATTCAAAGAAGAAGAGAGAACCATAACCACGTAGAACGTCGTCGAAGAGATAACATCAACAACACTATTTTTGAACTATCGAGCGTTGTTCCAAATGCTATTCAGCCTGGACAAAAGCCCAATAAAGGCAACATCTTGAAGCTCTCGCTTGATTACATTAGAGTAGGTAATGCCTTGCCTTACTGTTTATACTTACCATTCTTTAGGATTTGCAAGCAGAAAACATGGCCCTTAAAGAACGCCTATATCAGTATACATCTCAAACATCTCCTCCATTACCTCCTTTGAACTCTAATAATAACACAGATGATTCATTGATCAAAAATCAAACACCACAACAATCTCCGTCTGCACCCACCTCTCCAAGATTTTTACGTAATACTAACAGTAATCATTTTCAACTACAACCTACAAGTATGTCTGTACCATCTTCTCCTCATCATCATATTACTGCTGTTTCTCCTTTTGTACCTAATTTGCCTCCACTTTCTTTACCACCAGCTCGACAACAACAACAGCAACAACAGCAACAACAACAACAACAACAACAACAACAACAACAACAACAACAACAACAACAACAACAACAACAACAACAACAACAACAACAACAACAACAACAACAACAACAACAACAACAACAACAACAACAACAACAACAACAACAACAACAACAACAGCTTCAAACTGTCTTTTCTACCATGTCTGTTTCTTGCTCTCCTGCTTCAAACAACTCATCTATTGTCTCTACCCCTTCTTCATCTTCTTCTACTTGTTCCTATCCCTATTACAATCAAGCACATCCTATTCAGCCTCAACAACAATTTGCTCAAATACAACCACATCACCAAGGAGGTTTCCGACCTCTTTTACCAGCTACAACCACTACCACATCTCCTCCTTCAACTCAATTTTTGCCTTCTTTACGTATGAGTGGCTATGAAAAAATATATGGCAATGTTTGTCGATACTAAAATATACACACACACACACACATATATATACATACACAAACCTTGTAAATACCACTATTCCATATTTATATACATATATGCATATTCCATGATTCATATCAAATAAAGAGAAAGTTTATTTTTTTTTTTCAAGCATACACGTTACTCTGGTTTAGTCATGAACAATCCTCTTTTGGTTGAATGTCTTTCTTTTGTACAACTAATAGGTGTACTTTTAGATGTTTGAATGAAAAGATCATCTTCATCATCTTCATCGTCATCTTGCATCATTTCTTTGTTAGGATCTGTAATTTCTGTTATCTTTTTAGGTATTGGTTCATCTGGTTCTTCCAGCATAGTCATCATAATAGGATAGTGTTTAATATGAAGTTGAGAGCTGGATCTATTCTCTAAAACAGGTCTATTCTTTTTACTCTGTAATTCATTCAATCGATGAAGACGCAAACGATAAAGGATTTGATCAATAGACAACTCAATCTGCAAGTGATTTTTAATAATTGACATTTCTGTATTGAGTATTAATAGGGCAACATCCTTACTGATGACTTACTTGGCCAAGTGGCTCGTTCTCCTCGTTGAACACACTCATTAGCGTATTCAAGTGATGGGTTTGAGAGCACTTTAAAGAAATCAGAATATCCAATTTCAGGTACAATAGTAATGTCACCAGAGTATTTTTGTGACATGATAGACTGTATCTTGTAGAAAAAAGAAGACATGATACCTAGTTCCGTTAACTATATATATATATGTATGTAAGTAAGTAATGTGTATTAGGCAACCTCTATTTACTTGAGTGCATCGATGCTGTGCTTCTGTCTTGGCCATATGCATACAAAAGTTTGCGGCTTGTCTTAGGCGAGAAGGTGTGTTTGATTTCTGTAGAAAGGGAATCACATGTGGATTCACTTGACATACAATGAAATGATTGACATTAAATAGTTCAGATAGTTTGTTCATTGGCAAATCACTATACATAAATATATTCAGTAAACTAAATCAGGCATGTCCTTCTTACTTTTCAACAGAACCATCAATGTAAAGTTGATCTAGAGTGATTCAGTTAGTTAGTAGAGAGAGCATTTTTGTCTGTATAGTATACTTGCCACTTGGATTCCATGGTGCTACTTTGCCATTTTTATCTTTGGAGAAAAGTGGAGTAGATCCATAGAAAACAGGTACTGCACATGATGCTGCACTAAATAAACAGATAAATATAAACCCCCCCTTTTTTTTAAAAAAAAAATAAAGTCTGACTCACACTGCAGACCAAATCAACTAAGAAGCATATAAGTTATATAAAATATATGATTGAGTATTACTAACCACATCTGGAGCAGTCAAATAGTTCATTAATCTAGGCATATCATACAAAGTAGAAGAGCTGACTGTGATATTTAAAATAAATCGAGTTCGATTAAATGCTTCCTGATAAAAGCAGTAAGTAATGATTTCTACTATATGTGTCTGGTACCTGAAATGTCATATCTCCTAAATTGGCTCTTATGGCTTCTCGTAAAATGTCCACATTAAATACTTGCCCTGATGTCAAAAGACGATGCAGACGAGCAAATGAAGAATCTGGTTCACCTTCTCTCTCAAACACATCCTATCACCAAAGTTAAATAGCTTGTGATAAAGACAGCATTAAGCTTACGAGTCGAAATGTAGAAGGGTCAAATATGGTATGTAGTTCATCATTGGTCTTGGTACAAACAAGGGAAGCCATAATACTGCCGCTTGAAGCACCAGAAATAATACGCGGTAATAACTGAGCTTCATGCAAGCATTTCACAACACCAATATGATTTAGACCCAATGTACCACCCCACTTAACAATAAAGCAGTTCTACCAAAGCTTTGTCGAATATTCATAAAGAAATCATGTTTTGCTTTTAGGTCTAGATGCTCATCAGGATCTGTTGGTTCATCACATATCCAATTGAGCTGTCTTACGACCTCTTCAATATACTCAGTTGTCAGGTCTTTTGTTCCTACACGTGAATATGAATAAAGCTATTAAATAATAAATAAACAATATTCATATGATACACAGTTTTACTTTTGGGTTGCCCATATCACCTAAATTTCTAGCCAAGCTTGTTCTCAAGGCAAAAATCATGGCTACTTGTCCTTTATTCAAGCGTCGAATCTTGCGTAATTGATCGAGTCTTGCCTTGACCAACTCCCAATCATAATCAGGTGATTCGAGTTCTCTTTTCCATTCATTGAAGCCTTGTATGATAAGCAACAAGTGTTATTTTAAGCACTTACCATCCATTTCATCTAATATGTTGGCTGCTTCTGCCCATTCTTCATAACTGGTCGCCGTTTTAAGTAAATGTTCGTAGTATGATTTTGATTGACTAGAAACAATTCTATGGTATATTTTCTTTAAATGTATTTAATTTCATTATTTTCAATGTATGTATATTTTACAGTAGGGCAAAATGAAGTCAGGCCAAATGATTCTGCATTCATCTCAAATTTAACAAAAAAAAAAAAAAAAACAAAAAAAAGAAAAAAAAAAAAGAAATGATTGGTTTCGTCTTTAAATATGTTGTCTTTGGCACGTGAAAACAAAGTGCAATTTTATTTCCTTTCTAAATAGTAGCAGTGATTTCTTGTTGTCGCTTTCTAGCTTCTTCTTCAGCTAAATCTTTCAGTCTTTGTTCTTTTGAGATCCCAGACAAGTATTTCCATTTGGGGATATCTGTACACACCTTCTTCATGTTATCTGCTGCTGGTGTGTACCAAGTGTCTTCAATTACGTATTTTCTTGAATAACGGAGACAGATTTCAGTTCTAAAGTTATCGTACAGACTCTTGTTGTGAACACGCTAATTCATGTGGAACAATGAGTAAATGGAATAACACAGTTTTTTTTTAACTTACTTCTCTCGTACGGTCATGGTTGGCATATTTATGAGATTGGTGGATTAAAAAGTCATTTGGAAGCACCCAGTAATCAACGCCAGAAATAAAGATTTCATAAAGACAAGCAGCCTTGTTGGCACCATAGCCAATAAACCGTTCATCGCACCAGGGAGTTCCTTCTTTCTTGTAGATGATATAAGGTTCATATGAATATTCGTATTGAGTGACAGGATACATCTCCGTAGCGGTGTACCAATATGTGTAGTTGGTAGCACCATGACCGGAGACCCAGGAGCTATGGAAACTATCGAGTTTGTTTGACTTGACTTGTTTGATCACTTGGCTCTTTTTAGTAGGGAATGTACGCCAGTCCATACCATCTTTTTGGTTTAGGTATTCAAAGGCAGGCACAACAATGGCTGTCTTTCCGGAAGCCAACATGTTTGTCAACTTGGGGTCATTGAAAATAGTCTTACGGAAATCAGTACAGAGATGGAAATCAACATCAAGCATCATCAAATAGTCTGTACGAGTAAATAGTTTGGCAATGTTTCGCCACATGTTAAATTGTCGATCGTATTTGTCAATAATGAGATGGACATCAACAAATTTTTGCATATCTGGGTTTGAAATATAAATTTTGCCTAGTTCCTTCATGGTAATAAGTTTTTCGTCATCATCCAAAACATGGATAGCAGCAGAGATAGGACCTAATCATCTCGTCAGTTTATCTAGAGTTGAGTTTTTTTTTTGTTTTTTACCTTGATAGTTAGTGGCTAATCTACTTAACACATGGAATCGATTACGAGTAACTAACGTGGCCAGAGTGATATCTTGTGCTTTCATTATATGGGATGCTTTAAAATAATAGGGCGTAACGTTATCTAGACCCATACTACTGGAAAAAATTTTTGACTTGACGAGTTGTTCAGCAATCTTGTGGTGGGTATCACTGCCTATTCAATGTATCGATAACTATGCTATGATTTTTGTTTATAGTTACCCTTAGAGCCTGGCCATATAATTTGATTGTGGTCAATATCATCTATAACTTGAGTTGGACGTTCTTCAACGATAATTTGTGCAATGTCTTCTCTTCTATTATTATTGTATTTATTATGACTGAAATCCTCAGTTGCATCGACAGTTGTATTTACATGGTGTACAGAAAAGTAATGGTTGGTGGTATAGAACAATGATATCATGATATAAACAAAGACAGCATATTTTGCTAGTCTAGACACTTTTACGTTTGATTCTAAACGCATCTTAAAGGAAAGGAGTCAGAAAAAAAAAAAGGAGAAAAAAAAAGAGACAAAGAGACAAAGAGAGAGAGAGAGAGAGAGAGATGCTCTATACAGCAGGGAGATAAAGAAAGGAAGGAAAAAAAAGAGAGAAAAGAGAGCATCCGATCTGTTATTTTATATTAGCCAAAAAAAAAAAAAAAGGGAGTTGGCGTGCTTGGTAGTACATACAATCAAAACTAATTTACTATTTGTATCACATAGAAAGTAATTAACCAACATCTTTTTTATTGTAAGTCCAGACTACTTGGCATAATGACCATAAACCAAGTCATAGCCATCAAATTCATACAAAATACGGTTAGTGCGCTTATATCCATTCAAGGCAGACATAGAACGAACCATATGGCTGTGGCTGTGGTGTTCCTTGTGATGAGAGGTAAAGTAGGTTACAGTAAAAGAAGAGGGATCGAAAATGTCAAGAACACGAGTAATCAAGGCTTCAATAGGACTTTCGCCTTCTTTGTGATCATCACCGTGGGACTGTTCAACGGGTATATTACTTTCAAAAGAAGCATAAGAGCATTCAGGTTCAGGTGTAACATGGAAAGTAAAGTATCTATCCTTCCAGAGACCGTTTGAGGAATAGCCACAAGGTTCAAATAAATAAGAGTCAATCTTGGCAGAGGGGTAGAGTTGATCAATACCAGTTTCCTTGTCTACCCATACACCACCTGGGATACCACTCTCTGTCTTTGCAGGGTCGTGATAAAAGTACTTCATGTTTTCTGGATTTAAACCTGTCATATGGATTTCCACTGTTTGGTCTGGATGTGAATGACCTCCATTGCCAAAAGGAGAAGGATCTTCATCTGTATCTGATGTAACAGGTGTAGATTCTCCGCTTTGAATTTCTTTTTCTTGCATCACACTGCGTAAGTGAGGAGGGTAGGGTGAAGGTCTGGAAGCATGGTGGAGTACATCATCAGAGGGTTTTGTCAAATAGAGATGCCATTGGTCTTGCAATTCCTTACCAATCTTGTAAGAGGAACCTTGGTCTAATGGATGTGTTATTACATGCGTATGTGTGTGTGTGTGTGTATAGTCTTACCAAAGTACTTGTCCAAGAATTCAACTTCTTCTTCCCAAGAGCGGTGGGGGCCCTTTTGACGCTCAGGGAACATAAAGGCTTTTCTAGAATAAAATACTCGCCAAACCTTTTCAAATCCGCAATAACTCTTGGCGAGTTCTAAAAGTCGAGGTAAAGCCAAAAGGAGTGTGGTGGTACCACATGTTTTTATGATCATCTTGTGAGGGTACACAAACATCGATGATTCGCTAAAACACGTCCATATATATAAGTATAAAAAAATTTTTTTTCCTCTTCTTCTCTTTCATCTCTTACCTCAATAAATAAGCATCAACGTCCTTGTTTGTAATGACGTTCAGAACAGTACATTTAACTAATGCCAACATTTTATCCAACACAGGTTTAGGGATTACAAGAAGACCGGTCTTACCATCAAGAGGAGCATGGCTTCTTCTCTTTCTGGCATCATTTTCTTCTTCATCTTCTTGTTCATCAGAGGAAGAAGAATCCAAGTTTTGATGATCCTTAATAAGTTCGGGTGAGGGCGAGAACCAGATTTCTAAGAGTTTTTCAGGGCCTTCGAAAGCACCTTCTTGGGCAGAGTAGTTTTCACCGGGAGCTGGAGCTGGAGCTGAAGGATGAATGAGGCTTACCATAGAAATTGAAGTTGTAAAATGTAATGTATATTTATGTGCGTGTGTTACGGAGGTCGAAAAGGTATCTGTACTTGATCAAGTACAAAAAGTAAGGAAAAAAGTCTTGATTTAACGGCTTCTAGAGAGATGTTGGGCTATTCCACTGTGACGTTTTTATAAGGAAAAAAACGACCAGTATAATATGTTAACAGAAAGAGAGAGAGAGAAGAGAAAAACAGTAAAAAACAAAAATAAAAAAAATAACGAAACAGAGTTAATGTAATGGGTAGAAAGAAAAAAGAGAAGAAAGAAAAAAATATTTGTCGTATAAATTTTGATGGCTTTGTTGGATATCAACGAAAAGATTTTTTTCTTGAAAAAAGCAAAACAATTAGAACCCTGAATGCTAAACGATTATTGGCGCATTGACTAGAAACGTGACTATTCATTCTATTTGCCGGTCGTGGGTAGACATGAAAGCCACCCAAAGTAGACTAACGCGTATTTTAATTCTCCATCTTTTTTTTTTTTAGAAAAAGTTACTTCGTCCATTTCTGGGTAAATGTAGAGTAAGTCGAAAAAAATAAGGCATTTCATAAAGAGAAAATAAAGAGAAGAAGAACTTGATTAGCTAAATCTATAAATCAAATAACATTCTCGATTGTTTTACTCCATAAAACAATGTTTAATTTTTGATCTGAAAGATTTAAGACATATATGTTTGTGTAATGCAGCCAAAATTCAATTGGTATTTTATGTGTTTTACTTTTGGTGATGAGACTCAAACGTATTGTAATGGATAGAATGACAACTTCATGAGTATTCATGTTCTCAAAAGCCAAATCAACAATACTACAACTGCATAGGATCTGAGCCAATAAGGAAAAGGTGCCTTAAAATTTCAACTATGTAATACGATACGTCATATTCATAATGGCCAAAGACGACATCGTGATAAAGTGAGAAACCAAGCGACTGTTTTTAACCATAAAGAGACTGACAGCTATGCCATCATTCAAGAATTACAAGCGGCGATTGAAAAATCAATGTACTTTGATACTTATTGCCATGGACTGCTTTTCATCATTAAAGTGGCTGACCTTTTAATGCAATCCGTTTATTTTTTCTTTATTCTCTACACGTGTGTATACATTAAACCTAAATGGCCACAGAAGTTGTTTTGTCAGCATCCAGCACAGACAGTACTATTCATGTCTGGGACATTCGCTCTGGATCAAGTTTGTTCTCTTTCAAGCAAAGCATGTCACCTGTAGGTGGTCTTACACTTGTACCAAAGCCCGGTGCTGCTTTTCAAGTGGGCGCTGTTGTCACAGCTCAAACAGACCGAGCCATCCTAAATGTATATCAGTTCCATCGCGACCAAGTACTTTACAAAATGACAACAGCAGAAAAGATGGTCACTGTCACATCGTCTCATCAAGGCCAATATTTAGCAGCTGCCACGACAGGCGGAAAAGTATATGTATGGCAAATATCCACAGGTCATTTATTGCGCGTTTTCGAAGCTCATTATCGTCGAATTACACGTCTTGTATTCAGCCATGATGATACAACCCTGCTTACAGCCAGTGAGGATGCAGCAGTCAATGTATGGCTCTTGAGTCAATTGATTGAACCTACAGAAGACATCTCTATGCGCCCTTCTCCTCTTTATTCTTGGTCAGATCATACATTGCCTGTGACTGATATCTATGTAGGATATGGCCAAATGTCAGGTGCTCGTGTATGCACAGCCAGCTTAGATCATACTGTCAAGCTATGGGATCTTGCTACAGGCCAGCTTTTGACTACCTTCTTGTTTCCTAAAGCTGTTTCGAATGTGATGATGGATCCTTCTGAAACTGTCATGTTTGCTGCTTGTGAAGATAAAATCTATTCTTTTGATCTCTACAAGCGTCGTCAAGACCAAACATATAACAACACAACCTCTTTAGAAAGTCTAGGTGGTATGGCTCGAGTAGAATCAGTTGGTATTCGGTCCTTGAACCAACAACAAGAACAAAAAGATGAGTCGTCCAATCCTGGATCTGTCTTTACTGGACACACAGGCAACATTACTTCGCTTACATTATCATTTGATGGTACACTTTTGATATCTGGTGCAGAGGATGGTAACTGTATTGTTTGGGATGTTGTAAGTAGACAACCTTTGCGTAAATTTGAATTGCATAAAGGACATGTCAGTCATGTTGCTTGCTTTTTAAGACCTGTTGAATTACACCCTAATGCACAACAACAACAACAACAATGGGCACCTATGCCATGGAAACCACTGAAGCGTGCTATAGCTACATCAGAAGAAGAACATCGTGATGCATCTCAACAAATTATTCAACATACCATGATGGACTTGGCTGCTCAACAACAATTGGTCGAGGCAGGACCTCTTTATTCGAGTCTATCAAGCGAATTAAAGTCTATTCAAAAGGCTGCTGATAACATTCGTGATATGAAGGTAATACTAGGAATAATCTTTTATCTATGTTTTATTCATATGAACTATAGACGGATAATTCAAGTGCTGGTCTACAGAACCAAGTAAATGCACTTCAAGCTGAATTAGTGCGCTTGAGTGAGCACCATAAGAAATCAAAGTCCTTACATAATGAAATGTATAATTTACTTGTTGATAAATTCATGGAAAGCAGAAGAAATAAGAGAAGATTAGAAGATGATGATGATGAAGAAGAGGAAGAAGAAGAAGAATAAGCCCCACTTTTTTTAGAATACTTTATTTCAAACAAATGTAAATATATATCACTCTTTAAACATATATAAATGTTGCTTTTTACAACAGAGACTAAGTATGTCAAGTCAAAAGACTATCTATTTACAATGAAAAATGTATAAATATATATACAACATTACAACTTTAGTTCAGCTAGAATCTTGCTACACATATTCTTATATTGCCAAGGATCTCCACTCACTCTTCTGAACTGAAGTCCATGCATACCTAATAACCATGGTACTTTGACAATGTAGATTTCAAATCGAACAACAAGATCAGGCACAGGCACAGTAGCAGGTGTATCTTCAGAAGAAGAAGACAACGCTTCTTCTACTTCATGTTGGTCCACCACACGATTCAAATCAATACTCGGTATATGAACACACTCAAATCTGCCTTTGCTTTCACGCCATTTTACACCAATTCGTTCCAATACAAGAATCAAGTCAGCTCGAATGACAGAAGGATGTTTCGTGGTTGTGGTTGTGACAGAGAACAATCCTTTTAAAAAGACAGGCTTAATATTTTCATCAGCTGTGCCTTGTTTAGGAGGGAGTGAAGGAGGACTAAAGTTTTGATCTAGGGGTGAAGGTAAGGATGTGACAGGTCCCTTGGAAGATGCTAAGCGTGCTTCTTCTGGCTGGTGATGTTGGTGATGATGATGGTGTCCATGCACCATGTTTAGAAAGTTTGCATGATTCTCAATATTCATCGAGTTTTGGCCGAGTGTCATTCTTCTTGGTATCATCTTGCTAAACTTGTTTCCAAAAGTATTCGAGTTGTTGTGGTTAGCAGCTACGGCAGCAGCGGCAGCAGCTTTGGCTACCTCAATATCAGAAGGACCCTCTTTTCGAGGCTGAGGACTTGGGCTTCGAGAAGAAGGAATTTGAAGAGGTGTTGATGTGGATGAAGACACAGGCGACACGACAGGCTCCATTGTCATACTTGGCTTTCGAGTTCGCTTCTCACTGGATGGGCGTGTTAATGCTAAACTCAACCGGCGCAATACATTTGGACTATCGGAAGTAGATTCTCTACTTGCTGTACGATTGATGCCTGTCAAACCTTCCTCTTCTCCTGAAAAAGAACGAATATGATGATGCGAGTTTTTGGAAAACAATCGATTCAGTCCGTTCTCAATGGCATGTAGTTTCTCTGGACTGTCTAAGGGTCCTTCGTCTTCTACAAGAAGCTGTTTCTTTCCTTTTCTTCCATAAGCAACACCCATAGAAACATGGTTGGTAAACATGTCTGGATCACCAAAAAGTGATTGTTCAAAACCAGTACTGGATGCTGGGTGAACATGCTCGGGAAGAGAAATATCGGGTATACAAGGCTTGTGTTGTTGTTGTTTTGCTGCCTCAAGTCGCTTTTCTCGCTCCATGCGTTCTTTGACAAGATAATAAATGGATACGAGAGGATGATAGGCAGCAGGTATGGACTGAGGGTCATCGTTGGAAAGCACAAAGGCTTTTTTATTCGCTATAGCATGCGGTGAAAAGCGAGCATGTTGGTGGCGATGATGGCGTTGGATTTCAGCTGTTCTTTCAACCAACATCTTGGCTGCCTTTTGGTATTCATCTGATGTAATAATTTTCTCTAGTTTTTGTTTGATTTCTGCTTCTGTGCCAAACTCAAACCCTGTCATGCCTCGCACTACCTCTATGTCGATAGGTAAAGAGAGCGGCACTCTTTCAGGCAAATAATTGTCCACAGGTCCATCGTATCCTTTGTTCATCCAAGGGTGAATCATGACTTCTGATACAGTGGCTCGATGTGTTGGATTAATAACAAGCATGCGGGACAATACACTTTTGCAGTCTGTGCTGAGATGGGAAGGGTATTCTACTACGCCTCGTTTGATCTTTTCGTGAAGTGCAGCCATATTCTGATCATCAAATGGGACTTTACCGCATACCAATACATACAACACGACACCAAAACTCCAAATATCCACTTCTGGACCAGTATAGTTTTTTGCATTCAACAGTTCTGGTGCAGCAAAATACAATGATCCACAAAAAGTGCTTAATGAAGAGCGAGGAGAGAATAGATTCGATAGACCGAAATCAATGATTTTAATATTGCCAGACTGAGAAATCAAAATGTTCTCAATCTTGAGGTCTCTGTGTACAATTGAATTCCTATGGCAGTAGTCTATTGTTTTTTTTTATGAATAGCAGAATCTAAAAGATCATGATTACCTAAAGCACTCAATATTTGTCGTCCAAATCTTCTCGCTTGCTTTTCCTTGAGCTTCCCATGGGCTATAATATAATCCAGCAATTGTCCGCCATTGACATATTCCATAAACAGATAGTAATACGGATCCAAAACAACCATTTCTTTAAGACTGACAATAAATGGGTGATGTAATAACAACATAATACTTGCTTCTCTTATGGTTCTTATTTCTCTATTCTCATCTTTCTCCTTCTTTTTATGATCTTTGGATGGTTTCCGAGGTACTATTTTGACTGCAAGCTAAACAAATTTATGTAAGAAAAAATCCAAGCCCAGTTGTTTTGTATTACCTTGTCACCAGTGATGTTATGTACAGCTAAACGTACTTTACCCATAGAACCAGAGCCCAGTGTATTGATTAATGTATAGTTACCAATAACTCTTCTGGGTTTGGTTGTACGTTCTACGGGTGCTTTCTTGTTGACTGTATGTTTCTTTTCGTGTGTCTCGTCAGGACCCGTATAAGGTGGTAATTCTGAAGGAAGTGGTGAATCGCATAATATATGGCCACCATCAGGACCAACAACTATTGTACCAGTATCACTCAAGTAGTCTAAAATAGAGCGTGAAGACTCTCCTAAGCAGTTTGAAGAAGTCATTATTTATTGTGGTGAGAAAAAGAAAGAAGGGAGTGCATATATACACCTCGGCCAATATATTATATTTTATTATCAGATTAACGATAGTTACTTCCTCCATAGGTTTGTTGAGGAAGGTATCCATGTTGCGCAGAAGGTGAATAACCAGCTACATTACCTGATGTGGTACTGTAGAATGAATTATTGTTCTGAGCATATGCTTGTTGTTGTTGTTGTTGCTGTTGTTGTTGTGGTGGTGGTGGGTAATTATAATAGTCTGTGCTATAAGCCATGGGACGATAACCAGGTTGTGAAGTAGGCGGATAATACTGCTGTTGCTGTTGTTGTTGTTGAGAAGGAGGATAGCCAGCAGAAGGTGGGTAACCTGTTGAAGTAGAAGGATAAGGTTGGTTGATAGAAACATGGTTCATGCTATTCGTCAAATCATTCATGCCATAAGGTTGTTCTGAAGCCATCAATGGTGTTTGATACTCGTATCCACCGGCATAGCCATAGTCTTGTTGAACAGGTACTGGTGCTGGTGGTGGCGGTATTGTCGCTGAAGATAAAGGTGCACTTGCATTGGCTGGATAAGCATCAGAAGCATCAAAAGCAGAAGTAAACATAAAAGACTTGTCTCGAATGATGCATTCAATCTTAATTTCTGTCAAGCCGAAATACATCTTGATAGTCATATTGACTTTTTCACCTGCCTTGACACCTTCTAAATGAGGCATTCGAATAGGGAAATTGCCTACTTTGCGTACAAGTGGATGAGAAGTCAACCGAGGAGGTTGTCCTTCACCATCAAAAGCAAACAAATCAGAGTCAGTATCGTTAGGGTAACTAATCACAAAGTTTTTGGAAACACATTCGTCTACTTTAATACTCTGTCCCTTATGGACATAGACACTAAAGCGTTGACGACAATAGCGCTTTTGATCTGCGCCCATCACAGAATACTCGGGAGGGTCAATGTCGTCTTGGAACAACATGCGTGTCTCTACACCATAAGTGCGTCTAGAAACACGCTCTGTGACAATTTGAGGGTTAAGTCCAAAATAGACAGCACCACGCACAACAGCCAATTCACCACGAGGAGGAACACCAATCATGCCTACTTGGTTTGCAAATTCGTCTTCTACTCGGCGAAAAAGATAGTTTGACTGACCAAAACCACCTACCAAGAAAATAGCTTCTAACTGAGGCGATTGTTGCAACTGACCACGAATGAGATCAAGTACTTGACGAATCACAGGCTCAAATACATATTCTCTTAATTCTTCGGCTGGTAAACAAAGGGAGCCATTGTCTAAACCTATTTCATTGTCCGTCAGATCACCGAGTCCCATAGAAGCAGGTAAATCAAGAAAATGATCCTCTACACCATCAAAATCAGGCTTGATGACATTTACAAACGTATCCATGATCAATTCCATTGCACTGTCATTGATAGTGTGATAATGAGCAAATTTACGTTTGAGGTATTCTCGCATTCTCAAGTCTAAAAAGCCAGAACCACAAGAGCCACCGTGACCATTCGTGACTTCCTTGAGTGTGCGTCTTTCTCCTGGAGGTTCGTGAATTTCAAACACAATTAAGTCAACAGTACCGCCACCTGCATCACAGATCATGAATCGTTGACCGTGTCTCAAATTGAACTGTTCTGACTTCTTTTCACAATAGAGAGCAGCTGCTTCGGGCTCTGAAATGAGCATCAGTCGATCAGGATGGTCTGTGTTGTTGATCAAACCAGCTCGAATGGCTGCTTCACGCATTGTTGCCTTTGCTCTATCACTCCACATAGCAGGCACAGTAAGACACTATTGATTTCATCAGTACAATATTGACAACTTTCTTGCTAAACTCACATAACGGAAACGGGATTGATCATAATTGCCGGCAAAACCCTTCAAGAGTTCAGTACAGACATGTAAATGAAAAGCGCGTAGATAGTCTGCAATAACATCAATAATATTAAGCCCGTTGCCAAGCTCTGTTTGTTGCAAGTGCTCGTCCAAGTAGAGCTTGAATTTACTAAGCAACATGGAGTCAGCATTGTTGGGTTTCATGGCAAGTCTTCTAGCTCCATGACCCCATTCAACAAGTTGAGTTGAGCCTTTACGGTATAGAGAAAGAGTGGGTGTCTAGAAATATAAGCATACAAAATGTATCAACCAAGATACTCACTTTAGGATATACTTGATTATTTTGTTTAGGCCTATTATAGTACAAGTTACTACTTTTTGTTGTCAAATATTATGCTTACCATTTGACAATATCAATTACTTCTTCATTTTGAGCAAACGCATAACAACATCCAGAATACGTGGTTCCTATCATCATCAGCATATTTTATTTGTCTTTTAGAAAAAATCATACCAAAATCTATCCCGACAATAACAGGATAATCTGCATGGTTAAACCCGGAATTCATGATAAAAGAACAAAGAAGAAGAGGAGGAGAAAGGGAAGAAAGGAAAAAAAATGTATTTATATGAGCACTAAAAATAGCAACTTTCTTACACACCAAGCAAAAAAAGAGAAAAAACGGGATTTCAAAAAAAAAAAAAAAAAAAAAAAGACAGAGTCGCTTTTGTTTTAGTAAGGTAACACTATGTTAAGGTGAATAAAGGCAGAAAAGATTAATTCAGAGTAAAGAGTCAACAAACTAACTCCTGTTTGATTCATTTACCGAACATATCAGTGAGAAAAAGAATAATTGAAAAATCAAATACTAGTATGCATGTTAGAGTTACTTGCCAATTATGACTAGAGTTGTTGAATGCCAATACTCATGGACTGGTGTATGTATGGCAAGCATGACATCTATCATGCAGGAGGAGGGATTATCATTGACGGGAATGTCTCTTTCTTTTCTAGAGACAATGGCTACAACTGAGGCAAAAGCTACCAATCATGTGAAGCATAGTTAGATAAGCAAATAGATTCAAGCTTCATAGGCTATATATATATCTTTACGTTGTATTACCTCTTTACATTATTGGCTTGCAAATCTTGACACAATTTGCTTCGTGTTGATAAGGGCACAAAATTGGAGGCTTAAAATGTAGAAATGTTTATTTGCTTGCTAGAAATTCATGTTTTTTTTATTAGAAAAACGGAAAACATAGTGTACTTTAATAATTTTCGAAAGTGAAAACCAAACCAGTTGTTCACAAATAAAGTAGTTTTGTCTTAGAAAAGCGCTTCAAATCTTCAATAAGGCTTTGGTTAGTACTATCAAAACAAAAAACCATGGCTTCTAATGGATATGGGTGCACCAGAGTGAGGGTGGAGCGAAACTTTGGGTCAGTCCTTAATTCCATTTATCATTATTACGCTTCTATAGACCAAAACGCTCCTAATGAATATCACGCGATTTGATTGTCTCAGGAAGGCACTTGTGCTTTTTTCTTGGTCTTGGGGGATCTTGTCATGCATGCAGTCTGTGTAACAGCAAGTCATCTTGTTTTCAGCAATAGAACACAATAAGCAGTTTTTATTCTAAGGATTCATCACCACACGCACACAAGATTTGTTTAATGAAAAGGTTACCTAGATATCACGTTTTTTTTTCTTCTTTCTATGTTGCACTGCAGGTCTGGCAAAGCATCTTGTCCAGTGATATCATTTTGGAACATACTATAGATTGTTTCATTGTCACAAAGTTCTGGGTGCCAAGACACTTATGAAAAGCGTTTCGCTTAGACTATAAAGCAATCCAAGTGTAGATCAAACGGTTAGAGTCAAGTCATGAAATCCAAAGAAGAAGTACTCGATTAAGTAAAAGCTACCTTTCATTCTACTGTCATTACATCGGATTCAGGATATATAAAGGGGGAACAGTAATTGTTGAGACGATTTTATTGTGATAAATGACTTATTTCTTTACACGCACAATATACCGACTCATCACCGCAGCCAAAAGAGCCATCAAGCCACCAAAGGCTAGTACAGTAGCCACATTGGATTCCCCTTGACCCGTGTTATTATTAGAAGCTGCGAAAATCAATGAAGAAATAAGCGCTACAGCAAACTGAGGAAATACAATATACATATTGTGCACACCCAAAATCATGCCTGCATCAAAATCATCTGCCTTTTGTTGGTCTTCAGCAGGCATGGGTTCTCTTTTACGACGTTCGTCTTCAAAACTGACGTATTCACCAACAAGAGAAAAGGGAATCCAGAGCACAATGGCCCATGGAATACCCATAAAAGCCAAGATGCAGGTAGCAGTCGTGACAGAACGAATAAACCAAGCCGACAAAAGAGCAGCTGCAATCATCAGCTGAGACCCAGTATAGACATTTAAGAGTGACAGCCACCATATGCCTCGTTTTTCAAACCGCATGACAAGGGCCGGAATTGCCATACCGGCAATGACAGAAACAATGGAATTACATAGGAGGGCAAAAGAGCCGGCGCGTGTGCCTTCAGCCCAGTTATCATCATCGTCAGAAGGATGTGATGCAAAATAAAGATCTGAGACCCATTGCGTACTATCAAGTGTCAGCTGAAGAGGAAGAAAAAATTGCATACAGAGTGCGTTATTTACCTATAGAACAAATAAGGGAACCATCCCATCCAAGCAAAGAACTGAGTGTTACAGAGTGATTGGATTGGTTTGGGTAAGAAGCGAAACGCACGCCAAATGTATTGGAATGTATGATACCAAGGACTATGCGAGTCAAATTAGATGCACACTCCACTGCCTCTGTTTACTTACACATTTTCCTGATCTTCTGTCTCAATGTATTGCTTTTCCTTGACAGCAAAGCAAGTAATACCCAAAGTAAGTATAAAAACAGCCATGGCTACAATACAGAAGCCTTTGATCTGAGAATCACCGAGCCAGGGAAAATACTTGACCAAATCCATAAAGCCGACAAAATAACCAATGACCATAGCTGAGTTACTCATACGAGCACTCCAAGCATTTGCATACTCTTGCTGCCAAAGAGGCGGAATATCCAAGATCAAAGCACGACAAATAGCTTGCACTGCATTCAGAGTAAAGTCGAGAAAGTAAAAGGAAGAAACAGCCACGATAATGGCAAACAAATGAGACTAACATAAAAAACTTAGACCATTGTCTCTTAAGTATCCATTTTACTTACCATGGCTTGAAATTCTTCTTGCTCAAAAAAGTGTTGAGCAATCAGGGCACCAAATTCTTTAGCATAAGCAACACCAATCATGGACATACAAGTCAAAAGACCAGCAACTACGATAAAAGGTCTACGTTTACCAAAACGTGAAGTACACTTGTCACTGAATGCACCAATCAACTAGGCCATGTCAGTGGGTCAATATACAAAATGCTCTATTCTACTTACAGGTTGTACCAGCAGGCCAGAGAGTGGGCCAGCCAACCAGACTAAGGCCGTCAGTTCCTTTGATAAATCAAGTGATAATAAATAGGGTGTACCATAACTTTAATAATGAGTAATAAGAATATGATGTCAATTTCATTCACTTACGATAATTCGACTGTCCCTAAATATGTAATGTTAGCTTGTTTTGTTTTGTTTATTTGTTTATAATGACTTACAGGTAAACTGTACACCAGCCATACAAACAGTCAGACCCAAGATCTGCATTAAATCAAGACCTGCTTCTCTTGCGACATGTTGACCAGAAGGTGTTTCAACAATAGTGCCAATACTATTATACGTAGACGGATCAAATGAGGAACGTCTTCTCCTATTTTTAGGCCTTGAAACAGGGGGTTTTTGTTGTTGTTCTTGTAATAATGGAGAATGTTCAGTAGGTGCCATTCTTTATGAATGAAGAAAAAAGAGAAAAAACAAAAAGAAAGCTCTCTATTTTATACATATTTTTAAGGTTCTTTCAACATGTCATATGATAAGGAGGCTCAAGTTAATTATTGCCCCAGATTATGATGATGAAGAGGAACCAATCATTAGACATTTTGTGTCATCTGCTATGTAACAGCCGATCCTTCTCCTTTTATTGTAATGCTACAAGTTTATTTTAAAACAGCAAATTTATGCAGCTATTTTTATGGCCATATTGAAATTATACAAGGTGATAAGTGTTTGTCTAGGCAACAACTTCATTTGAAGTGTTTTGTTGAAGTTCACGTCTTTTGATAGTAGTGGCAAGTACTTGTGATCGGAAAGAAAGACCCTTTGTGCGTTCAATCACTTGTTGATATACAGATGTAATGGGTGTGTTCATGATGACAGTGTTCTATAGGATTGTTAATAGATAGCGGTCTTCCTATCCTCTTACCTCTTCAAAATCAATCTTTGCATCAACACGCGTATCTCTGATCAAGTTAACAATCCACTTTTCACCTTCTTCTTGAGTCAAGTTCAATCTCTGTGACATTTGTCTATTGAAATAAGTACATATAAATAGGGTTTGTTCATACTTACTCAATATCGATCTTTTGGTGAATTCTGCAGTATGTTTCAGAAATGAATTGTCTGGCACTTTCCATAAAGTCTTCATGAGTAGCAGCCAAGAAGAAATCATTGCTCAAGACATCTTCACATTCCTTCAACTTCTTTTGGGCACCTTCAAAATCAAAACGAACAAAGAGTGCTTCAACAAATTCAGTAACAGGGTCTTGGTATTCATACACTTCTTGTTCAATGATCTTGACCAATTCCTTCATTTGGTTCTTTCTGCGTTTGTTGGTCACAACAGCTGTGGCAAGATAACGCAAAATCCAGGGACAAGAGGTTTGAATGGTGTTGATGTACTGAGGTGTAAGAAACATATCGACAATTCCGTCACGGCCCTTGGGATGGTTGAAAAAGATGAACAAGGACCAGTGAAGAAGCCAGGTACGTTGTTGAAGTTGTTGAAGAGGTGATGTAAAGTTCTAAAGATGTGAGATAGACATCTATCTATATATAAAAGTACCTTTTGATCAATGGCTTCTCTTAACTTTTGCATTTCTTCCAAAGCAGCATCCCAGCTACCAGTAAGGATTTCAGCAGCCATCTTACCCCAAGTGGCAGAAAGAGAGCGTTCAGCATCAGTGGACTATTGAAATGAGTACATGTCATACAGTTTCTGTTAATTACCAAGACACGATAATGATAGAGATAGTCAGCAGCACATCCATAATCACCACAATTGTATTGAAATTGACCGAATTCGTACAAGATGTTGATCGAATCGTCAGTAAACTATATCGAATGAGTTAAAATGATTGCTGTAAATGAAGGCTTACCTTGTAGTTGTCTTTTAAGTATTGTAAGTTTTGAGCCTTATCTTGACGAAGAGCAGCAATAACTTCGGGCTTTTCAAGAACATCCATTACTTTCTGTGCCTTGGTTCTTAATTCTTCCATTTGAGACAACACTTTTTCTCTCTTTTCAGTGAATTCTATAGCACAGTTAATTGTGTATTGTAACTCAAAGACTTCATACCTTTAGGAGCTTCTTCTGTCTTGTGAAGCTTCTTGTACAAGTCGAGAACAAAATCAACCATGTTGGAGTTTTTGAACAAGTCGTATTTGGCTTGAAGCAAGTCTTGAGGAACATAAACCTATTCTCGTGAGTCTTTTTTTGTTTTTGTCAAGATGATGTCTTACTTCCTTCAATTCCAAAAATTCCAAAAGAGGAAAGACAAGGTGGCGATCTAAGAAAGGGATCATTCTCATGGTCAAGTCTTGTGTAGCTGCCATCTTTGTATTATCGTTTTGCTCAAACAAGTGTAAGAAAAAAAAGAAAAAGTAAGATTACATAGTTGAAAATTTTTGGAAGGCTTCAAAAAAGAGCAGTCACTGCGCGTAAAAAAAAGGACACTGATATGCTTGTTATGCATGTATCTAAAGGTATTAAAGCCTTTCCTCAAGGCATTGCAATGCCGAAAGAGAAGAAGTGTATGTCTCTCCGAGTTTGATTTGTACGCGGTATGCTTATCTGTAGGATTTTAGTGCATGTATAGTCAAATGTTTTTTTGAGAGATACCATAGCAACCCGAAAAACCATAGCAACCAGGAACAAGTTTATATAGATTGCAAAATCCTTTTGTCTTTTTTACATTTCCGTGCCTGAACAAAAAAGAATTCGTGCAATTAACAATACAGAATAAAGTTTGGCAAGTTTAGTTCTTTATGAATTTGTGAGACCATGCAACAACAAACGACGACGACTGTTCGGCCAAGTCACAAGACAAGCAAGCGCAAGTACCAGCTAAATAGCTTGATCGAACATGTATCTAAAATTTTATTGTTGACATATTCTCAATTTGGTTACTGCAAAACTTTTGTCTCAAAAAGTTAACTCTATTAAAGATTCTCCTCTATATGTGGTTTTCACGTACTTTTTTTTTTTTTTTTTTGCATACATGATAGAAAGTGCCTTATTTTTATCTCGATACATAAACAAAGAAATAGCATCTTCCCTCCCTTTTTTCTAAAGCACACTAAGAAAATACATACATGTATGTGTAACTAAGTGAAAAATGAAAGTCATATTTTTACTATTTTTTTAAAAAAAGGGTATCATCTTATTAAAAAAGATATTAATAAATTATAGAGTGTATACACGATCTTAATCTGCTGTAATACTACTGAGATTAATAGAAGATTTAGAGAAATAGTTAGGTGTAATGCTTGATATTGAAGAATGAATCACCATAGAATGTCTCTGTGTTGATGATGTTGAGTTTGAATGTCGAGGTAACGGAGCAAGGCCGATTTCATCATCTTTCTTATCATCGTCATGATTGGCATAAAACTGATATTTCTTGCTGGTATTTTTAAGTGATTTAGTGTTCTGTCTTGATCTGAGTACAACTACCTTGTATAATTCTTCACTACTTTTGTTGGAAGTCGGATTCGGTCGTTTAGGAGGTGCAACATCCAATACTAACTCAGACTGATGAAGACGGCTGGCTGCTTGTGTATGGTTCCGATTCGGGTGCAACATGATCATTTCTTGAGTGCTGGAATAGATGGGTGGGTGACATGGTACAGTATTGCGACCAGGAGGTGTAATCACGCTATCCCAGATGATGGAGTTTCTCCATATGCCCAGTAACGTATCGCTGTATTCAATCAACAATGTCCAGATCTGAGTCCATTTGGCATTCGTCTCAATAAAGTGACCCATATCGTTGATCAGTTTTGCCCGAGAATGTCTTTTCCAGGATGGTATTTCTTTCAGGTTTTGTTCGAGTCCAGTACAGACAGGTGCAAGGACAACAGCAAGTGCCTCAGGGTTCATCATGTTCCTGTCTGAATGGGCTTGTATCTTGGAAGCCAAGATGATAATGTAGTAAATCAGATGAAAGTGTTCTCTGGGCAGTTGTTGAATCATGGATGCCAGTGTAGTCACTGTCGATTGATCAGAGTATGACTCGTCTAATGGTATGTTAGTCATGGTATACGTGAGCATGTACAAGTTTACCATAAAGCTGAATGAATTTTTCATGTGAGGCAATTGGAATAGCAGGATCAGGCAGTTGTCTTAGAAACTTTTTCACGACACCTGTGATAGCATGAATGTCATTGGATTTTAGGTCCAAGTATTTGCCATAAGTTGGGGGCTTATCAAAATCTACCAGAAGATTTTCTACTTCTGGTGCAGCACCTGATAATCGAAATATGCCTTCTGTGTGCAATCCTGGTGTATTTGTTTGTATGGAATGAGTGATTTATTTTGTGTCATGATATGCTTCTCTGTTATTTACCTCTTTTCATTATTTCTTCAAAGCATCGATAAACAGGGTCGGGTACAGTTAATCCGTATTCATCGCTTGTTGAGCCACACAAACTAGCTGATTTTAGAGGTGCACCAAAAATGCCTTTTGTAATTAGAGGTCCTATATATATAAAATCAGAGTTTTGTCTCTTTATTATTATTATTATTATTACCTTTTCTATTTGTATATCCCATACTATTCAAGAAATGGTGTTTGCCATTCTGTAAAAAGGCCAATAGATTTTTTTGTCGTTTTTTTTCTGAATATTCATCACAAATCATTTCTTATAAGCAACCGGAAAAAAAAAGAGAGGGAGAGAGAGAGAAAGGGAGAAAGGGAAAGAAGAAAGAAAGAGAAGAAAAAAGTAGAATTTTTTGTGTAAAAAATAGGACTTTGAAACAAAAGTTAGGGTTTAGGCAATTGTGTATGTGTGTGTGGTGTGTACAATGGAATTAACTTAATTTATATATGATGAAATAGATTGTCTTTTCTATATAGTTTAATTCTTGACCATTTTAGGCTTTCCTTGAAGACTATCAAAAAAGTGACACAAGGTCTAGAAAATAGACTTTATTTGAATGATATAATACATACAGCATCATCATCATGATTTTATGCTTTGACATTCTTCTTCTTTCCTTTGTACATCATTTGCCTTATTTAGTGGATGCAATGAGCTAACAATGTCAATTGGCAAACTTATAATTTCATTGATTATATACGTTGTCTAATATGATGATAAAATAGATTCATTATGGCTAAAACGTTAATTATTGATGCATGGAATGATACACAAACAACGAGCACATATAAAGTGCTTTTTATTTGTTTATGAACAGATACAAGTGAAGGAGTTGCCATACAGATGATCGTTTTGCAGTTTTCTTTATGCAAACAAACGACAGTTGGAGTTTAAATTGGATTTGATTGAGAGAGCATAAAAAAAAAAGTATTCTTTTTTCTTGTTCATATACAAAAAAAAAATGCATCTTTGGATCCTTGTGATTGTATGTTTGTTATCTCTTGTTTATGCTGGTCCTGGCACACATCGATATCAGTCAACACATTCATCTAACTATGGTGATGAAAAGCACAACAGGGAGTAAGCAGGCATAAAACGCGATTTATATCTCATTCTCCCATTCCTTTTTTTTTTTTTGAAAAAAAAAAATAGACACATTCAAGAACATTTGGAAGCCATGAAGAAAGACGGAGATATTGAATTGTCTGAACAAGACACTATTTACTACTTATTTGTCATTCATGATCTCAATGGCGATGGATATTTAGATGGACATGAACTTAGGATTGCTTTTACTGATTTTGATCAACATGAAGCAGATACAACGATGACCTTAAAGGAGGTAACAGCCATGATAGATCATGTATTAGAAGAAGATGATAAAAATGGAGAGTAAGTTCTTGAGAGATCATTGATATGTTTTGACTGGGCATATAGTGGCTTGATCTCCTGGACTGAATACCTGGAAAGTCAATTGTACCATGAAGATTGAAACGGGACAACTGGCAGAAAACACAATGTGATCTGAGACGAAATAAATTGAATTTCCGCTCACCCCTTTTTTTTCTTGTCCAATCAGAAAAATTTTCATATATAAACTTTGACCTGGTTTCTTGACAACTTCTCTTTTTTTTTTGTTATTATTATTATTCAACATTAATATAAAAAAAGGAGAATGGAGGCATTGAAGAATCTTCATTTTACACCCGAGACACCTTTTGGTTTACCTCTCTATCCATTTTTTGAAAGAGCATATGAAGCTGTTGTTGGTCAGCCTGCTTCTCAGTTCAGTTATGTTCCTTCTGTGACCCCTCTGTCTACTGTAAACGAAGGTAAGTTTAAAGGAGAGAATCTCGTGTCCGAGATGGCTCATCTTGTCATCATCTTCATGTCAACTCACGTACACAATAGTCACTGTCACATGTATCACTTACTTTATCGCTATCTTTGGTGGTCGCTATTTGATGACCAACGTGCCTGCCTTTAAGCTTCAAGTCCCTTTTATGATCCACAACGTTTTGTTGACTTTGGTCTCTGGTATTCTTTTGGTCTTGATGGTTGAGCAGATCTTTCCCATTTTGTATCGTCAAGGTTTCTTGGCTGCTATTTGCGCACAATCTACTTGGACTCAGCCCTTGGAATTACTCTACTACCTGAATTACCTTGTCAAGTACTGGGAATTGATTGATACTGTCTTTTTGGTCTTGAAAAAGAAGAATTTGGGTAAGTGTCAGAAGGCGTAAATTTGGTTTATAACACATAACCCTAGAATTCCTTCATTATTATCACCATTCCTTGACGATGGTCCTTTGTTTCACTCAACTCAATGGTCGTACTTCAGTGGTAAGTTACATATTTTTCATGTGAAATTCTCGTCATCCTTATTCGATATTAGTCTTGGGTGCCTATCATTCTTAACTTGACTGTTCATGTCTTGATGTACTATTACTACTTCCGTACTGCTGCTGGTGCTAAGATCTGGTGGAAGAGATACTTGACTACTCTCCAAATCACTCAATTCATTATTGATCTCTTTGTTATCTATTTCTGTACCTATACTTACTTTGCTTACACTTACTGGCCACACTTGCCTAACAAGGGTAGCTGTGCTGGTACTGAAACTTCTGCTCTCTTTGGTTGTGCTCTTTTGTCTTCTTACCTCTTGCTCTTCATTAACTTTTACCGTATGACTTACCAAGCCAAGAAGAAGGCTGCTGCTCTCAAACAAAAGCAAGAAGTCAGAGTCAAATCAAAGAAGGTTTAATCATCCTTTTTTTTATTTATTTTACACTTTAATAATATCATAATTTTTTTTATATATGCTTAAATAAAATAAAAAAAAGTTCATTTATTCGAGTTGACCTTCGAGGCCCAAAAAGACTTGGTACAGAATTTGAGCCCAACTATCCAAGGGACCAGGAATACAGTAACGTACACAGTCTTGTCCTCCAACATGTCCATCTGGTCTAAGGTCTGTCAGGGCAGCCAGATCAACAAACACACCACCTGCAGCTTCAACAATTACACGAGCTATAGCATTACGACGTGCCACTTCACTCCAGCCAAAAGGCAGTTTCTTTTGTTGATCGTCTGTCAATGGTGCCTGGAGTGGCCCTGTAGCATCGTCACAAAAGGGGTGACCAATACCGGTCGATCGATAAATAATCAGGGAATTAGCACCTGTACTACTGCGTATCAGACGCAATGTGTCAATCAGACCTTTGATAAAACTCTCGTCGGATTCAATCACAGGTGCGCGATTCAGTATCAACACAGGGTAATGTCTTATCAGAGTGGCAGAAGTAAATGGCCATTCAATCACTTCTGCTGTTGGGTGACCATGATTGGCGTTCATTTTTCGACGTGTAGAAAGGACATCATTCCGGAGATAACGAAGTCGGGTATTACGGTAAGGACTAGTACACACTGTATGATCTATCACGAACATAAGTAACAAATAAGAGTGATTATCTTACCTTTGCAATTCAGTTCTCCAAAACAAGTAGCAGGTCCATCACGTAAAGTGTCCAAGAATAATTCGTGTAATTGATACTGTATTAAATCACCCACCAGCATCAAATGACGACCGTTCAAGACACTACACCATTTACCAGGATCGAGGTCTATAGACGCATCGCATTTGGATTTCCATACATAGTTTGTGGCTGGTCGACGACCCACACCGCCTGTCTTTTTAAACTTTCGATCACAAGAACCATACAGAGGGTCTTGGAAATGAGGCATGGTCCAATGCGCTGACTGGCTTGTGACAGAGACCCATTCACCTGTTGTCCAACAATCCACCAAAGAGCGAAATTGGCGGGCTGCTTCAGGTTTGCCTGCATAAACGGATGATCCCGGAATGCCTTTGATGTGCTGGAATTCATGAGCCACTGCCTCCCTGGCTTTTTTTATCATGTTTTCCTGTAGTGTCTGTCGTTCTTGTGTTGATAGATGTGTTGTAATGTATTTAGGATGCTGTTGTAAAGGAGACAGGTTGGGATGACCTTGTCTTTGGTACCAAGGAAAGTCGCGAACAAGCCTTGTTGTGTCTAGTTGAAGGTGAGTATCGTCCTTAACGGATGGTCTGACGGAGAAAGTCTTGATCAACTGAATCACCAACACTGTACTTAAGCCATAAAGTATGATACGTGGCCAATTCAACCTTCTCCAATAAGGAGCTTCTATTCTGTTCACCATCGTTTTGAGGGGTAAAAAAAAAAAGAAGAAAAAGAAAATATTTTTAGTCTCCTTTATTGCGTTACCTGTCGATCACTGTCTTGACGTTGTCCAATCATATGTCTATGCTTAAATTGCCCATTTATTTCTCTTTCTCTTTCTCTTTCTTATGCAGACAACAATGTGCCTTTCATGGGCTCGTCATAAGCTAGGATGTGCGTATTACTCTGATCAAACACTGGAGCTATATCTTATGGAAGATATGACTGAATCAGACCAGTTTGAGAATGTATTGACATGTAAGTTACACACACACACACACATACATACATATATATATATATATATATATATAAAGGGTAAAGTACTGAACATGGGCAGTGATAGCACAAATTTCCCCTAGTCTTTTATTCTTGTCTGATAAACAAGACCTTCAAGCGTTCATCAAGCATCATTATGGTATGTATCTATACTCTGTCTATCTAACATGGTTAGGCAATACAATAGAGATCAAGACCATACTCGCAAAAGACATGGCATTTGAAAAGGGTCGATATATGCTATTGAATTGGTTTATTCATCATATTCAACAAGACAATATTTACTTAAGAGACCCAGAAGAAGGAAACAAGACGCATGCTTATCTTCAATTAGAAGGACTTGTTCAGCTAGATGACAGTCTCTTGTCTGTATGTCCATTCATCACTGTATACTCTTTTATTTATCCTTATGATGATTAGGTGGCCTGTGCAGGTGTTGTTCTTAAGCACATTCAACAGGATGAATCATTTCAGCCTAATTCAATCAAAGCATTTACATGGTATAGACAAGTTGAATGATACTGTATTGATGTCTCTATAGCCAAGATTGTATGCATATCAATTCAGACACACAAAGGTAAGGCACAGTTATGTGTATTGTCTGTTTAGTAGTCCATAGATCACTCTGTATCTTTGATTTGGAAACGCACCCTAATATGCATCAACAACATAGAGAAAAAGAAAGCCTGTCATTGTTTGGTATAGACCTACGTTATCTTGTCTCTTATTGACTTGTCTATAGGTCTATTGAACAAGACAAAGAGTGCTTTAGGAAAACATATGCTGAAAGACTGGGTTGCTCGTCCTACTCAAAACAGAAAAGTGATTGAACAACGTCAAAGGGTAATTCAGTTTCTAATGCAGTCTGATATGCGTGAGCAGATAGTGGAGTTGGGCTCGCATCTAAAGCACATTAAAAACATACATCAATTGTTATCAAGAGTAAGAGAATCTAAAGCTACTTTGAATGACTGGCAGTACATTTTGAAGGTTGATTGTATATATATATATATGTATAGTCTATCTAATACTTAATGCTTGTTTAGTTTGCTTATTATTCTATCTGTATCTTCAACTTGTTACAACAATGGATACAGCATAAAAACGAACTTTCAAAAGAGATTGTCTTATTTCAAAAGATCAAGCAAATGCTACCTATGATCAACACAGTCATGGAACAAGTTGGATCGTATATCAACCATGTAGTAAGTAAATGTATTTGGTTTAAATATTCTTATTAACTTATATAGATTGATTTTGAGACAAGCAAACAAGAAGCTCGGGTAATTGTAAAAGAAGGCGTTGATACAGTAAAGAAAAAAGAAAAAACATCCATGATGTTGCTTACTGTCTTGATAGACCTTGGATGATTTACGAGAAAAGTATCAGCACTTGGATGACTATTTGGTAATCTACATGAACCAAGAAAGATACTCATGATGTATATTTAGTTACAAGTATCTCAAGAGATCAGTACTGTGCTACCTATGAGTTTACGAGTAGCCTTAAATGTGGTTTATTTCCCTCAATTGGGTTATTTGATTACTTTACCACAATACCATCTTCAACGCCACAGCTCAGCTGTTGATGATAATGGCAGTATGAGCAGTATCAATAGCGAATTGCATCGACAACGTCTAGCAGGATTTGAATTACAAGTAAGTACAAAATAAATCTTTTCATTTTTGTTGAGCAACACAAGTTTACTACAGCAGATAATCTGTATTATAAGAATGAAAGAACAAAAGGTGACAGGGCTCTCTTTCTTTTTTTTTTTGTCTATTTATGCTTTTGGCTTAGAATTGGATGAATCCTTAGGTGATATTCATGCTATGATTGTTGATAAAGAAATTGAAATCATACAAAGCTTATCAGAAAAAATCCTTGAACATACCTTGACATGCACAGATGTAGTTCAAGTATTGTCTGAATTAGATTGGTAAGTAGATATAGAGTATATATCTTACGCTTATTTTTCTTAGCCTAGTTTCTCTTGCATTAGTAGCATTAAAGTTTAATTATGTTAGACCAACCATGACAGACGACAATAGATTAGACATTATTCAAGGAAGGTAAGACAAAGTTGACTAAAAAAAAGAAGGCATCCTTATGGCTTTAGACATCCTCTTCAAGAACTGTGTGTCAATATCTTTATTCCAAACGATACGCATCTCCAAGGTGGGAAAGGATGCTTAAACCACAAAGAAAAGTTATCAAATATCTATCATGCTACAACAGAAAGAAGAGAATCCCATAGCATCGCTCCAACAGAGAGTGATTCAGCAGCAAATGTCGATAGTGTACAGATAGTTACAGGAGCTAATTTCTCTGGAAAGAGTGTCTATCTAAAACAAATTGCTCTCATTGTTTACATGGCACATATTGGAAGGTACATGAGTGAATGTGATTTATGCTATTCTCATCCAGGACTATCTCTAGCTTTGTCCCAGCTGAAAAAGCAACCATAGGTATCACAGATAAAATGTTTACAAGAATTCAAACTTCAGAAACAGTGTCCAAGGTAGAAAGAAAAAAAAGAAAAAGAAAGGAAGCATGTCTCATGACTCACTTTATCTAGCCTCAAAGTGCATTTGGCTTTGATCTTCAACAGCTAAACCGAGCTTTATCGAATGCTACTTGTCGTAGCTTAGTCGTTATGGATGAGTTTGGCAAGGTAAGCTGAATACCTGAACAAATTCTATCTTATGTAGGCAGGGAACTGACAGTGCTGATGGGGCTGCATTATTCTGCTCCGTGATTGGATACTTTTTATCACAAGCAAACCAATGCCCAAAAATTGTGGCCAGTACTCATTTTCATGGCAAGTGTATATACAGAACCAACATCATCATCCTCGTAACTTTTTTTTTCTCTATAGATTTGATCACGAGAAATATCCTTTCTGGTGAAGATGGTATTACTTTATCTCAAACACAAGTCCTTAGTCATCCATTACAAGAGACATCTTCTTATCAAGCACAAGAAGTCGTGTTTCTTTATCGCATTGTACCAGGCAAAGGCTACAATGCATCTTATGGGACATGGTGTGCTAGTATTGCAGGTTTACCTTCTCGTACTATCAAGCGAGGTAAGTGTAACTATGCAGATACAATTGTTAATGCTTTAAAGCAACACAATTATCCATGAAATACACAGAAGCTGAGCCTGTGAATAAGATAAACACACCAGATGAAGAAGAAACCTACAAAAAACTTGAAATGATTCGAAATGATTTCTTAGAGACGGATATAAATGAAGTCAACCCTTATCAGCTCATCCAGTCTGTTCAATCCATCTTTAAAAAATAACAACCATTCCAAATAAAGGCAGTTGTAACCTTTATTTATTTCCTCTTTTTTCTTTTTTTTTTCTTTTTCTTTCTTTTTTCTTCTTTCTAATTATTATGTCAACCCATATACCTTTAGCTCCCCCTAATATAGTGAACAGTATTATAGGAGGTCATTATAAAGTTGGTAAGAAATTAGGTGAAGGAAGCTTTGGTGCTATTTTTCAAGGTAAATAAATAAAAAAAAAGTGGTTGCATAAATTGGATATTAAAACGCGCACACACACACACTCTCTCTCTAATTAAGGCACCAACTTGTTACAAAACCAACAAGTGGCTATTAAATTTGAGCCTAATACAAGTGAAACACCACAACTTGAAGATGAATACAATGCCTATAAAATCTTGTCTGGATCAGGCAAGTAACAACTACCCCCTACCAACAGAATAGTAATAGGAAAAGATTAGTGGGTGTACCGAACGTCTATTATTTTGGTCATAGTGAAACACATTACATTTTGATCATTGATTTGCTTGGATCCAACCTGGAAGAATTGTTTGATCTTTGTGGAAGAAGGTTCTCGGTCAAGACATTAGCCATGTTGGCCATTCAGATGGTAATCAATGTATCTATATTGGTTATTTATTGCTCGATAGATTTCTCGAATACAATCTGTTCATGAAAGAGACTTGGTGTATCGTGATATCAAACCAGATAACTTTCTTCTGGGTAGACCATATTCTGAAGAAATGGGCCAAGTGTTCATTGTTGATTTCGGTATGGCCAAATTATACCGTGACCGAATTACAAAGAAACATATACCTTATCAAGAGAGAAAGAGCCTTACTGGAACAGCAAGATATATGAGCATCCATACCCATTTAGGAAGAGAACAATCACGTCGCGATGACTTGGAAGCATTGGGTCATGTATTCCTGTACTTCTTAAGAGGTTCATTACCTTGGCAAGGTATGAAAGCTGCTAATAACAAACTGAAATATGAAAAGATTGGTGAAAAAAAGCAATCTGAACCAATCCGTTCCTTGTGTGAAGGTTATCCAAGTAAAGTACAATCAGAGGCTTAACTATGGTACTAATGATACTCCTAGATCAACTCATCAAATACATGCAATATACTCGTAGATTAGGGTTTGATGAGACACCTGACTATGACTGGCTTCGCAAGTTGTTTTATGAAATCCTTCGAGATTTAGGTGAACCAAACGATAGTATGTTTGATTGGATCCTGTTGAATGAAGAAGATTGGCAGAAAATAATGGCAGATAAACAAAAGAACAAGAGCAAACCATTACTGTTGGAAGCTCCTCCTTTGCTGCATCAAAAGCGTGACATTATTGACTTGACTACAACACAAGAACCCACACCGATGAAAAGAGACTATGGCACATTGTCCAAAGAAGACTGTAAGCATAAAAACCATTGTTCTAAAAAAAAAGGATGGAGAAAGCTCAAGTCAATCTTAACCTGTAGCACATAATTAAATACACATTTTTTTATTATTATTATTCAAGTCTGATTTGGTCCATGATTTCTTTCACAGCATCAGGATATTTTGTATGGCCATCTATATCAACTTTTATGTTTTCAATTCTATCACCTATCTCGACTGGTTCCAAACCAGCAACATTGGTAGCTAATGAATGTAGTCGATAAACAAAGGCTAACACCCAATCTTTTTCTGTATAGCAATTAATAAATCTACCAGATACAACATCAAGCGCCTTTTCCCATTCATCTGTTTCTTCAGTAGAAATAGGTGCTCCCATCAATACAACATGATCCACAAGTCCATGTAGTCCTCTCTTTTTAAGTTCAAGCAAACAGTACCAAATAACAAGTGAACCGCAACTATAGGATACCTAAAATAACATAGTCAGATTTATGTGAAATAAAACATAACATGTTACCAAACTACAAGGTCTACTTCCTTGCACTCTTTCTTGTAAAATATCGGCTAATACTAGACATGTATATGAGTCTATGTCTATTTGGTTGTTTTACTTTACATGAACCTGCTGTTCGAGATCGATTAGTGACTACTTGCCATGGATTATCAATCACATCTGCCATTTTTAGAATAGTGGCAGGTAAAGAAACAGCAGCTAAAAAAATATTAAGTCCAAAAAAATAGGACAATTATATAACTTACCAAAAAATGCTTTCAAGACAGTTTGTTTTGCTACTTCCATGCCTGCATACCGAACTGCTGAATCCCTTACAAACTTCTTGAATGAATAACCCAAGTTTAACAGTTCATCTGTTTCATACTCTAAGCAGAAAATTTCATCATGAAGTCTATTCTTTTCAAATGCAGTTTCCCAAGGTGTCTAGATAAAACAGTGAATACACACAATACCACGGGCTATTCAGGCATTTACTCTTGTTTCATCTTTTGAGTCCAACAGAAAACCAGAGATGCAAATGGTACAGTGAAGCGCAGGTACAGGAGGCAAGTCAGGGTCATGTAATATCTGCTTAAATTCAAACTGTTCAACACCTTTGATTCGTTTATGCATTTTCCATCCAGCCAATCCACCACCTGTCAATCCAAACAAGCTTGTAACAAGTGCTACTCCTCCTGCTGTAGCAAAAAAGGACATGCCTGCACCTGCTAAAAGTGAACCAAGTAAAGGAGCGGCTAAACCACCTGTCAAGGCTAATCATGCGTCAATAGGGCTTTTGTAAATTCAATTATACCTATGACGGCACCACCACCAATCACACCAGCGCCAGTGGCTAACCATTTCAGTGCTTGTTTCTTCTTATTGGACTCTACCATGGCTTTACGGGCAGATGTGTCCATGCTTTCTTTTGTGTTTCCCTGCTCCCCTTGTTGTTCCAATAAGCTATAGTACATTTGTTGAGCAATACTTTTCTCTACGGAGCCTAAATCGCCCCGAGTGAGTTTCAAGCATTTTTCAAGTTGGACTAAAAAGCGCTTGGATCTCGCGTCATACAGCATCACATGTTTTGCTTGACTTTTTCGAGTGTCTTCTTTCATGGCTGTAGGTGTAATATGTAAAGCAAGTGCCAACAAGTCCATCATGACTTCGATACGAATATCACGCGTTTCACAAGTCAATAGTTCGACTGCTTGAGCACAAGTGATGATACGCGACTCGAGATCCGTCTGAGAGACTTGTAGATATTGAAGCATATCATGCCACCACTGTTCACACCAAGCTTCTCCTAACAGTGGGGCTGTTTCTGTCAGTGCTTGTGCTGCTAGTCTAGCAATAGCAACACGTTGTTCATAACTCCAATCTTCTAAAGATAACTTGACTATAGGTTCGTCCATAACTAAAAAAAAAAAAAAAAAAAAGTAAAAAGATAGGTTCCTATGCTGCTATTCATTTAACAGTAGGTTGTGTAACACATTGCATAATCTATCAAACCAATATAATAAGTCATGCTCAACCCAAGATGCTACCTTTCTCTTTCTCTTTACGCTATTATGCCTGCAATTTATGTTTGGTATCTTTATGTAGAACATGCAAATCTGCAAAACACAATAGCTATCTTTAGTTCAGCTGAAGCAGGATTGAAATTTCTGCATGAAAAGGGACTCTATGAAACTGACTATAAAGATTCTAGTTTTCATTTCACATTTAACCAAAAGACAGCCCGAGAAAATAGACTGTTTGAATACTACTATGACCGATGGGGAATCACACTTGATGACAATACTGTTTACTATAGAATGCATCTTGTGAAGACGCGTCTAAATCGACAGCTTATGTTTCATTATGAGCCTGTTAATTCTGTGTGGCATAATGGCTAATAATAGTAATAAACCATCAATGCGCTTTATCAGAACCATGCAAAGTGGCTTGTGTTTCATTCTTTTCGGTTTTTATTCCAGATATGGTACATATTCCAACTGATGCTTTAGGTAAGAGAAACGTGATCATAAGAAGCATACTAAGAAGCATCATCAGTTGAAGATAGTTACTGTTTCTTGTTAACCAATCTAAGCAGTAATTCCAAAAGAGACACTTTATGGAAACACTTTGGACGGTTTGGCACAATTCAATATGTGCATTTGAATGCAGCAGATGGCCAAGCACTTGCTGCTGCCATCATTGTCTATAGGTATTGGATATAAGCAAGACATCAAAACTCATCCTAGTTAGTTCTGAACCTTCTGATCAGCTATTCACACAAATGATCTATATTGACAATCAACTGGTGAATGTAGAGCCTTATAGTATATCCAAATATCTCAGTGAAGCCAGTCGTCCTGTACCTGCCAGCAAATTATCATTAGGCGGTTTGGAATCTCCCAATGTGTTTATTGAAGAGTGGTCAACAGATCAGTTTATTACACTTGACTTTAACTTGATTGAGAACTATATGGATATCTTCTTTAACCATGTGGATGGCTATTATCGACTGCGGATTGTTTATGACACATCTTTGGCTGACAATGTCGTCTTACAGCGTTACGATAATATGACTTCGCTAACCATCAGTGGTAATTACCCAGCTTATTATTGGCGATCCAAAAAACCAATGCAAAAATTAACCCATACATACTACCTCAAGGATTGGGAAAGAGTGACTGAAATTCCTTTGGATGAATTCTCACTGGATCTGATAAGACACAAGGCAACTAACAGCCACAAGGGACCTATCTTGCCCGGTGGACAATACCCAAACCACCTAATGAAACTCAATATGTGGACAGTCTATCGCCTTGAGTTTGAGATCCCCTTGAAATCAGCCAAACAATTTATCCATGCGCCACTTTCACCTGACAATGTGACCCATGAAGCTCTGGAGCGAGAATTAGCATTGGCCATTTCAAGCAAAGGAATGCTTCGACCACGCTATTTGCCTGATCGTATCCATGTCCGTTCAGCTACCAAATCGATCCATATCGACTCCTTTATTTCAAATCTACCGTTTGAAGTGATGTACATGATGGAGCATGCTTTTAACCTAAAGATATTGCGTGAATACAATGTAGATGGTGACTTTTTTGATAAGATAAGAAGCCTTCCTACTCATGTCTGTTGTACATTGCTGACACTGCTGGCTGCACCTCAAAAACGTATTTACCATCCTGAAGCAGCATTAAATGAAGCATACAAGGTCAGCAAAGAAAACCTGAATTTTGAGCAGCCTGTGCCCGAGAATTATACGACTGTACGTCGATTGCTGGTCACACCGACATCTATGTATCCATTGCAACCTACAGTGGAACCCATGAACCATTTACAGTATCGATTCAAGGCATATGCAGATCGGTTTTTATATGTACAGTTTACAGATGAAGATCTTGCGCCTATTGTGCCTGTACAGAGTGCAGAAGATGAACCATGCGAGACTCAGAATGATAGGATTTATGAACGCATTTACGCTATACTCAAAAGAGGATTGCAGATTGGAGGAAGAACATACGAGTACTTAGGCTCTTCAGTTCAGCAATTGAGATCGCATGGTTGTTGGTTTATTGCTCCTATCCATGATTTTACAAGAACACGCTTATTGAATTCAATGGGAGACCTGAGAGAGATTGAAACAGTCGCTGTATTTTCGAGTTGCATAGGCCAGGTAAGGTGTTACAAACATACTAGGATGCAAATTCAACTATCCCCCACCCTCTTTTTTTTCTTTTAGACATTACAACCAAGGTTATGTCATCTGGATCTTAACCCAAGTGAAATTGAAGAAATTGATGACTACTATAACAATGGGTTTGACTTTGCACCTGAATGTGGCAAAATGTCACCTCAAGTGGCAAGAGAGATTTCGAGTCAACTGAACATGAACTATACTCCTTCTGTGGTCAAATTCAATCTGGCTGGTGCAAGAGGTATCCTTGCCGTCTCTAATTACTTGACAAAGCGTAAAGTACAATTGCGTACATCTCAAATTCGATTCAATAGTCCCAATGTATCTTTGGAAATCATCAAGGTATCCAAACCCAATCGAGTCTATTTAAACCGACGTTCCATCTTGCTGCTGTCTTCTTTAGGTGTTCAAGACTACATTTTTCGTCAATTGATGAGCGAAGAATTAGCTTATTGGGAGAAATACAAGAGTCGAAGTGAAGATGTGTATTATAGCATTCTGAATGAACATTTTTCTTCTGATCGCATGAGTGATTTCCAACGTATTTCGGACAGTAAATTCCTGGAATACCATGATCCTTTTATCTCCAATTTGGCCATTTCATTTCAAAATCACTTGTTAAAGGGGTTGAAAGAAGACTGTCGTCTGTTTATCTTTAAAGGTGCGCGCGTGTTTGCTGTTATGGATGAAACTGGCACACTGGAGCCGGGTGAAGTCTTTTTGCAGTTATCTGATCCTTCAGAAAAGACACTCAAGAGAAGAGTGATAGAGGGTCCTTGTGTGGTCTATCGTGATGCTTCTTGTTCTCCTGGGGATGTCCGTGTGGTCAGAGCCATTGCTAGTCGTTCTAAGCTTCGTCATTATTGCAATGTGCTGGTCTATTCTGCTTTTGATCAAAGAGACCTGTTGAGCCTGTGTTCTAATGATGATGTGGATGATGATAATGTCACGTAAGTTATTCGACACCTATCCTCAGTCAACTCATAATGATTAGTGTGATTTGGGATCGTCGATTATTGCCTAGAAGAGTCAATCTAGAGCCTAGAAATTATACACCGAAAGTGACGCCCAAGACATTGAAAAAGATCACATTTAAAGAAATGGCCAAGTTCTTTACTACCTATATATCCCAAGACACAGGCTATCTACTGAATAATGCATTTATCGCCATCGCCGATAGACAAAAAGACGGTATTCTTAATGGTGATTGTATTTATCTTTCACAACAGATATGTCGAGCACTGGGTAAAAAAAAAATACAACATAGACCTACTTATTGACCCATGGACATAGATTTTGCAAAAACTGGTGTGTACGCTCCTATCAACCGAGAATTCCGTCGGTGTCCTTACCCAGACTATATGGAAAGAAACTTTTATCGTACATACAAGTCTCAAACCGTTGTAGGCGCCCTTTATCAAGACACAAAAGGCTGTCAAGAAAAACTCTTAATTCGCAACCATTGCCATTATGACCGCCGAATGTATGTGGAAAACATGTATAAATACATTCTCGATGCTCGTAAACTAAAGGCTACATACGACCATAGTCTTCGTATGCTCTTGGCTCGTTATTCTGTCAAGACAGAAGTTGAATTTATCTCGGGTCATATCATAGACTGGCCAAAGTATCTCGGTATAGACCAACGTGCAGCATTTCTAGAGCGCATCAAGGATGCGTATGCTCAGTTTAGAAAGTATTGGAGGCACATGTTTGAAGAGCCTTTAATTCATGCTGTTGAAGAAGCAGAATTGACGACTGAAATTGAGGCCAAAGCAGCTGCTTGGTATTATGTCACGTATCATCCTTCTGAATACAAGAATGATGTGATTTATAACCTGACTTTGGCACGCTTCATCAGTTTCCCTTGGGTTGTGGATGACTTTATTTCTCATATTGCACTCAAAAATGATACAAGACAACCTTCACCCGAACAAACACAGGCTATACCCCAAGAGAAAATCAGAATGTATCAAAACAATGTTGTTATCAGCGAATCTGAAGACGAAGACGAAGACGAAGACGAAGACGAAGACGAAGACGAAGATGAAGATGAAGACAAAGATAATGAAAAAGAGGTGATAAAACAAGACATTAGTCACTCAGAACGAACCATGAACACACAACAAAACGAAGATGATATCCCTGAAGTCAATATCAAACTAGTAGATGTTCTTCGCTTATAATAAATAGCACACGAATATGTCAAGCAAATGAAAAAAAAAAAGGTTTTATTTAGCCTGGTCTCTTCTGAAAGAAAAAGAAAGCAACAAGGAAGTTCTTTAAGCAATAGTAACTTCAACTTCAACTCCGGGTTCAATGGAGATGGAAGTGATTTGCTTGACAATTTCAGAGGGAGAGTGCAAGTCGATCAAACGCTTGTGGATTCTCATTTCGAAACGGTCAAAGGTTTCAGAACCGTTACCACAAGGAGACTTACGGGTAGTGATCTTGAGAACTTTGGTAGGGAGACGAACGGGACCCTTAACCTTGAGTTGCTTATCCTTGGCACGTTGGATGAGGTCAGAAGAAACCTTTTCCAAGTTCTTGACGTTACGAGAAGTCAAGGTGATACGGATACGGTGGATCCTATAAAGGTATAAGTAATTCGTACTTTTAATCTAAAGAAACTTACTTGGGTTGTTCTTGTTCTTCAAGACCAGGCTTTTCGGAGGTGTTCTTAGCCTATGAGATATAATGTTAGCATAAGTCACTCCTCTTCTTCTTTTTGACGGATATACTTACGACGTAGGACATTCTTAAATGTGAATTCTCAGCGGTGACTAAGGTTTTAGTGTAAAGATGAGAAGGGGAGAACGACAATAACAAGGAAAAATTTTGATTTTATGTTTTAGCAAAGCCACCCTCCCTTCCTGCAAAAGTCTATTCACTGAGTTTGAATTGAAGAATATAACTGCTCTGCTTGGTTTATGAAACAAAGTGTATACAATACATGGTATATTTTATTTTCTAATTCATAATTTGAACCTTCAAAGCACCAGAATTACGATCAGCAACAGTTTCAAAGGCCTTAAGAGCATCAGAAAAGTCAAATCTGTGTGTAGTCATATGCTTGATATCCAAAATACCACTGGCTAATAAAGAAATGGCCCGAGGATAAGTATGATGGTATCTAAATAGACCACGAATATCTACTTCCCGCATAGCAAAGTTGTTTACAGGAATCGTCTGGTCATTCTTTCCTACCCCGACAAGACAACAAGTACCTGCATCACTTGTGGCCATAATGGCTGTTCTAAACGAACTCTCAATACCAGTGCATTCAAGCACACATTCAGCACCTTTGTTGTCAAAGAGAGCACGGATTTCTTTGGTTGTCTCTAGCTCGGGTTTGGAGGGATCAATACAATAAGTGAAAGTGGCACCCATCTTTTTAGCATAGTCCAAGCGACTTTGCTGAACATCCGTGATGGCAATAGGATGAATACCGGTTGCCTTGGCTACAGCAAGAACCAGAAGGCCAATAGGTCCACTACCCGTAATCAAAAGAGAGCGACCAAATTTAGCTCTGACACGATCAATCGCAGCAATGGCAACCGAGAGAGGTTCGAGCAAAGCACCTTCTTCATAGCTGATGTTGGCAGGAATCTTGTGTAGCCAGCGAGCGGGATGTGTAATGTATCTTGCAAGTTGACCATCAAAAGGTGGAGTAGACTTGAAAATAACATCAGGACACAAATGATATCTACCACTCATACACTGTTCACAAGAAGAACAAGGGATACCACTTTTTTTTTAAAAAAAAACATATGAGCATGCATTGACAATCAAATGTGACTTACGCTTCAATAGCAACGCGATCTCCTACTTGAAGAGAAGTAACACCTTCACCTAAAGCAGTAACAATACCAGCACTTTCATGCCCGAGCAATTGAGGCTGAGTCACAGGGAAAATACCAATCTCACCGTGTTTCCACAAATGAATGTCAGAACCACAAATACCAGTGCATTTCACTTGGACCTGAACATGGTTAGCAGGTGGCTCAGGAATAGGAATTTCGACGAGTTGAAGATCATCCTTCTTCTTTAATAAAACACCTTGATTAATAGTATCTTTGGTAGGAACAGTGTATTCAGTAGCAGCAGCAATAGACATCTTGTTTATTATTAGAAAAGAGAGAAAACAAAGGAGATCTAATGACTTTTATAATCTTTTTTTTTCTCCACTGACATGCTCGGAAATTAGTATGAATTTTACGATCCAATAAAAAGGGTTTCCTAATGGAGAATAAGAGATTCTGATTTGATTATGTAAATCTTTATTTAAGGTTTGAGTACTTGTTGAACAGCCTCTAAGACGCGGCCATGAATAGATGCTTTAGAGGCAATAACACCCTTGTTCTTTTCCAAGGTACGGCCAATCGAGAAGTCAAGTGGTTGACCATGAATATCAGTCACTTTGCCTCCTGCTTCAGTAACAAGTACATTACCTGATGCATGATCCTGTGAGAAAAAAAAAGGTTAATTACATACGTAAAGTTTATGTTATTTACCCAAATCTTTTCAATATAAGTCTTGCTTGTAGGAAGACGTAAATAGATATCAGCATCACCTCTTGAAATAGAACAATATTTGGCTTGGCTATCCATACGAACAGGTTCACGCGTAATACCCAACAACTTGGCAATTTCTTCTGCATCACCATGAGAAGAGTGGCCTGCTTCAACAGATTCACAGAAAGTTGCTTCATTTGTGTTTGAAATATCCGCAAAATGAATGGGTGTTTCAGTCGTGTTTGAAAATGAACGCTAATGAGAGTAAGTATCTGTTGTCTGCATGTGCCTATACACTTTACCTGGAAAGCACCTTGTCCTCGAACAGCAATGAACAAAGAGCCGCGTTCGCTTTCAGGCTTGTGGTGATCAATAGGCAAATTAGGACAGCCAACAACACCGAGTTGAACAATGCCGTCTACAATCAAGGCCAAACACACAGCATATTGACCTCCACGTAAGAATCCTTTAGTACCATCAATAGGATCCAAAGCCCAATGACGGCCCTTGGCTCCACCAGCATAGTTACCACGATCAATGGCATTTAAAATCTTGCATTATAAAATTAGATATCAACATCCTTTTTTTCTGTGTGTGGTACCTGTTGTTCAGTAAGCTTTTCGTTTTCTTCCAAAACACCATTTGTCAATGAAAACACTTTTTCTCTCAAGATTTTTCCAGCATCGCCTTGTAAATCTTTAGAGTCTTCTTCACCCACAATAGGATCATTAGGAAAATGCTTTTCAAGACATGTATTGACAATAGCTTGAGCGGAAAAATCGGCAACTATCCATTGTATGAACATCATATGTATATTGGCTTTCAATTACCTGTCACTGGTGACTTGTCGTTCTTTGTTAAGGTCTCGTTGGCTACCAAGTGTTGGAAAACAGATTGGCAAACCTTACTAGCAGTCAACACAGCTTGAATAGCAACGTTTCTCTCTTGAGCGTAGTCTAGAGAAAAAGTATAAATAATAACCCGCGTCTTTTTATCGTTGACTTACTGGACATATGTCTAGTAGAATAGTATTTATATGAAAAAGAAGTTGAAAATAACCTAGTGCTTTGAAAGAATAGCTTTATCATCTGTGAAAAAGAGATGGTTAGGACTCCGAAGCTCAATGCTTTTTTACTTTCAAGTACCCAAAAAGTTCTTTCAAGGAAGGATAACATTCAAAGTAGTGCCAAGACATCATTTATGACTACTGCTGACTCTTTGAATGTATCGTTTCTAGAAGCAAAGCTACGAGTATAAAAGAAAAGAAACAGAAAGACGCAATATAATGCCATTTGATTGCGAAATATGTAAGCATTTTCATTGGTTATTGGCTTGCATACATAAATGAAATGGTTTATACTTCATGTGTTTATTCACGAACTTTTGTCTTTTTGACTCGAACAAATATGCACATTCCACTTGTTGCTCAACAAAAAAAGAGAGTGTGTGAGATAAGAGCGATATTTATCCGAAATCATTGATTAAATGCCTTATCAATTCATAAATATGCAATCTCTTGCTATTTCCTTCGAGCAAATGCAACAAAAAGTCCAAATGAGAAAGAGTATCCAATGGTTATCACACTGATTTAAGAACAGGGCTAAGCATGTAACACGAAAGGCATGATGATGGATCTGCTTTTTTTTGAGATCCCGAATTGAGTCACTTTGAAGGGTGTGTATGTAGAGTGGACATGCCATGTATCCACGCAAATTCAACAGCAGCTTCAACAAAGTTTTTCTAGTCTTTCCTTACATTAGTTCGAGTGTGAAAACAAGGGACACTCGACATCAACACAAGAGGCCAACGCTTTTTTTTATACTGAGTAAAAACGATATACAAAAAGACAGTCATTCAGAACAGATCCATGGTAAACAAGTAAAAAAAAAAAATAGGCGTCTTCTTTTACTTATATTACCCTATAGACATGAGTCCGACTTTACCTGGATCACCTCATCCCTATTTCGACGAAAAAGCAGCAGAAAGAGAAGCCCGGATCAAGAGTTTGTTTGAGTCCTTGGACCTTAAAGGACGAGGTTATTTAGACGCTGAAGCCATTCTCGGAGGCTTTCTAAAATTGACACACTTGCCTGCTCACACGCGCTATGCAACTGACTTACTGGCCAAGTGCAATACAGCACATGACGGTATGATAGACTATCAAGAATTTAGAACATATGTATTAGAAAAGGAAAAGGAGCTTTGGCAGTTATTTTCAGAAATCAACAAATCAGGGGATTATCGAATTCATCCAGCAGAACTCGAAATTGCTTTGAAAAATGCAGGCATTCATGTCACTAATGAAGATATCAAGAACTTTATGCAAGTGATTGATACTGAAGGCAATGGCTACATTGATTTTCAAGACTGGCGAGACTTTTTACTTGTAAGTTGTTTGGGTTTTTTTTATCTTTATTGACACATACAATAGCTTTTGCCCCGTGAAACAACGATCATAGAAATCTACCAATACTATCAAACATCTACTCAATTAACGCACGAAGCAGAAGTAGTTATCCCTCATACAGACGAAACAGCCCACAATGCCTATAAGTATTTAGCAGCTGGTGGAATTGCAGGCGCAATTTCAAGAACATGTACGGCTCCATTTGATAGACTAAAAGTATACCTTATTACACAAACCTCATACACAACTGCTCCTCCTATCTCGGCAAAGAATCAGTCTGCTATCTTGACAGGCTTAAAGACCATTTATCAACAAGGTGGTGGATTACGTGCTTTTTTTGTAGGCAACGGCCTTAATGTGATCAAGATTGTGCCTGAATCAGCCATCAAATTCTATGTGTTTGAGACAGCCAAGTCTGTATTGGCTGAATTGACTCACTCTGAAGACAAGAATGCTATCCCTGTTGGTGCACGGTTTGTAGCTGGTGGTATAGCTGGCTTATGTGCTCAGTTCTGTATCTATCCTGTCGAGACTTTGAAAACACGTATCATGTCTTCTTCTGGTATTCAACAACAACGACAACAACAACAACAAGAGAAAGCAAGGCAAAAGAATTTGATTTTTCACACCGCAAAAAACATGTATAGAACTGCAGGTGTAAGAGGGTTTTGGCCAGGCTTAACTGTGAGTCTGATGGGTGTGTTTCCATATCAAGCACTTGATATGGGTATTTACGAGACTTTGAAGGTGACTTATCTTCAGTACATGAATTCACAAAAAGATGATGAGGGTAAAAGTAAGCCTCCTAATGTTCTGATCCTGTGGGCTTGTGGTATGGTAAGTGGCTCCATTGGTGCCACAAGTGTATATCCGTTAAATATGATTAGAACAAGGTAAGAACAAAGAAGCAAAAGAAAAACGAAAATATTAAATCATAATATATAGACTTCAAGCGCAAGGCACACCAGCACATCCATATAAATATACCTCTGCTTGGGATGCAGCAAAAAAGACTTACACAGCTGATGGTGTAAGAGGATTTTATAAAGGTCTTGGACCTACATTATTTAAAGTAGTACCCTCAGTGAGTATAAGTTATGCAGTATATGAGTTTAGTAAAAGATCTCTTGGTATTTCTTAATATTGTAAATAAACACAATTTAAATTAAACACAACAATATCTTTTTTATTTACAAGAGAAAAAAAGTAGAGTTACAAAGATTGATTAAAAAAGGTATCTTTAAGAGTTGAAGTTCTTTTGAGCTTCGCCTTTGTGTTGTTGCATCTTGTTCTTGGTTTCACCACTAGTGTCACCAGTAAGAGAGTTCATAGCACCCTTGACGGCACCAGCAGCTTGGTCCATAGCACCCTTAACGTAGCCTTGAGCATTGGCAGCAGTTTCTTGACCGTGGCCAGCAGTGTTTTGGGTCTTGCCTCTGGCTTCCATAGATTCGTTACCGAAAGCACTGCCTACGTTTTGCTTAGCGCCACCGACGAATTGGTCTTTCTTAGCATCAGTTCTTGAAGGATTCATTTTGATTTAGTATTATTTGATAATTTTTTTTTTTTGAGACGAGAAATCCTGTCTTTTTATATTGTTTTATTTGAGAAATGACGATATAAAAAATAACTTCACGGCACATTTGCATCATGATTATTTGCGTCAACATGATTATATTTTTTTTTAAAACTCATCGTGTAGCACCTTCATGCATTAACAAGACCAAATCCTTTAAACAAGACCAAATCTATACGACTACAATTGAGTCTAGTCGCTTGCCTCATTGGGTATACTTTCGTGTGCCTCATATACCAATGCAGCTGTATAAATCACTTTGCCATATAAGGTACAAAATTCTTGTAAAGAATCAACAAGAATTTTTTTTTGTTAGGAGCACAGCTTGTTTGCTGCTTGATATATCTTTCTCTAATTGATAACAAGAGAATAATTGATATATAAGGCCTAGCTGGGTGAGAAAATTAATGGTGGTATTTCCCAGGATTTTGCAAATGGCTTTTTCACTTGGAACCAATGCTGTAGCCAGTTAGAAGTGGCGTAGCTGGCCAATCGCGGATATTGCTTTGAAAACCGGCTGACAATGATGTCATGATTAAGTATATAACATTTCTTGCGTCTAATGATACGCTATGTGAACAAAACAACCTGTATCTCGATAGAAGTCGAAGTCAAGCCAGTCAATGTATCTTTGATTACTTTGAAATTATGGCAGAATTCTCCAAAGCCGAGAACTTAATACAAAGCCTTTTTTTTTTTTCAAAAGTTGCTCGCTTGCCTATTCTGTCAAATGAAATTAAGTTCATGTTTTATTTCGCTCTAAATAAGCACTTGAAAAGTAGCTTTGGTCTTGTCATATTCAGTTTATAGAAGTGTAACCAATAAGTTTGATTTGAATTAGCTGCAATAAATTATTGTTTTGCATCTTTAATCTGTTTGCTTCAGCAATGTTGGGCAATACTCTAGAATTGATCACTTTTTATTTATCTTAGAGTAACAGCAGTTTGTAACGTATTCAACTTTATCATCCTTTGGATTTATATTATACTCATCATCGTTTATCATTCTGCATCAGCAGTATCATTCTGTTTTCAATCTGTACATATTATGATGCATTTGATGAATTAAAGTTTTTTTATATGATAAGCAATGAAAGAAATATGATCAATTGGTAGAATATATTTTATAAATGAACTCTTTTTTTTATACAATGCTTACAACTACTCGCTCTTTCTTAAGAAAAAAAAATAGGTATTCAGTCCAAAATCATTACTTTTTGGAGTGGGCAGAATGATTCCCTAAAATTATGAGACAAAAACATGACTGTAAAGTTAGTAGAAAGCATGTAATTATATAAATCTCAAATAGTTCTGTGATATTCGTTAAAGAATAAGCTTTTTATTCTCTTAAGAAAAAAAAATAAAAAAGGATAAGATCTCATTACTGCTTGAAGTGTTTGAGGTATTTATACTACAGCCACATGTCCGTGCACTGATTCTGCTATATATCCATCAGAAAATTAAAGAATTTGCATAACGTATTAGACATATGTACCTCGAGTTGAGCTTCCCCATAATTTTTCTATGCATCCCAATACGTGTTCAATTCTAATGCGTATTACCAACAATTCTTCTGGGGAATATTAATAATTTTTTATTTTTTTGGGGAGTGGGGATGAATATGCAGTAATGGGAGACAAAATACAGTTTTTGAAGTCCTCTTAAAAGCTCTATAAAAATGAGTTTTTTTTTTCTTTTCTGTACATTTTGTCAGTCATACACGGCAAATGGAAAAGATCACTCTCTATTACTTCACTGTCTTAAACAGTCGTAAGTTAAAAATTAGTAAGCAGAAATTGGGTTTGACACGTTTTTTGTAGTCACAAAGGCGCGTGGGGAAAACGTCAAATTATTGCTCGTTGATGCAGGCTTAGAGCATGATTATGTTCGTGTAGAAGGTGGTGAGAGCTGGATGCAAAAGAAGGAGTTGCTAAAGGAAGAAAAGGGCGCTTATTCTTGTACATTGCCTTATATTGAAATTGACCAAGGCGATCAATTGAAGAGATTCTTCAAGACTGTTCCTATCATGCGCTATATTTCTGCCAAGTTAGGTTACAAATATCATGGATCAACTCCTGAAGAAACTCAATTTGTTGACGTCGTTACTGAACTCACTGAAGTTTGGTTCGAAAAACTCAAGAAGGCAGCTTTCACTTCTGAAGTAAGTTTATCAATTAAATGGAATAAGCGATTACTTATAACTTTACAATAGGAAGCAAGAAAACACCATTTCACTGTAGAGACTCCACAAGAACTTGCCATGTTTGATAAGTATTACTCTGACTATCCTGGTCCCTATCTTCTTGGCGACAAGGTAATGAACATTCGATCATTATGCAACCATCTTATACCTTTTTATTTAGTTTACTTATGCTGATATCTTGGTCTACCATATGATTGATGATGACATGGCTCTTGACAAACTCGAAAATACTCCTCACCTTGCTAAATTTGTTGAGGCTTTTGAACAAAGACCCAACATTAAGCCATACCTCGCTTCTCTTAAGCAATAAATAAATTTGTTTTATTTTCGAATCTATTTTCTATGGCCATTCTCTAAATCAGTCAGACCAAAACATCTTGCCCATTGATCATCAGGTACAAGAGAGCCAAACAATTCCTTCATTTTTTGTCCCAACTAAAGAGTAATTAATGGTCAAATCTATAGCGAATGTCTCTTTTTTTCTTACCTTGTCTAATTCTATAATAATGCTCTCCATCATGATAACGTAAGCGTAATATACCATATAACATTCGTCTTTGACAGCGTCATTGTTAGATCCACTATAGCAATTGTTCTTTTTCAAATCTGCAGAGATTTTTGGTAATTGTTGAAGTTTCAGCATGAGCTTTTCTCTTGCTTTTTCTGCAGGCGGTAAATAAGGAGGTAAGGGTGTCTTCAACTGTAAGGCAGATGCCAAAAGGTAAAAATAAAGCAATACGCTTCCTGCCATTTCCATCAATTCTTGACTTGCAGGAAGCATCAGATCACGTCTCACTTGTGTGGCCCATACGTCTTTCATTATCACAATACGAATAGATAAAAACTTGTCTAGAATGTTTTGGCATGATTCAAGCATGGCTTCGTATGTCTTTACAGGAAAAGGGCCCTTGAGGCGAGGCTCGTTAGGAGCATGAGCAAGCAATCCTTGAAGCTCAACTAGGCTGACTTGAAGTGAGAGCTCAATGTGTTGAAATTGGATAGATCGAGCTTCATTTCTTTTGGCCAATGCTTCAAGTTCCTCACGTGAAGTCAAAAGGCGGTTTGAATAAGGAATCTGCGTGGTAGTGGAATGGCTATCTAGGATGGCTTGTTGAACAAGATGGCTGTAGCTTGTTTCTGAGTTCTTTTTATTGATATCTTGAGCAAGTGAGGCACAATTATCTTCAGAGTACTCAGATACGAGCTGTTTATAGAGCCAAGAGAGTCGGATTAGTAAATCAGACATATTTTTCCGCATTTCCTTTCTTGCTTCGTAAGGCCAAACATAAGCAGTGATAAAAAGTCCTACACGCGTGTTAGTTTCTCCTATTATTCTTTAGAATCAGACAGCATACCAACAATGACACCCGCAGAGACGGTAGCACATCGCATAAATGCTAACTCAATCAAATCAACGGGCGGATCTTCATTTTGGTGATTGTACATATAAGGCACGACCAAGTTGTAAGACAATAGAGAAAACATGCCAAATCGGCCATGTTTATGATTTAGGATAGCCCAAAAGCAAGGTATAGAGAATAACCAAGCCATGAACAATAAAACCGGACCATCGTGTGGCAAGAACAAATAAAATAGGACGGCGATAATTGAACCTAACATGGTTGCAAACACACGAAGTATAGCTACTTGGATTGTGCCTCCTACTGTAGGTGACATAACAGCTGTTACTGTAATAAGCATCCAATCCATCTTCCAGTTGACAAAATACTCTCTTGTGTAAGGAATAAATGCCAAGGATGCAATCGCAAGTGAAATAAACGTTGATTTGAGACCATATCTGACTGTATGTTTGCGAAACCAAGAAAAGAAGCCCCAAAGACTCAAGAAAAGCTTGCGGACTTTCGTCTTTGGCTTTGGCGTATGAAGTGTGTTAAATGTGTTGTGATTGTTTGGCACAAGTGAGTCAATTGAGCTTTTTTTAGTAACTTGTCTTGGTCTGTTTTGTGTACTAGTGCCTTGGGATTCATCTGCTTTACTTTTTCTATGGCCATGTCTTGAATAAAAGCAGCAACAAAGAAACCAGACTAGATCAATCTATATGAGTATACACTCGTCAGACAATAACGATATGTACTTACATGGCTGAATGAAATATTTTTTCGTACATGACCAGATGCGACTGTTTTTGTTTCTTTGTTCTTCATCGCATTCATATACGGATTGAACACACTCTACCAGCACCATCAATTCTTTTGCAAACTCCAAGAGACAGAACACAAAGAAATATACCAGAAACACATCTTCTGCAGGAAAATGGCTCATTAGATGAGACTGCAATTCCTCAGGATGAATAGTACATTGTTTCTTCTTTCTAGAAGCACTTTTCATCTTGCGTTGATACATTCTTGTCAATGCTAATTGTTGAGATTCTTCAAACAAAGACATTGCCATAGCCAAGTTTTGTCTTAGTAATCCAAAAGAAGGTGTTGATTCTGTTGTTTGGCCTGTAAATCGACTTTGAAGATGAACAATGGTTTGTTTGCAAGTGTATGCTAATGATTTCATAGGTCGACGGACCGTCTTTATAAATTGGACAAGCGCACCATCTTCGTCGTCGTTTCCATCTGTAGGCTGTTCAATATGATAATATCCATTGATTGGTGGCCGTTCAAGTTTCGTTGGCTTTTTGGTTTGTTGAATATCGACTGGTGCTTCATCAGCATCATCTTTATTGGCGATGGAATGCGAAGACAATGTTTGCTCTTTCTTTAGTTCGTATTCCATCTTTTTTCGTTGATTTGTTGCTTTTATATGATAGACTTTCTTCTTTCTGAAAGAGTCATGTTTGCTGGGTCTTTCTTGTTGGGACACTGTGCCATATGTGCTCCTTTTACTCTTTTCTCCTGTCTTCATCACTTCAAATTGTAAGCCACAACTACTACGTAGACCCCCTATATGTTGAGCTAATCTTTGCAGACTTGCAACAATTGTGTCGTATTTTTTAGCATGTTTCCAGATATGCAAGTTATAGAATTCCTTTTTAGCGTCCTCCAAGGATGATTGTAAAGAAGTAAAGCTTGTGCGATGTGAATTAATAGCATTCTGTAGGTTCTCATTGGCGGTGAATTCTGGCAAGTCTGTATCAAGCAAAAACGTTTTAGTCAAGAGTTTTAACAAAATACGAACGGCCATTAAAGTATCATTGATATCCGATCTAAATATTGGTGTAACAAAGGTTAATCTATAGTGCGCGCGCGAGAGAGAATTCTACTTACTTTAATTTCTTAGTTGCTGTCATTGGCCATATAAACCAGCAGACAAAAACAGAGATAGCTGTGCCAATAGTAACAATAGCAAACATTTCTTCAATATACGTAGGGTCAAATTCAGATGGTACGACAGAACCTTCTCTAACAAGCACAGGAAATATGATCATAAAGCCTAAACCACAACCTATTAAGAAAAAATGATATAAGCATTTATGAAACTTTCTCCTCTTTTTTTTTGTGTTTGTGTACCTGTCCCGATCGTGGGTTTATTATAATGTGCCTTGATGAATGAAAGCACAAATGTGCTACCAGCTAACCAAAAACCCAGAGTGACACAGCAGGAAGTAACATAATAGTCTTCAGATCTCAGATAGATGGCTACCAACATGCTTAATACTGATACAAAAATGGCACATAAAGTATAGAGGAGTCCACAGCCAGCAGCTTCAACCATACCGCCTACAGTTTTAGATGGAAGAAAGAATACAGTAACAGTAGCAATGACATGACTGGATAACTTAGCAGTTCCAAGCAAGTTGTGCAAGAATGGTACAAATGTGAACAGTGAGCCAAGCAAATAAGCAAAGCTGCATTTCAATACCATCTTTTGTGTGTATGACAAGGTAAATACATGACGTAAAAACCATTGAATAATGGTCCTCATATTACAACAATTGCTTGGCTTTTTCTTTTTGTTTTGCATGTGGCGATGGTAGAGCTCATCTTCACTGGATTCTGCAGGCTGAAGATCTTGTATTATCAAGTTTGGATCTGATGATGAAGTAGACGCCAACAATGCTCGCCTTTCTTCTTCCGCTAATAGATACTGATAGAACCTATAAACTCAATGTGAATACACAAAACTAACCAATAACTTCACTTACTCCTCTGCTTGTGCTCTACTTTGTTCTCTAGATAGTTGTTCATTTGGGTCATCGGCTGTTGCTTGATCATAATAGAAATGGTTATAGTTTCCTTTGTATTTCTTTTTTCCAAATTCAAGTGGAGACAGCAAAGGCAATGTGGATAAAGAAACTGATCGTTTTTGCCGTGAACCATCATCCAAGACTACTTCATAATCCTCACTATAGTTGTCTTGAAAATACGATCCTGCGGGTGATTTGGATAATAAGCCGCTATCAAGCGATCCATAGTAGTAAAAGTTATTAGGTATGCTGGTAGGAAAACTCTGAACAAATGACAATGGATGCCCCATGAAACTATGGTTGCTAGTACTGGCTGTCATTGGCACTGTTACTCCAGGATGATAGGACATACTGAAATCATTTGTGCTGATTCTTTTGATGATTTGGTTTGTTCTTGTGCTTATCAATTCTTCGCCCTTGTTTGTTGGCGAATAATGAGGGGCTGTTTCCAACGGTTTTCTTTCAACTATGGTCTCTAGTCGATTATCTGTCATAAATTGTTGGTCATTATCGTCTTCTTGGTCTCCTAATGCTGTATGAAATGACTGTACTGAGATAGCGCTTCTGCAAGAAACAGAAGGTGTAGGCTGGATTAATGAAGTCTGAACAAGCGACGCTCCACTTTCTGAAGGTGTGGATAAGGGGGATGGATTGGGCGTATAAAATTGATTGGCCGAATAGGAGTGAGAAAGTTGTTTCTCGTTTTGTTTATTTTTTGGTATCATTGTGCTGCTTGTTAAAAAGAAACAGAATGAAATGAAAAATAGGGTTTTTATTTATATTGTCTCTTGGGAGCTTTTTATTAAGCCGCTAAAGTTTTGTGCAATGATCATCTTTATTTTAAGGGGAAATGATTTGCGTTTTGTGTTTAAGAATGGGGGAACACTCCGTCCATTCGAAAAAAAAAGTGACCATTTTTACGTATGTATACTGATTTTGGGGAGTATAATTTGAGTGTTTTAACAAGTTCCAAAGTATATCGACTCTTTCCAGTTTATCCTACAATGTTCTTTCTTGACACGAATAAATCATTTGCATGTAACTCGCATGCATTTGGTAATCTGACGTTTTCTTTACCATATCCAAACCTGCTTTTTTAGGGCTCAAAAGTGTCAAGTGCCATTATATTGCAAATCACCTACTTACTACCATTCATAGTGTGCAATGACCTCTGAATTCAGATTTGAAGGCAATGTTCAAACCAATTCTTAGTAAACTCGTTTTCTTTTCATCAGAAGTATCTAGACCTGATCTAGCCTCACATTGGCTGAATCAGATCTACATTGGGTCATGCGAAAAATTCTTGATCGAGTCTTGTTTTTCATCTTCAAGGATCCCCGTGGATCCCCCATGAGTCAAAAACATAAATTTCACAAAACTTCCAAACCAATGGTACCGTTCGATTTCTTAATTCAAAGAAACATGTTTTAAATGAAAAAAGGGGCCATTTTAGTAGTCTGGTTGTCGAGCAATGGTTCATCGAAGATTGGCATACTTAAGCTGTGTTTTGAGCGTTTTTACTCTAAATAGTATATAGCATTTGCTAGATAAGAATTCATAGAACATATCATATGCTACCTAGCGTGTCAAAGAACATAGAAAAGTAGAAACGTATCCATCTTATAATGTAAATGTAGGGCAAATGAACAAAGTAATACCAGATAGCTATGCTGCGGAGATTGAAATGGAAGGCGACTCTATTTCTTCCCGCTACAATAAAAATTGGGCTTTTGCTGAGAACTGTATAAAGACGCGGTTATTGGGCTTTGGTGTAGTTAAGTTGTAGATTTTTGCTTTCTGAGTCTATTGGTACAGAGAACACAAAAAATTTGCTGCCAAAATATTGAGTAAATAAGCAAAAATGTCTACAGGGTTTTGTGCTCATATCTCATCAAACACGTTCACCAAAAATTAGAGCTTCTGACGCGCATTTTGAGTATTTAACCTTGTCAATAGCTCCATTTTTCGTCCTGTAGCGTTCAAAAGAAAATCAGATGTTGTCAAACGAGCAATCTTCATAACTAATACTCTTTGGTCGAATGGTCATTTTAGCCAAATTTTACAAGTGGCCTTTTTTGGTCCAAATCAACTCCAAATATATCATATGTTAGCAAACATTGCCTTTAGATATTTGGTGCATATAAAAATGTATAAACATAATTTATACTTCTGTTATCTTGATATACAATTCTTTGTATTAACAGAGAAGATAATTCTATTTCAAAAGATCCGATGTCTTCTGTAGTATGAAATAAATGACATTTTGTGGCTTTAATACTAATTTATTAAAAAATGCTTTTTGAAAAGTGTTTTTTAGATTAAACACTCCTAGTAGTATTTTTCTTTTTCTTTTTCTTTTTCTTTTTTTTTTTTTTTTTTTTTTTTGACAAGTGCTTACAGGTACAGACTTTTTGAGATCAAGATGCTCAAGCAAAAATAGTCTTGCTTTTAATGTGAAAGAAGTGCTTCTCTATTCGAAATCTGACGTGTTAAGTGCATTTTACAGCCTTGAATCACTATTTCAATCACTCTTGAATTTCTAAAATCAGAAACTTCATAAAGGTCCTTTAAATAGCATCATGTCAAAGAAATCACCTCCCTAATTCCATTCTTGTATTAAGCTGGAGAATGATAATCAATCTTTCCAGAAAATAGAACAATAATACCCGAGTAATTGAAGAATGCGCACGATAATTGCTTAATTTTAATTTTAGAGACAAAGCAGTATGGCTGTTAGAAAGCTAAATCATAAAAGATCTATAGCCTTCTATAGTAATTCAACGAGAATGTGGTATATTTTATTTACTTTGTATCTACTTTCACATGATAATGTTGTTGTTGCGAATGTTCCAACCATTAGCTGTAGCGACCAATTCGGCCTCATGCTCATATGTTTGGAGTGTTTTATCTACTAGTTTAACAGCTGCTGCAAGTGCCATGGCATCACCTGTTGTCGAATGAGCCCATGAAATGCGGTTGCTTCAAACTTACCTTGTTGTTGAATAAAGTTAATGCGATAAACTCGCCTTTTTTGGTTTGTTTGAAGTTGGTAAATCTCAAGCTTAAATTTTAGTAATACTGGTTTCAGTTCTATAGAAAGTTTAAGTAAGAAATATATAGAAAAAAGGCATTTACGATGTGGTAGCTTCATTTCTCCTTTTCTTCTGATTCTACCATCTGGATCCTGTCTTTCAGTAACATATCCTTCCATATACTAACATCGTATGAGTGAGGAATTGTTCTTGTCTAACGACAACTTACTTCTTGTAACACTTGCGACAGCTTTCCAATAGCTTCTCGTTCGTCTCTTGCCTCACATTCTAATGAACATACTTTAGGCTGTTTAAAATGAAATAAACCAGGCAGCCATGATGTCAATTTAGGACTTTCCATTGGGGGCTCTTGATGTGGAACCCGAGAGGGAGCTTGATGTTGTGGTGAACGCATAACAAATGAAGATCTCTTTTGCTTAGGTGTAGAAGACTGTTCATGATATAATAAAGGGGTCTGAACAGAAGGATCTTTCCAAACAGATGAGCTTGATTCAAGTGCTTTCCTATCAAAACAAAAAGATTTTTGCTGAGGAGATGGAGGCATCGACAATCGAAATGTATGCTGAGAAGGTGGTGGAGTGGGGTCGACTCTATGGTTGCGCTGCCACATGTTCATAAATCGATTCAATTTAGAGTCTTGTTGAGGAAGATATTGATGCTGCTGCTGCTTATAAGAATGATGATGGTTTTGCTGATGAAGTACACTACTAGCAGGTGTTCGAGGAGATAACATATGGTTAACACTCATATGCTGTTGTGGTTGTGGAGGTGGTTGAGACAGTACATTGTAGTATGGGTTGAAAGGAGATACAGGCGAATTACTATAAGCTTGTTCTTGTCTATTCGACGAAAATCGGTTTGCGTTTGGTCTGCTTGTCAATGGTGTATGCCTAAAAACAAAAGTTAAAGCCATCGTTCTCTATCAGACCAATTTACCATAAACTCTGTCGACGTTGTTGAACAGGCGTAAATTGCCATTGATTTTGAGGTTGTACTTGATCTGCACGAATGATAATGGGCTTTGGCGGTACTGGGGGAGGAGGGGAATCATCGTATTCTGATGAAGAAATAGTTGGCTTTAAAGTAGCATCACTCGAAGAAGGCGAAGTTAAACGTTGAGGTTGAATTCCAGGCACGATTTGAGGAGCATTGGAGATTTTTTCACGTTCTGCTAATTTGGCCATCATCTCATTTAGACCTGGGAATGGTTCTTTTCCTTGTGAGACTGCACATATAGTTGCTGGACGACGTCGTTTAGCAGGTGAAGAAACTAAATCAATGTATAGTGAATATATAAGTCTTTATGCATCATTCCGCCTTCTTTACCAGAACGAATATCATCGTCTCTTTCTTCTTGCCAGTATGAATTGGCATGCCGTTGTAATAAGACATAAGTAACTTTTTGCATGTTGTATCTAAAAGGTACCGTTTAAAAAGACAGTCAATTACTAGTTAAACGTGTTACAAACCTACTCAGAATTTAATAGAGCATGAACGACTTGTTCAGTAGATAAATCAGTCCATAACACTTTGAGTGTCTCCAAGATACGATCATCAATTTCTGAAACACTGGCCACTGGTCTGCCAATTTCTTTTGCTGTTGGTGGATCAGGCAATGTTGTCAAATTGGGTGGTGGATCAATGATAAACCAAGGATGTGATTGTACTTGTTTCATCTAAAATAACAAGTGAATACAAAAATCACAAGTACTAAAAAGAAAGGTTGATTTACAGTGAGTCTTTTGGAGGGGTTGATCACTAAAATCTTAGTAATCAAGTCTCTTGCTTCGTCTGAGATGTGGTCTGGTATCTTGTATTTTCCAACCTTGACCTTGTTTAATAGTTGCCGTATGTTATCATCATCAAATGGCAAATATCCGCTTAACAATGCATATAAAATAATACCACAAGACCAAATGTCTGAAGCTGAGCCATCATACGGAATGCCCTAGTCAAAACCATAAACAAATCCATATTGCCCATATAAAACACTTACATTTACAATCTCTGGGCTTGCATAATGTGGCGATCTAAAATATCCTTATAAGTAAAAGTTGATAGATGTCATCATTTGTGTATTTTCTCTCTGCTTTTTATCTATTTACCCGCAACTCGTCTCTAACAATGAGCCTGTTGGTTGTAACGAAGCCATACCGAAATCTGCAATCTTAATGTTCTTTTCTCGATCCAACAATAAGTTTTCTGGCTTTAAATCTCGATGACTAGGTTATGTTTAGGCAAAGTGTATCCAAAAAGTAGCTTCTTACCAGATCAAGTGACGATGGCAATAGTCTAAACCTATGATAATTTGCTGAAAGTACTTTCTTGCTTCTGCTTCAGAGAGCCTGCCCTGAGAGACAAGGTATTCGAATAATTCTCCGCCCTGCACATATTCCAATACCAAATACCTAAAATATGTTAATGTTTGATCACGAAAGCGAAGCTAGTTATATACTCTACAGGTTAGGTGAATCAGATAAGTCAACAACATCGAGCAAACTCATGATATTAGGATGGCTAATGAGTTTCATGACAGCTATTTCTCTTTTGACAGCCTTTTCTACAGAGGCGTTCGCTGCTAGATGGGATTTGGATATGATTTTGATGGCCACTTTTTCACCTGTGACTTTATGAATACCAACTTTTACACGACCTACAAGGTGTATGATGAGTATATGTCTATTTTCTGTATTCGTATACAAGTCTATATATATATATGTGTGTGTGTATGTGTGTGTATGTGTGTATGTGTGCGTGTACCTGAAGAACCTCTGCCTAATGTTTTACCTAACCAGTAATCCCCGACATCTTTTCGACGACGATTACCAGGAGACATGATAGGAGAGTTGATGTGTTTATTATGAGGGAATTTGGCTAACAATCTCCTTTGTGGTGAAGGTGATGCCATAGTAGAATTGATTATTGTCATAAAAAGAATAAAGAAGAAGAACAAAAAAAAAGAAAAAAGTGAAGAAAAAGGAGTCCAAGGTGAAATATGTACAACAAGTTTCGATGGTTGGCTGTTGATGAGTTCTTTTCGGATATAAATCAGCTTTTAAACTTTTTTCTTGTTAAAATAATGGAGGGAAAACACCGCACTATGGAATGTAATAATTGATGCAGATCTTGACCATGACCTAGTTGGTTCTTTATTAGGTAATTATTATATGCTTACATTAGCTAGGTGTATAATTCTTTTAATAAGGCCATTTCGCATACTTGTTCGGACAATTGCTAGCGGATAATACATAGTGTGCATATTGTTTTTTTTTTTAAAAAAAAAAAAAATTCTAAGCTGTGTTAATTACTGCTTTAAAATGAATTCATGCTTTCCTTTTTGAAAACTAGAAATAGCATATGAATACCTTAATTAAGCTATACTAAATACTTTACGTCAAACATTGATTTTTTTTTTGTTTTATAGGTACAATGTATTCGGAAAGTATTCGTGTACTCGAGTAAATTTAAATGAAGCAAAAAACAGAGTCAAAATGCATGAAAAACAACTTTATTGAACTGAGCGATCCTCTTTAAAGCATGTTTGTGTGACATTCAAGCCGTCAAGCAACGAAAACGTGTGTTGCATAGGATAAATGCCCATCTTAGCTTCAGCCGGACTTAAAATACGTTTTCTTTACTTTGAAGATAATGAGCTAACTCTCTTATAGAAGATTATACTCATTTGTTAAAACGAATTCTTTGAATGTTAAATTACTCAGCAAGATACAGAGGGACTTATCTGATTAATATGACGTATATGGGGGGAAAGGTGAATGCACTTTAGTATCGAATGCTTTTTCCCCAAGGTTGATCATCTCTTTAAACTAGGAAAACTTAGATTGGCCCAAATCAACAAGGTTCTCTTAATCATTAGTAATTGGAAGAATTGATGACATTTGCAATCATTCAGCATCATTTAAACAACATATCAAATGATTTAAAAGAGAGGGTTGTACCTTTGTTGGTTACGTTCCTAAATCGAAAAATCAAATAAAAATTGAAAATCGTGTTTGACTGTTGAAGATAATGGTTGGCAGATTGACAACTGGCTCATTGGCTGCTAAAGCCCTTGTATCTATTAGATGAAATTCAAGCTATTCAATATCAAGAAGAGACATAGAGCCAGATAACAACATTGAGTTCTGTGCTGTTGACAAGAACAAGGTCAAAAGAGGAAGACTTTTTAAGAAGAGGAGACACTCACTTCTAGAATAACAGGGGTTCGTAATAATGTCATTTTGAACAAATTGAGAGGCTCCTAAAGAAATTCTTTGTCTACGTTTGAGGATAGCTTGAACAGAAAGTCAGCCTAATATACTTTATGCATTTTGCATGGATTTTTGATTCTGCTTTTTGCTAGAAATCATTTTCCAAGTCCGTACGATTCGATTTTTTTTATGGCACGAATACTTTCCGAACATACTTTTCTTTTTCTTTCAAAGATATGGGTCAAACAAGCACAAAACCAGAAACAAATCTTCCACCTTCAGCTTCTACCAGCACTATCACAACTCGCTTTAAACCCAGAAAGCACCTGTCTCGAGTAGAACTCGTTTCTATTCAATATGTCTTTCGAGATCTAAAGTCGACTTTTAAAGATAGTTTCGAGTGTATCGAAGCAAAACAATTCTTGGTAAGTATACATAATGATGGTTAAATTGCTCATGCTTCAAACATAGGAGCATCTTCATTTACCAAGTGATATTGAACCTGCAGGCGTACTTTTGTTTAAAGCATTCTCCTATTTAGGATCGTATCCTGCATGCACAGCATCTGGACCTGTACCTCTTTCTTTTGATGCATTTATTGCTGCTTTTGTTGTGCTTATTGGCAGATTAGACAAAGATGGAGACCCTATATCGGAAAGCATGTTTTTTCGATCTTTATCTATATTACCCTCTCCTCAAGAAGAAGAAGAAAAACAAGTGAATAAACCTTCTAATGAAGACATCAATCAAGACACAATGAAGAGTACAGGATCAAAAGGGCTTTCATTAGCAGAACTCGGTGTTGATTTCGATGTAGACTTTGATACAAAGAACAGCAATGAGGGTGATACTGAAAATAATGCATCAGATAAAATTTTATGCAGAGATTTAGTGGAATTATTTGTACTTTTATTATGGCTTGGACAAGTAGATAAACAAGACGAGATCGATTTAGTTTTAATACGTGAAACAGCAAATAAAATAGTATCCAACATTCAGACAACAGCCACAACAGACGAGTTGCCTTGTATTTCTTATCAACAATTCTGCTATTGGAAAGATAGATTTTCACCCCATCTATTTAAACCATTACAATCATTCATCATTCGGTCGTTTGCTTATTATGACACAAACACGTCATTGTTAAAAAGAGAAAGAGTGCTGCCAGAAGATGCTACACCTGAACCTGATACCACCGACATTCTTTCCCCTCTCCATACGACCTTATTATCGTGGTCACTTCCAGAACCCATCTTGGTCACTAAACAATGGACGCGTCTTTATTCTGCTAATAAAGACGGTTTCTCTATGAATCGATTTGAAAGCCATGTGTTCAAATACCCAGGCCCTACTCTTTTGGTCATCAAGGCCAATGCCTCTGGTCAAGAATTGATGTTAGGCGCTTATATTGCACAAGCATGGAAACACTCTAAACATTTCTGGGGTAACGACCAATGTTTCTTGTTTGAGCTCCATCCTTCATTTGACATCTATCGTTCTGTTCTAAATCGACGCACTGGCCAAGCCCAAAATGACCATTATATCTATTATCATCATGAATTTGGTATTGGGTTCGGTGCTACATCGATAAAATTACAACCACAAGGTTTTATTGTTTATCTCAGGAACTCTTTGCAACAAGGTGGGTATCAGCATGAAGCATACCCTTCTCAGCCTAGTCTAATAAGTGCTACCAAGTCTAAAGAACACTTGCAATTCTCCTTTCAATTTGATACTGAAGACATTGAAGTGTTTGGCTTGGGAAGTGAAAAAGACAGAGAAAGACAAGCAAGAGAATGGAAGTTTGAAAAACAAGAAGCAGAAAGAAGAGCAAGCTTAAATATGCGTCAATCAGATGGTAATTTAGATAAAGAGTTGTTAAAAATGGCTGGTATTATTGACGAAAATAGACAAGAACGTTGAAAATAATATGGTTTATGCAAATAAAATAAAATAAAAAAGAATGATGCGTATAAATGTATGTATAAATGTATATGAATTAAATCTTCATTTGATTAAAGTGCTCGACTGTATTACTGTTCGAGCTCCAACTGCCTATATAAAAGTCATCAAGACAGTCTTCTGGAATAGTAGCAGCGACAGAGGTAGAGGGAGCAGTTGTGGTAGTAACAGCAGGATGGTATGGTGTGATAGCAATGGTATGTTCTGTAATCGTGTTTGGTGCAAAGAGAGCTGTGTTGGCAACTGTGTGACTAAATGGTTGAAGTTGTTGTTGTGAATGATACAGTTGAAATTGTTGATTCTGTTGTCTTTGTTGTTCAATAATCCATTCTGTTGTCTGTCCAAGCATCAAGTTATCTTCTTCTCTGATTGGTGTACTAAGCCCACCATTGGTTGTTGTTGAAAGCATGTCCCATAAGCCAGGTGTAGATGACGGTGGGTGATCTAGAGGTGATGATGCTGCAGAATGCATGACATGTTGAGGAATCAGACTGAAATAATCCATAGGTTGTTGCTGTATCATGTCACTACTACTACTAGGATTATGATTACTATGACTACTGTTGCTGCTCATAATCATGCTCTTTTTGTCTATGAGTTGAATGTACAGTTCAATAAGCTCTTGATCGATTCTAGGATCAACTTGTGTATGTGCAATAATCTGTCGGATCTGTTCAACTATTTCAAAATCAATCAGTTCTTCTTCTCTTGACAAATGAATGTCTAGACAAAGCATGAGACCAAATGAGGCCATGCGTCTACTCTGAATGGCACTTTTAAATGATGTTTGTGTGACCCACGTATGTATCATTCGTTGTAATCGATATGCCGTTTCAACAATGTCCCATTCGGTTTCGGGTAAATGATAATATTGAATCAACAACAGGTAAAGCATATCATAAAGTATAGCACTGTATAAAATCAAGATATCAATTTCTTCTTGATCAAAAGTACACAGAGATACCAGTCGATTTTGTGTAATGGGATGCAGAGAGTCATGCCAATGTTGCCTGATCTCTCTGAATTGCTTGAGACATATGAGCTGGGATGTTGAGCCAGTTGCTAAGCAGTGTACTGTATGAGAATAAAGAAGGCTGAGGTTTGCAATCTGAGCAAATTGATTTACACGTTGATGAGCCGCAGAAATGGCCGATGCATCTTTTTCTGCTGTTTCTTCAGCCAATGGATGAGGAAGTTCGTCAGGTAGCTGAAATTGGTTGTATAGGCGGCTGAGATGCTGATCAGAAAGATTGCCGAGGCCTATACAACTAAAAAGTATCCATCGTGCACGAGTAATCATTTCTTGTTGTTGAGGGATGATAGCTTGTAGTCTACCAAGCATGTCTTGTGCGACTTCAAGGTAATGTATACCAAGGTGTGATTGATTCATCATCTCTTTATGTTTGTACAATAAAAGCAGTGTCTGTACAGTATCTAATCTTGGTGGTAGTGTGTTTTGTGCGTGTTCGACTTCTTTTTTAGCTGTCTCATAGAAATAAATGGCTGTATTCATATGCAAATCGTCAAATGCATGAAAAGATCCAAGTGTAGATGACATAGAAGTTGCACTAGAAGGAGGCATAAAATGACAAGCAATTGCCATGATAGCATATCTGAGTCCCTTTGATAATAACAATCTATCTTGAGAGTGAATATTCATAATAGACTGCTTTAACAAGAGAGGCAAAGCAGGATGTATAAAATCAAAATAGATCTTGAACAATTGTGATTCAAAAGACAATGAAGGTTCATGGATAGACATGCCAACAGAGACTTGTTGTTTTTGATAGAAAGGTTCTCTTTCATATCCTACTTGTGCATCTTGAATTAACAATAAAGGGAATCCATGCAATAGTCGGCCTTGTTGAGGAATAATAGCATTGTTGGCGGTAGCTGCAGTAGACATTTCATTTATTCGACCAGTTGACACAGGAGAGAAAATGCATACTATTTGATGCTTTTGGCAATTTGAGCAAGTGCCGGAACCAGGAATACCGATATCACATCTAAAATTAAAACATACAAATATTAGTGAATACATGTAAATCAAAAATCGACCATTCCTTATCAAGGCAGTTTTTATTATATTTACTATATTTTATTTACTTTGATTTACGACGGCGGCAAAAATCACAAGCACGAGCAACTTTGAGTTTTTTGTACCTTTCAGGATCATTCATGTCCACAAAATGAAATTCAACTGGTTTCTTTTTACGATGTACATTCATGATTTTTTTTTAAAAAAAAAGAAAGAAAAAAAGGTAAGAGAAAAGAGAAAAAGAAATGTCTTTATAAAACAAGGGGTGAAAGAAAAAGAGACAAGGGGAATATCAATGTATGCGTATGTTTCTAACAAGAAAAAAAAAAAAAGAAAAATCCAAAAAAAAGGCCTGGCCCTTTATTCTTTCAAATTACAAAATATCAAAGAAATTGAATAACCGACCACTGAACCAACCAACAACAGATTAAACTTTTTTTGATAATCGTCACTTGACCACATTGAACGACTATCAACGCCACGTATTCTTTTATTTTATTTTTTTGTATAAAAAAAAAAAAGAAAGACAGTGTGATTTTGATTTTCCATAAAAGTCTAGTCTGACTTTATATCAATTGACACTTTCATTGTAGATCTGCGGTTTTTGTATAAAGTATGAAAACAAAGTTTAAAATAATACTGACATACCAATATCCCAAGTGTATAAAATACAAGACAATGTTCATGAATTCCTTGTCCTCTTTATTCCTATCATGAAATTGTCGTCTATTGCTGCAGCATTTGTATCTGGTATTGCTCTGTGCGAAGGTTCCACAAGGATGGTGATTGGGTAGGATAATAACCTTCTTTTTTTTTTTTAATTCTTTGCTGTGTAGATACTTTCCCAATTGGCTGTACAGTGATTATCCCGTTGAGCGTATTTCCTTCAATAAATACACACATATTAATTATGGCAAGTATGAGTTTCTTTTTTGTTCTATATGGCTAAGTTAGTATGCTTAGCATTTGCTATTTTAAACAATCAAGATAACCTACCTTCTTTTCCTGATAATGAGGTTGTTGAATCTTCACTTCCCAATTTGGTGAACATGGCTCATGGAAATCAGACAAAAGTCTTGCTTTCCATTGGTGGTTGGACAGGATCCAAGCGATTCAGTCCCATGGTGGCTACACCAGAATCTCGCAAGAAATTTATTGATTGGAATCTGGATTTCATTAAAAAATTCAACACAGACGGTGTTGATCTAGACTGGGAATACCCTGCAAGACAGGCTGCTGGCTGTAACGAATTCTCTGAAAACGATACGGATAACTACTTGCTTTTGTTGCAAGAATTAAGACAGGCTTTGGATACCAAGTTTCCTGATGAACACAAAGAAATTTCTATGGCTGTCTATGTTCAACCTTTTCTAAAGTGGGGAACTCCTATGACAGACCTCAGTCCATTTGTGCCTTATTTTGATCATGTTAATTTGATGACTTATGGTAAGGTTTTCTCAACATGATAGGTTTTTTTTTTTGTTTTCTGACCTGGTGTTATTCTATAGATATGAATGGTGCTTGGGGTTCTACTACTGGTCCCAATGCGCCTCTCCGGGCACAAGAAGGGTTTTCTTATGTGAATAGTATCAGAGATTGGAAAGCAGCTGGCGTACCAAGCAACAAAATTACAGCCGGTCTTGCATTCTATGGCCGTTCTATCAAAGCTCAAGTAGACATGACTCAGGCACCTACCAATCAATTCCAAGCCTCTGAAATTGGCGCTCCTCAAGGTGATGCTGATGATGGTATCTGGGCTGATCCTTATTGTGAAAGTGAGCCTGCTAGTTATTCAGGTAAGTCGATAAAGATTAGCATGATTTACTTATTATTTTTTTGGGGGACTAAAAATAGGTATCTGGAAATGGACTAATTTTCGTAAACAGGGCTTGTTGAAAGATGACTTAGTTACACCTGGGGAAGGTTGGCATAGACAATGGGACAACACAACCCAAACACCTTGGTTATTCAATCCTTCCACAAAGCATTATATTTCCTATGATGACCCTCAATCACTCATTCTGAAAGTGGAGCATGCTGTATGTGAAAATTTGGCAGGTGTTATGGTCTGGGATATCCATCAAGATAATGGTGAACTTTTAGACACTATCCATAAGATTCATAATACTACATGTCCTACAACTGTCGATACAGAAGATGAAGCAGATAATGATGCTGCTATAGCTGAAGAAGAAGAAGAAGATATGGTCCATTGGTCTGGTCCTCTTGTTTCCTCATCTCTTTCTCAAGACGAAGCTTCTTTTTCTCTCATTGCTCCTACTTCTCCTATCCTTCCAAGCAGTGGTGTTTATCAAAGCAGATCTATATCTGAATCCAAGAGTAGTGACATGCAAGTATTTTCCAAGACAAGAGCATCCTTGTTGCCTACTCCTGTAGTTCAAAGTCTTCATGGCAAAAGTTGTAGTGTTCCTAGTGAACAAAAGTGTGTTGACTCTGGAAAATCTTCTCAATGGTTGACATGCAATTTCGATAAATGGATAGTGCGTGATTGTTCTCCTGGACTTTTGTGTTATGATGGCGCAGGTAAATAATAATAATAATAATACACACGTATATACATACCATTGATCATCTTTAATAGTTGGGCTTGAATGTGATTATCCTCGACGCAAAGAAACCTCCGGATTAGAGAGCAAGCAAGACTTATTACATAGCCTTGTTTCTATGGGCAATCATTTGGTTACTTTGGCTGTTGAAGATCCATACCCAGAATCCCAAGTTGTTTAAGTCTTTTTTTTCTGTACCTGACAATTAAATTATTCTTCTTTTTTTCTTCTTTCTAGAGCATCCCACGTTTATTATCTGAGGTAGTTCTGTATGTATAAATAAGTCCTATATATAAAAAAATGATGCCGACGAGTTCCTGGAAAATGAAGTACATTGTACAATGGTTGCACAATAAGGCTGTACCATAAAACTGGTCTCTTTTTGGCTGCATGTAAGACATGACAAATAAAATCATTATGTAACCATACTGTGCTTATGTTGCAGATATTGACTTCTCCTGCACATTTGTTCAATGTATCACTCCAAGAATTGTATTGAAAAAAATATCTCTACATTCTTCGTTAGCATAGGACTTGTAAAGAGAGGGGGAGAATAGCCCTAGACAAACAGGTTAATAGAGGGAAATAAACGCTGAAAATCGTTATAAATACATATATATATATATATGTATATGATCACCATTGAATGCTATGATCTCTTTTTTTCAACAAAAGTAGATTCTGGCTTTTTTGTGACGATGAAATAAATGGTAGTATTTATTTCCAAATCTAAACATGGTTCGATTTTTTCATCCCACTTTTTTTTCCCTCAAGGATGTGTGTGCAACAATAAACTGAATATGGCTAAAATTAATTCTTGCAGGTCCTTGAGTTGAAAATCATTCAAGAACCAATAGCAACAACAGTTATGTGTTACCACTGTATTGACAAGGAGTGTTTATTTTAGATCAACGACATGATCGTCAAGATGGTTCGGTAAACATACTTTATTAATATTGTACTGCTTTGTTTATACATGCATGCGTTGTTGAATCTAGACCTCTGGTAATTGTAATAATGGCCAAAGATATTTGTCTATCATAAAGTCAATATTTATAACGACAAGCTCTTTTTTTTTACCCATTGTGTCTGGTGAATACAAGTATCGAATAATAAGTGATGTAGCTCTATCACGAAGCTAAATATAGATAGAGAGTAAGCCAAAAAAAAAGGTACTTCATATATAAACAATTTACCTTAAAATAAGATTCTATTTCTTCCAATTTTTGAAGCGTGGTGGGAAGATCGACAACAATGACTATGATCGTATGAGATACAGGCAGAAAGACTAACCGAAACTTACGTAGATCCACAGACTCAAAGTAAATGTCTAATTCTGTCAAGTTTAGATTCAACAATAAGACTTGTACAGCGTTGCTCTGATCATAATCTGTGGCTTTATTTGAAGGATCTTGTAGATCATTGATATGCATGTATTTCATCTATTTCAATAAGTTTCAATACAACTACACCGCAGCTCACCTTTCTTTTTCTGAGGATCTCTTCTATTTCTTTTGCAGTGTCATTATCATAGTAAGCAATGGTTATTTTTGGCCTTTTATAAGTATCAAATACGTATTCAACATATTGCTTAATCAGGTTCTTTTTTGCTTGGTTCGTCTTTTTGATCTAAATAGCTAAGGAGCGCATGAAACTTACTATGGCACTTACCAAGTCATTTTCTCTGATAAACTTTGTGAGTTCATGTTCTCCAGTTCCAAATTCTGCAAAGTGAACCAAGAACTCATTTCTTGCTTTCTTGTCAAGTGTCATAGTGACCTTTTGACGGACAACATCATTAAGTTCTGGCTTTATTTCAACGAGTTTAGGACAATGCCAAATGTGTGAAGCTAGAAGGTGATGAAGCTCTTCCATATTTGATCTTCCTATCATACCATGTTAATCAAATACACTAGTCTATTGAAATAACTACCATTCCAAGTCCAGCCAAAAACAGTGCTTTTAGGATTACAATAACGCTGAATATATGTATCCATTTCAGGAAACCATTTTTTGTCAACAGCAGTAATTTGAGGATACAGATCGACTGGCAAGGAATACATAGCTGTATCTGAAAGTAAGATGGCTCTTTTGCACATTGCTAATAATCTACAGATATTTTTACATTGGTCTTGCTATAGTGTCTGTATATCAGCATCTATGTCTATGGACTGCATTTGCTTACATCCTTGAATTTCAAATAATTGCTTCCATCACAAATCATGACCTTGAAATGCTGTTCATAAATCTTGGACTTGTTGTTGGATATTTTCTTATGGCTGGCAATATAGAATTTGACGTTTTTTCTTGGTTCATATTCAACGCCCATTTCCTCAGGTTCTTCTGCTTCACTATCACTATCACTAAAGTAGTCATTTTCTATCCTTTCCTTCATTTTCTGCTTGTAAGATTTTCGAAATCTGGCATTGGGTTTAGAGGGCGATGGTGTTGATCTGAATGATGATATTGTCTCTAATACAGGCTCTGATTTGACTCTAACCACTTTTCGTCTCTTGTTGCTATGAACAGCACTTTTCGTCTTGAACAATCCGCTCGATACATAATCCAATACACACACTTGTCCATCATCCAAACCAAAAAATTCCTGGACATGTTCCTTCCAAGTATCACATAATACACTAGGACATGTCAAAAGAACAGGCCATTCATCCTGATACACAGAAGCAAGCGCTAGGGTTTGTTTACTGGTACCTAATCCATTTTCATTACCATACAAAATACGTCCATGTCGTTCAATTCCTTTTCGAACAGCATCTCTTTGAAACTGGTTGATTTGACGATGCATGGGTGACTCAACAAAATCCAGATAGCGTGATTCAACCTCAGTCATCTCGTTAGGATCATCTATCGGTTGCTCTGGACTAAACAAGCTCTGTAGGATTGTGTCTGGAATACCGTCAATTTCCAGTAAGATATTTGGAAAGCCGGTAGGTAATGCTTGCATGGCTTCCTTATAATTTGAAAGCGTGGCTGGAATAGTCCATTGATCCAACTGCTCGTCCCAAACAATATCTTTGATACTGGCAATAATCGGTTCAATTGTCATGTTCTTTTGTACCCTGATACCAATACGTGTTGGAGAAACAAGATTAAAGACTATCTTGACCGTGGTACGACTAAGACCTTGAGATTTGTTTCTGAGATAACCAAATGGAAGAGAGAGGGGGCGGCGTATAATGTTACTTAGAGGTGCTGCTGCTTCATAAGCCTCTCTAGGATGTTGAATAAAAGGTAGTGCAGAATCGTCCCATTTAAAATAACGGCATGTACCTGTAGGACACTAGATTCAATGGAGTTAATGTTGAACATGAAAAGAAACACGTACTTTCCAGTACCATTTGCCCCTATTAGGACCTGGTTTTTTCACTTCATGACAAGAAGGTGAACTACCACAACGGCAATTTTGCATAGTCTATGTAAAAGGTCAATACAATGGCTTCACCGTCATTAATGAAAAAGGCAATCGGACTTGGAATAATTTAAGACAGGCACAATGGACCATTTGTAGGATACTATCTTTCTGATCTTATGCACATTTTGATCATAAAGAAACATATGGACGCATTGTGTACTAAATCTAAGGGAATCTAGCTTGTTTGCTTTGGCTATTATACTTTTATTCATTTTGAGCTAAAAACTGTTCTCTGCATTTTTGAATAAGGCTCTTTTTATTAAGCATTAAATATTGAAGAGAAGAGCATCAATTGAAATAAGACTGCTTATACAAAAAAAAAAAAAATATCGCCCCTAGTGCGTGTGTATTTCTTCAAAAAGCAAAAATTACTTTTTTTCGAATTGTATTGTTGACAAGTGAAGTTATCTAGTGCTCTTTTCTTTTTTTGAGCATACGAATTGAGGCAGAAGCACTTAGGATAACATACATAGTGTTGTGAAAGAAATGAATAAAAAGAAGAAAGAAAGGATGTCCTTTTTTTCTAAATGCACTTAAGGCTTATCCCCATGAATAAATGCGACATTCGTTTCGTTCATTGTGCAATACGTCTATGCCAAAAATAGAGTGCACCACTGTTGTGTTACGTGTAAACCAGTTCTACTTGAGAAACAATCAAACTAAAGAATTGCATGCAAGAAACGACACTTGCGTCTTTTTTTTTATTTTTAATTTGCTGTTTTCTATAACAGAAAAGTGTTTTTGGTATTCCTTTAGATTTGTTTACCCGAGTTTTCTGTATAGGGTTCTTCCGATGTTCATGTGACAAGTTTCTCTTTTTTTTTTCCTCTTTCTTTTTTCTTCTTTCTTTATTGAAATTATGAAGTTTGGTTTCTTTTCTTCTGACTTTGAGGACCAAGGCACCATGGATAATGGTAGCTATAATAAGCAGTCTGAGTGATTCATAATAACCCTTTTTTTTTCCGATAGGTGCTTGGAAGTTTTGTGGTCTAGAAAAATCCCAACGCTTATTTGCATTTGGTGGATGGTAAATGAAATATGGCATAGTGTGGATTCACTGATTGTCTTCAGCTTTGTAGCCGGAGCAATTCTATCTGTTTTGGTAAGTCAATCGGAAGAATAATGCATTTGTGCTTATTTTATGCATATAGAGTACTTTATTATTGCTCGTAGGCAATATTACTGCATTCGCCATTATCTATAGCTGTGGCAATATTATCTCTTTATTTAGGTAAAGTATAAGTATACGTGTTATACAGGATAACGAGAAAATCTAGTTTGACATTTATTATTGGTATCCCAAAACAGATCAAAACTATGTTTGCACCTGGTAAGTGAAAAAAAAAGGGTCTTGCTTTTGTCTAAATATATTCAAGTTCGTTTTTGGGCAACTGTGATATACATTGGCTTGTTGGTATTGACATTGGTCTTGGCTACCACGGTTTGTTTACATAGCATAGGCAATTTATTTGTTCTAACTTGTTCATACAGTTAAAAAACTTTGTTTTGACTATCGTGTTAGTTATTGTGCAGTTTTGTGCTCTAGTGTGGTATTCGTAAGTGTAAATTGGCCTGAAAATTGATTTAATCATGTTCTTCAAGTGCTAGTTACATTCCTTATGGTCGTGAAATCATTCGTCGATTCTTTGGAAGTTGCATTACCTCTATTTAAATATTATATATGTCTTTATGAAGTATTGTATCCTTTTTTAGCAAACGTAACTACCGTTTCAACAAAAAAAAAAAAAAGTCAGAAAAGTTGAAATAAAATACGAAATGTCTTCCTGTGTCGTATCGATAAAAAAAAATCTTTTTGGAAAATTTATAATGCATAAAACCTCAAGCAAATAAGACGAGTATCTTTGAGTGGGGGTTCTATCGAAACAGTTAGGTTTATGTTCCGTTCAGCTAATGAATATAAGACAAAATCAACGAAATAGAGTAGTTGAATTATGTGCAAACCAAAAGCAGCAATGTCCGCCATACATTAATCAAAGCATTTACTAATACTCAATTTAATAACGATATTAAAAAGAAAGCAAGAGTCAAAAAGAAAAACTCAAAACGAGCAAGTAAAACGCATGTTTGAATACTTCATTATAAATATGAAGTCGCTTCGTGCCTTAATATAAGGATTGATTTTTTTAAGCTTCATCCCAGCTGCCAAGTTACAGATCAAAGTTTTATTGGACGTTTATAAGCTTTGAACATATCGCTGGTGTGGAATACTGCCTTATTCCTTGCGATAGCGATTTTCAATGACTGCAAACTTATTTCACCGTCAGCAAGGATCACACCAGTATCTGTCAGCAAGGTATCTAGAATTGATGCGAACCGTCAGTAGAATGTTGCTTCGATTTCATTACGTTTTTCCGACCAAAGTCGTAGGTTGTTCACCATTTGTTTGATAATTGCTGGGCTGGTACATTGCTATGTGTTTTGTTTGCGGTCACGGATCAGTGCCACCTTGGTTACCATAACATATTCGAGAATACCATTAACATCTGAGCGAAAGTCAAGAATTCGTTCGTTATACTCCAAAGTATCAGGATCCAGTTCAGAAGTTTTGATGATATAGTCAAGTTTGGTTCTCAAATGGTCGGGTAAGGACGATAGGACTATCTTTGACATATCGGTATGAATTAGATTTACAATTCCTGAAAGGTGTAGCCTATGAGTAACTTCAACGTACCACTACCGCTAAATTTTTGGAGCATGGTTCCAATGCTGGTGCATAGACACTAATAAAGTTGGAGCAATGCTCCAAGTATGGTGCATAGGACGCCAAGTAGATTTCAATCTCGATGCACACTTGATGCATTGCTCCAATATAGGCGTAAAGTACCAAGTAATTTTTTGTGCTGCTTGGTGTTTGAACGCCTACGTTGGAGTCTGTAAACGCTAAGTTGTGTCATCTTTTACATATCTGGGAGGAGTCTTTATGATAGCTGGTATTCAGATGAAAGCAATAAGCAAAAAAGAGCAATACAAATGCATTTACTCCCTAAAAAAAGACAGGCTTATGTAGAGTATTTTGTCATTTATTTGCGCAATAAAGTGGATTCTAGAAGGATATGAAGTCAAAGAACATGGCAAGAAGAAGAAACAATAAACTAAATAAATAAATGGACAAAAAGCAAATCAAATTGTAATGTCTCGCATGTGCTTTTTCTTTTTTTGTTTAGTACAACAGAGTTAGAGAGGGCTTCATTGACTGAAGCGAAAAGAAAATAAAAATAAAAGTCTTAGATATCTTTTGTTACCTTTTCTTTTTGACACTCAACCCATTCAAGACGTATCTCATTACTGATCACTCATACTTAAAAGTAATTTCGTCACTAGTTACTGTTTGTTAAATGTATTTTATAGAGCTCTTCCTTTGAATACTTGTGTGCAAATTCAAGAAACTGCTGACCTATATTGCCTTTTTCTTTTGTAAAAGGTACCAACCATGTATAAAATTAGGCATACTCGTCTCACTTTGCTACCAGTGAATGATTTCGACTACTTGAGATATTGTTGTATAAGAGCAAGTTCAAGAGTGATGAGACAAGTAAGCTTTATACTTTCTGTGATAATCCTACTAACATTTCTTTCTTTTGGACCTCAAGGCTATTTATTTTGGATAGTGTTATCTATAGAGGCTTGTTCTTGAGGTATGCAAATAATAAATCAGAGCACAATGGCTAATACCCTATCTCTTTATAGTTTTATCTGTTCTTCATTCATCACAAGTGCTTAGAATCCAAATAGACCTTGCCATTCAGCAATTATAGCACCCGCTTGCTTCTAGGATAAGCTTGGCATTAGTGTGATTTGGATTGGATCTATTTTTGGTTTGTGGTTGTACTTTTTCGGGATGTAATCCTCTAATCACGTCTATAGGATGATGCTTTCTATAACTATTTATGTATCTATTTATCTCCATAAATGAAATAAACTATTTAAACCATTCATATGCGTGATATGTATCAGTATTTCTATGTAAAATATGAGTAGACGATATGGATTGTATAATGTTACGGAAGAGAAACTTCCACATTTATTTTTGCAATATGATTTGACAATATGCTTCTATAAATGTTGTTTGTCTTACATGTAACTTAGTGCATTATGCCCCTTTTTTCTAGCGGTAGTGCAGTCATACAGCCTTAGAACTCTTGAAAAATAGTAAAACGTGAAATGATCTAGTGTATTATATATATGTTTCCCATTTTAGACTTGTAAATGGTTTGTATTTGATGCGACAATTAACTTTCAATCAACACATACTTCTATTCAAAAGTTTCTTTCTGCATTAAAACATCCTATAAACAAAGCATCAATTGAATTATTAGGGTTTTCAATCAAGTGGTTTGCAATGTCAAATACACATTCATATTGCTAGCAGTAAATAATGCATTATAGGCACAACAAGTTTTAATATGATTGAATTGATGGCGAGATACGTATGAAGATGTTTTAATTTTTTGTTTTTGTGCAGATAGGTTTTGTGTACTTGTATAAAGAGTTTATTGGTAAAGGTGAAATACAAGTATCAAGAAAATAAATAGTCTCGCACAAGTATTTTTGTATCATCAATATGCAAAGTATTCATTTCTATGTGGATCATCACAACAACAAAGACACAGATAGTGTCTTATTGAGAGAGATACTCTGCAATACAGTCTACAATGCGTATTCAATGGTTGCATCTGTTTGCTGTTTGTGCTTCAAAATCTTGGTATTGTAGTGATCTGTTTCACAGAAAACAAAAACAAAAAATAAAGCAATATTGTAGGGCGATGGGTGAGTCAATTAAAAAGGACTTTAATCTCTTATTGACTTGAGAAAGTTGCCTCTTCATTATTAGAGACTATGAGCATTTATATGTGAATCGTCTTAAATCAGCGAAGATATTAATATCTCTTTTGTTAATGATATCTATTAGAAATTTTTATTGTTAATTGGGATTGATAGTTTCTCCAAGCAGAATTAACATGATTAGGTTTATGTCTTTACTTAGTAATAAATACCCTTATTGATTGTTCTCAATAAGTTTTATCAAAAGTCTATTGGTGATCTGTGCGTAAGCGCATTGAATCCAAGGGAGTATTTTTTTCTCTTATTATCGAGTTAATGTATGTGGTTCACTACAGTTGTTACTGAAAAGAAAGAAAAGTCCTCTACTAAATATCTCATCAGTAACAGTCCCGAGCTGAGAGTTTTTAGCCGGAACGGTGCGGTTTGATCCCAAAGGATCACGTGACTCTATTTTTTTCTCGTTAGATAAAATTATTATCAACTTGTAAACAAATTGACAGTAATAATATGATAGTTTATAGTAGAATCGAGGCAGATATTCTAGAAGTAAGATAACCGATTAATCACTTATTACACACGAGCACCAAGGAAAGACTGTAAAGAACCTACTTCGAATGTAATAACACCAGATCCTCAGGTATCTTCTTCAAAAATATCTTTTCAGAAAAGTTTGATGATTTTATTAGGTTTTGCTAATTCAGCTTTTATACAATTCAACGGAATTAGATAGTAAAAATATAATGTACTAAGATACAACGATAAGAACATATATAGGTACAGACAGATAAAGGGTAAAAAAGGAAGTAAAGATAATAAAGGCCTTGATTTGCTTGCATAAGAAAGAGTATAAGAAAATAATGGGAATTAACACTGTTGAGAAAATACATGACTTGTATAAAATGAGAGATGGCTTATTGTTTTGCTTGCTAGTATTCTTGTTGGTCCTTAGATCCACATGTGATGATCTGACATTAAACAAGTCTTCAATTACATACTAAAATATATCATAATCAGTTTACATCAGAAATAGACATAAAAGAACCTCTTGTACTGAATAAGACAATGTATCTTTTAATAGATCAAGACTTATAACCGAAGTCCATAATTTATATTATTTAATTAATTTAAAGTAGTCTATGATAATAAAGACTCAGTCATTTGCATGAACCCTACTATTACTCCGACATCTCTTCATGTATAAATACCTAGAGAATGAAGAGCTAGAAAACAGAAATATATATTTTTTGGGAATAATAAACTTATACAAGTTCTAATCGACTTCTTTGTCTTTATCTTCTCTCTTGCATCACAACAGGCGAGACTAACAGACGTTGTGAGATGAAGAGAGAGTAGATATTCAATAAGAGAAAAGGTAAGAACACAGAGAAAGTCCGTTAGAACTTATATAGGTTTTTATTTCTCCAAGAAAATGTTATCTTTCAATTGCTATAAAATGTCGAGGTACTTATACTTTTTCTTCTCGGTCAAAATATTGTTTTGGGGTTAGCTTCTTGACTACGGATTGATTTGTTAGATCAGGAGCAATTAAGAGAAATGCCTTTAGAGGAAGTTGTCAGCTCAGCCAATAGTGCATGATCTAACCTGAACTTGAATAAACTATTACATATTCGTCAAATGCCAATGCCAATGTATTTGTCAGCTCTAACTGTCACTTTATGAGGGCCATTAATAATAACAGAGTCACTAGGTTCATAATCTCTGTCTATGAGGATGATGTAGTACTTCTAGTAGAATGAGTGAATGTCAGTGACTATAGATCCATTGCAATTGCCATAGATGTGATCTGGTTTTTTGCCATGATCATCATTTATTGATCTATGCATATTGTTGTGAACATATAGAATCTATATGCATATGATGATCTGACATTAAATAAGTCTTCAATTACATACTAAAATATATCATAATCAGTTTACATCAGAAATAGACATAAAAGAACCTCTTGTACTGAATAAGACAATGTATCTTTTAATAGATCAAGACT